CCGGCGTCCCTCCTCCCTCAGAATCCAGCTTTCTCGTCCGGTTATCCCTCGGCTTCTTATTCGGATTCCCCACAAACGTGCAATCGCGTCCCGTGCGATCACAAAGTTGGCATGGACGCGTCGGATCAGGAATATTGCAGAGGACTTTGCGGGCTCGGCATAAGTCGCATGGTCTTTGGGACTTGGAGCGGTAGCGCCTTATGCCCGCGACTTGACGGTGCGGGTGCTCGTCATGATTCATTGCGCAAAGTGAGATGCTGATATGGTAAGACTCACGGTATGCGATTGATGGAGTGAATTACCGATAGCGGGGGCCGAGTTGGCGCCGATATCCGGGCACGTGATTGGAAGGCCGGCAGTTAGTGTCGGGGGAAACATGATGTCTGTCACGGAACACAAATTGTCGCATGTGTAGGACATGAATATCAATCTGGGTGGTCATGCAACAGATTATGGAGTCATAGTATTGATATAACTTCTGTATTTTGATGCAGCCACAAGGTTTCTTCAACGAGGGGCGGCTGCCTTGATCTGTATTGCTGAGATTCAACAACCTTATCATGGAGCCAATCATGGTGTCAGTGAGCGCCATATCTCTGGTCAATATCTGTTATTCCTTGCTGCTACACTTATTAACTCTGACCATTGTCTGATTCATTCATTCCCGAAGAAGAAGAAACAATCACGTCTCGCTCTCATTACTGGCTCAAGATTCTTATCATGACTTGTTCTTCAGTTCAACCAAGGACCGTGACTATTTCACTATACAATATAGACATTGAATTATAATACTAATTATCCAAGTCACTCGTTCCTCTTCGCACGAAGCTTATCATATCGCAGAACCGCTCCCAGCAAAACACTCGCGCCGAGTGCACTGCAGCAAGTTAGTGTCTCCAATCCTCCACAACACGAAGAAAACTTACCAATCTTCAGGCGAGCAATACTCGGTCGGGTTATGGCTAATGCCCGATCTCGTCGGCGTAAAGATCATACTCGTAGGACAAACCCGATTCGTGTAGCAGCTATCATGCCCCGCACCACTAATCATAGGTCTCCAAAGCTTGCCCTCCGCATTCCGCGGTAACGTCGAGCAAACATCCGCAGCGCTCTGCTCCACGACCGAAATACACTCTTGATTGAACTTGACAGCGGGACTGTCAACAAGGAGCTCCCAGTCGACTTCACAGCCCTTTTCGCTATCGTCATGAGAAATGCGCTGGAATTCGGCCTCGCAGTCCTTGACCATCTCGGCGAGGACTTCATCCTTGACATGGCGGAGATCGAGTGTGAATTTTACGGTGTGCGCCATTGTGTTGACGGTGCCGGGGTCGGTGGTGAAGATTCCGGTTGTTGCGAGGCCGTCGTGTTTTTTGGCGATTGTGTTGGCGGCGACGAGCATTTTACTGGCGGATAAGACGGGATCTTTGCGGGCGTATAGTGGTGTTGTGCCTGCGTGGCTGTCTCGGCCTTTGACGGTGATATTGAACCACTTGAATGCTTGGACGCCTATTTTCGCTGTTAATCACCGTACAACGTCCGTAAAGGGTCTTTCTTACCGTGCACAACGCCAATTTTAAGACCCTCGTCTTCTAGGATAGGTCCCTGCTCGATGTGAAGCTCGAAATGCGCCGCGAATGGGTTTGATCGATATGAAGCGGGCTCTTCGCCACAGTAGCCTATCCTGTCGAGCTCCTCCTTCATCGACTTGGGGTTAGCAGCCAGAACTTCCCGAAGATCCCATGCGGTTTCGAGAGGGATGACATCGGCCCATACGCCCGATGACACAGCCATCTTGGGGAAGCGAGCGCCCTCCTCACTACGAAAGTTAGCCAATTTCTCAGAGAGCATACCCGTCGCGGGACACGTACTTGGTCCAGTTCACCACTCCAATAGGTCCTGCAGTCTCATACCCATGATCGTTCAACGTTCGCAAAACCTCAAGACCCGAAATGACACCAAGAATACCATCATAGCGACCACCAGTGGGCTGCGTATCAAGATGGGAGCCCATCATGACTGGAGGCAAATCATTGTTCCTGCCTGGCCGGATCGCAAACAAATTGCCCATTTGATCAATCGAAGTTTTTAAGCCCAGCGACTTGGCGTAGGCGATGAACCAATCTCGCACTTGCTTGTCCGAGTCATCGAGACTGAGCCGTGCCATGCCGGTTTCTGTAGAGGCCCTAGGGTAAATCAGGTTAATTTTTGTGAGAATGGAACTTTGTGGGAGTGACTTACTTTCCATAACGGTGCGCGGCGCCGAATTGACAGCCTTCATGAAGTGATTTTGCGAGATCAACTTCGCTGATTTTGAACGGTGGTAAAGCGAGTGAACCCATGTTGAGAGGAATCGACTCGTTGGTGACAAGTCTGTTGTTACAAGTGATGATTTGAACCAAAATCTCAAATGCTCAACCTCAAAATGTCTGCTATTGCCAATACTAAGTTTCTCGATAACAAATTCAGTGATAAATCCAAGTATCGTCTAATTATGTATAGTCCTCTCAATCGTTATCCTTTATCGTCCCCGACGGTCATAATTCCCTCTCAACATTGGGGATCACGGCCGAGTGCTGAGAGTGGGGTCATTGTCCGCCGTCAGCCGTCGGCGGAGACTATTCTTCATTGGGAAGCTTATTGGAGCTCGGAAGTGAACTCCAATCTCGCCGATGAACTATGACATAACCTTGTTCATGGCTACAAGGATGTCTAAAACGCGGGGTACCAGGCAGGAACTTTATCTTCAATTGGCTTTCAAAGGCTGTAATTGTTGAAGAACTCTGTTACTAACGGCTGCTGGTTGATTATGCTGTAGATTGGCTTTTTGAAACTCAATTGGAGATCATCAATGCATGGTTCGACGTCGCAGCTTCAATTCTGAAGCTAGAGAGACTCCAAAATATCTCTTATCATCTCGTATCAGTCTTATCTCATCTCTATCATGTATAATCATTCGAAAGGCAAGGATTTACCATAATCATCTCCACTTGTGGAGTTTTCTGCATCCGCCGACGGTTTATTACAACTTGACTATCAGACTATCAAATGCGGGGGTGGATAAGTGACCATCGTGCAGCAGATCACCTGGTGATAACTCGGATATGCATGCCACCTTAAAAGAGTAGATCTGAACCTGTAATCCACATTTTAAACATCATATTCTCATGACCTCTTGTCGTTACACATTCAGCACTGGTCACGATGGAAGCCGCAGAGAAACAGTCGGAGCTCAAGATGCCGGTTGAGCAAGAGCTCGATCACAACTCTGGCGAGATGAACGACATCACTGAGGTCGAGAAAAAGGTCTTGTCCAAGTTTGACAAGTTCGTCATGCCGCAGATGGCACTGCTTGTTCTGTTCGCTTACCTTGACCGAACAAACATCGGTAAGTCTTTTATCAACCTAAGCTGCACCTCAGAAAGCTAATCGTCATACTCAAGGAAACGCTCGAGTTTTCGGCTTCGAAGAAGATACAGGGATGCATGGAACCCAATTCAACGATGTATCGATGTACTTCTACATCTCATACGTTGTATTCGAAACACCATGGGTTCTCGCCGTCAAGAAATTCGGACCAGGTCGCGTCCTTGCTATCGCCATCATAAGCTGGAGTTTCATCACTTTGGGAACTGGCTTCGTTCATAGCTACGGCCAAGTCATTGCCTGTCGAGTACTTCTCGGTTTCTTCGAGGCCGGTCTCTTTCCTTCTCTCACTTTCGTCGTCTCTCAGATATACCCACCTGCATCGCAAGGAAAACGCGTGGCGGTTCTTTACGTCTCTATTGCGCTCTCTGGAGCCCTTGGTGGACTTATCGCATATGGTATTCAGTCCATGGGTGCGCGACATGGTTTGTCTGCTTGGCGATGGCTTTTCATCATCGAGGGTGCCATTTCACTCGTCATCGGAGCCGTTTGCTGGTTGAGTCTACCGACTTCTCCGCAAACAGCTTGGTTCCTCTCAGAAGAGGAGAAGTCGACAATGATTCTCATCAAAGAGCGCAATCATCCCTTCAAGGAAACAGAAGGCTTCTCGTGGAAGCAAGTCGTCATGGCCCTCACCGATCCCCTCGTCTGGCTTGCTTCCGTCTCGCTATTCTGTGCTTCTATCGCACTGTTCGGCTTTGGCACATTCCTGCCTACTCTCCTCAAGGGCCTCGAGTAAGTACCTCTATCTCGTTTTCGAACAGCGCTAATTAGTGGTGCAGCTACACCTCTCTCCAAGCCAACTATCTCAGCATCCCTGTCTACGTTCTGGCATCCATCTTCACTGGAGCCACCACCTACGTCTCAGACCGCCTCAACCGCCGAGCCATCTGCCTCATCCACTCCCCACTATTAGTCATTGTCGGATATGTGGTCGTCGTCGGCACCGGGCACAAGGCGGCGGGTTTCTTTGCCATGTTCCTCGTCGGCGCTGGCGTCTACTCCTTCAACACTGTTTTGGTCACGTAAGTCAAGACCCTAATCACACAACAGACATTGAACTAATGGTTTGTAGCTGGGTATCAAACAACATGCAGCCGGATTACAAGCGCTCTGTCGCAATTTCTATGCTCATCTCGCTCGCAAACGCATCCGGAATGGCTGCATCGCAGATCTATCCCATTCAGGATGCTCCTCGTTACGTCATGGGAAATGCAATCTCTCTTGGAGGAGAGGTGTTGGCCCTTGTATGCGTCGGACTCATTTATGCTCTTCTCAAGTACCGCATGCGACAGAAGGAGAAGTTGATCGCAGAGGGTAAGGACAGTAATGGAAAAGAGGGAGATCAGAGCTTGGAGTTCAAGTATGTATTTTAAAGAGCTCTGATACGCCAAGACACGGAGGTCAAAGCTTTCAAGAAGAGCTTGTTATATAAAGCGTAAAAGTCATCAAGTGTTGGTCCATGTATGCCCGGAGTTGGGTACTGGTACGGGCATATTTGTATGTCAAGAAAGGTAATGTCGTTGAGTGTTATATATTAAAATAGCTATATACTCGAAGATATTTTGGGCTTCATGGGTGAAGCACTATATACTTTGCTATGTGTCCGGGTAGGGGTCAGCAGCAGTTTAACCACCGTAGCCAAAATCAGGGAAAGTAGGTGTGCTCTCATCACAGGCGAAGCGAACAAAGTACTTGTTATCGCTACCATCACCGTTGACAATGACCTTTCCATCAGGAGCCTGCACCTCAGCGATGAAGTTGAGATCACCCTGAGCATTAGCCCACAGGAGTCGGAAGGGAGTGTAAGTGCCAGCAGTGAGGTGAATGGTGAAAGTCTTGGAGGTGCCACCGGGGTAGTCCTGCTCGAGATCGGCGTTGGCGCGAGTCCAGCCTTGGATGGCCTTTTCGCCGAACCAGATGAGGGTGATCTCATCAGAGTTGGGGATGGTGACGGTGTAGTCGCCGGTCTCGGGGGCATAGAGGAACGCGCGGTGGTTGACGGCCTTGTACTGCCACAGCTGCGAAGGGCTGCCATCGTAGATAGCGAAGGAGGTATCAGAGGCTGTGCCGGGAGGGATACCGATGCGAGTGGTCTCGCCCTGGTAGGTGGGGGTGGCGGTATAGAAGAAGGTGGGGTCGAAGGAGGAGAAGTGAGGAGGATCAGAGTTGTAGAATGTGTGCTTGTAGATGGCATACTCCAGGCCGGCGTTGTCGCAAGACTGGTCGGCAGTAGGCTCAGCAGAGGTACTGGTGGTGGCGTCGGCAGTGGTAGTTGTGCCCTCACCAGTGGTAGTTGTGCCCTCAGCAGTTGTGGTGGTGTCAGCAGCAGTGGTAGTACCCTCAGCGGTTGTTGTCTCGGCAGTGGTGGTATCCTCGGCGGTGGTTGTACCTTCAGCAGTTGTGGTGGTTTCAGCAGCAGTGGTAGTGCCCTCAGTAGTTGTACCTTCAGCAGTTGTGGTGGTTTCAGCAGCAGTGGTAGTGCCCTCAGCGGTTGTGGTGGTGTCAGCAGCAGTGGTAGTACCCTCAGTAGTAGTACCCTCGGCGGTGGTAGTACCCTCTGCAGTTGTCGTAGTATCGGCAGCGGTGGTAGTACCCTCAGCAGTGGTTGTGGTGTCGGCGGCAGTAGTAGTACCCTCAGCGGTAGTGGTATCAGCAGTAGTCTCGGCAGTGGTGGTGTCAGCAGCAGTGGTGGTGGTGCCCTCAGCAGCGGTGGTAGTTGTACCCTCAGCGGTTGTTGTTTCGGCAGTGGTGGTACCCTCAGCGGTAGTGGTATCAGCAGTAGTCTCGGCAGTGGTGGTCTCAGCAGCAGTGGTGGTAGTGCCCTCAGCAGTTGTCGTGGTATCGGCAGCGGTGGTGGTGGTGTCAGCAGCGCTCGTATCAGCGGTAGTAGTGCCGGCAGCACTTGTCTCGGCAGTAGTGGTACCAGTGGCGCTTGTCTCACCAGCACTTGTCTCAGTAGCACTAGTCTCCGAGACAATCACTGTAGCCAGGGTAGTAGAACTCTCCGAGACAACGGGGACGGAGGAGTCCGTGCTGGTAGAAACAGCAGCAGTCTCGGTAGCCGTGGAGGAAGCGATCTCGGTGGAGGAAGAAACTACAGCAGCAGTGGTTGTTGTGCGAGGCCTGCAGGGGCCAGCGGCAGCGAAGCTGGCAAACGCCAGGCCCGCAAAGGTAAGGACCGACTTCATGTTGGTAAAGAACGTGATGGTTTTACAAGTAAAGAGTGACTGGGAAAATGAATGAAAAGAGTGAATGGATGAACGGGTGATCTACCGGCGGGGCTGGGATTGTCTATTGCTATATAACCACAGCTTCTTATCTATAGCCATGTTAAAGAGGCTTTTACTAAACATGGCAATTTCCTCGCTGCCGTCCAACAATGACTCGTCTGTACGAGACTAATATAACCAAGCTGCGCCAGGCTGAAAACTTCAGCTGCTGTTGAAATTGCGATTGTGATTTGGCTGAGCTAACACTCACGCTGTATTCCGTGTACCCCGTATTCCTCTTGGCATCGGCTCACGTCTTGTTTCCTTGCAAGGTTCAAGGATGTTGAATCTAGCTAGCTGCTCATCAAAGACAGAAGCTAGCAACGGTCATCGCGGTTTGTTCAGCTAACGACGGATGGTAGGGCACTGGTCTGGGCCCGCTGCTGGAAGAGTAGCAATAAACCTGAAACCCGGTTACTGGTCGAAATTTACGTCATGGCGTTTATGTTTGTGGGTAGACCAATAGGAAGTTGAGCGGACCTGGGTTAGTGCGCTTCTGCACAGACTGTAATTTCTAGATCGTTAGCTCGAGGACCGTTGAGGCTTGAACTGCCCCTATACCCTACAGCTGCACAGCCCAATGAGACGACAAGTGCTACAGACTATTGAAACTAGTACCTGGATCCGTCTCTCAGCTGGCAGCCTGGCTGCATCATTACTGTCAACTCTCACGCCTTTTTTTTGTACCTATTTTCGTACCAAAACAATAACGCAACTTTCACAAGCAATCACGCGTTGAATTGATCAATCAGGCGCAGCTTCTAGTCTCTTCACTAGGCTCACAATCTTGCAATGCCGAAGCCTGAACCCGATTTCCGTACCCCCAACTTTGACCTAGTGATGTCTTTAATTGCCGCAGCGCCACTCAGCACCATTGTGCGCCACAGCTCTCTTTCCAGGATGTTCAACACTGTTTCTACCCCCTGTTGCCCATTCACGGCTAGACCCCACAGCGCTGACCTTCCCAACAAACAAAGATCTGCCCCTAAAGCTAGGGCTTTGAAGACGTCTGAGCCCTTGCTAATCCCACCGTCGAATAAAACCGGGATGCGGCCCTTTATAGCGTCAGAAACCTCGAGTAAAGCCTCCAGTGTCGCTGGAACGCTGTCGAGTTGACGACCGCCGTGGTTTGACACGATGATGGCGTCGACACCGGCTTCTACTGCTAAGAGGGCATCTTCGGCTGTGAGAACTCCCTTGAGAATAATCTTCATGTTTGTTTGAGATCGTAGCCAGGGAATTGTTTCTGTCCACGTCAGAGCTGAGTCGACGAGAAGATCCGAATGTTCCCTCTCAATTTTGGCAGCCTCTTCTGCAGTCTCGGCGTTCAGAATTAATCGACCTTTTGATACGCCACCGCCTTTGATGGTAGTCATGTTAGCCATGCTCAAAGCAGCAGGCAGCTTCAATGGATTCTTGCGTTCGTGCAGGCGATTTCCCATGGTCGTCGTATCCACTGTCAGAACGAGAGCTTCATAGCCCGCTCGTTCGGCCCGCTTAATGAGCTCTTTTGTTATATCGCGGGAACGAACAAAATATAGTTGAAACCATGGTTTGGGGTACTTGGCGTCACGTTGAGGTAGGGTTCGAGCGACGTCTTCCAGGGATGTTGTTGCGTTGGAAGACAGACAGATATTGGTACCACGCGCAAAAGCGGCTTGGGCGACGTCTATCTCACCGTTGTACCCAGCGAGCCGCTGATATGCGCTTGGTGCAATGGCTATGGGTATATCATAGTGTTTTCCGAATATCCGTATCGAGGTATCAATTGAAGATACATTTCGAAGAATGCGTGGACGAATAACAAGACTGTGGATGTAAACTTATTAGTGCTCTTCTCCACAAGGGAGCTGCGATAAGCTGATGAGGCCAAGGTGTGAAAAGAAGTTTCAGGCCTGGTCAGCTCTAGGGTAGTGACACTCACGTTCTGTACACCTCTTGATTCCGCAAAGTTGTCAGTTGATCATCAGCTCCATCAGCGTAATAGCGCCAGACGTATGCCGGTAAACGCTTTTGAGCCAATGCTCTTATCTCGTCGACGGTGATAGGCTTTTCATTCCTTGCTTCCATTTTATCTTGGATGCGAGTTGTATATTTGTACCTAGAAGGGTTGCTTGGTTTATTTTTCGAAATGTAAGGCGTTGGAGATGAAGATGGGAAGACACATTGCAACGATATTATGTGCAGAAACATAACGCGGCTAATGTTGATTACAATTGAACGATGCTAAGTTGACTTGGCCACTGAGATTCATGGAGCTGAGTGCCTCTGCCACTGAGAATTGAGCGTCGCGGGGAGTCCGATGCTGAGCACCGTTAGCTTCGGGCGGAGTCCGCGAGATCTTCCCCGCATCTCGCGGACCCACGCCGAGATTATCGGTCCTTAATACATTATCAGTATGCAATGAATTGATGGCAAGGTTGATCTCGCTCTCCATCCGCTCCAATGTCCGAACAGCGACTATTCGCATGCGAGCGATGTTCACGCCGTAAACAACGATGCGATCGCACAATCCCTGTTTGTCAGCCATGCCAAGAAGCTCAAGCCGAATGTATTGGATCGGCGTCCGAGGAGACAGTTATTTCCGGTACTGATAGAGTCACGGCGCGGAAAGGACCCGTCACGCGGTTGCTGGAGCAGATCGAGGTCTTAGAGGAGAAGCTTCGGGGTCTTGAGCGAGGCGAACCCAGTAACGACAACGCTTCTGCAGCTGTTGAGCATGATGGACTGTCCTCAGATACTGCCGTAGGGGGGCCGTCTGAGCACCAGGACAACGCGACGTTACCGCACTCCACAAGCATGAACATGAGATTCCTTTCCCTAAGCGCCATGGCCGAGCCATCTTCTCGTCGTGGCGAGTTCCTCAAACACCTCTCCACTCCGCGGTTAATCGCAGGCATCACAAAGACCTACGGCGGCGACCCTGAGTCCACTGCTCGCCCTGACTCACTATGGGAAGGTATATCGACATACCTTCACCATCCTCAGGGTAGTAAACATCGGCTACGTATCCCCCCAGAAGATGCGAACAAAGCTCTTGAGATATACCTCGCCGTCGTCGACTTTCGCTTTCCACGTCTCCCCGTGGACAAGGTACTAGTGGGCATCGACGCTATATCGCATGCCGAGGAGGACCACTTCAGAAGGGTTGTAGCTACCGATCCTGCGCATGTGTTTATGGCGTACGCCGTCATAGCTATTGTGCCGCTCGTAAGCGATGCATATCCTATCTCACAAGGATCCTGGGTCGCGGTGCATGTGCTTGGGAAATGCATGGAGTTACTGGACAGGGTGTTTAATCAGGAAGATGGCATCGACATCATCCAGTGCCTTCAGCTGCTTGTAATTCTTGCTGTGCACTGTTCTGCTGCTGGCTCAGCCTGGCATCTTTCGAGCTTCACCATGAACAAGTGTATCGCCCTGGGCTATCATCGTGAAGATCCCAAGTCTGCCTCGGTGTCGCTGTTGGATGTTCAACAGAGGAGATGGACGTTTTGGGGATGTTACTTTCTGGATGTCTTGATATGCGCCGCGCTTGGGAGACCGCCGAGTATCGATGTTAGACACATCGCCACTCCTCTGCCAGAGCCTGCCTCTAATTCGCCTAGTCAATGTGCACAGCACGGACAGATAATTTCGAGTCTCCGAACCTCTGAATCCGCGACCCATCGCCCTACTTCTCGGGATGTGTATCACAGGCAACTATTCCAGTATGCCCGACTTCTATCCCAGGTTGTTAGTGAGACTACAAACAGTCCCCAGTCATCAGGTCCTTGCGACGACTTCGAGCATCACCTCGGGAAGGCCATTAGCTGGAGAATCAGTTCGCTGCCACATGATGAGCCAGACCGTTGTAATATTTATCTCTTCCAGACCTCCTTATACAACACCCTCATGTTACGACTGGCGGTTAGGGAACTGTTGACTCTATTCTCTTTTGGGCCTGAGTTGAATGACTTCGAGCCTACTTCCGACGCAATCACCATGTTTCTAGGTGATATGAATACTGAGGAGAGCCGGATGAAGAGATTGAAGGTTTCACAAATATGCGTAGCTGTGGCACGAAGTTTGGACCGCGTTCACATGACAGATCGTTCTTATCTCTCTCTCATCACTGGCTACAGCTCTTCGACCATGGCATTTACCTGTTTATACGTGATGGCTGTTCGAACTATCGTAAGGAATAGAGTAGGAGAGAATACCACCTGGCATGTCCCTCAAAGTCACTTGGGATCAAATGGCTCAAGTATGACATGGCAACCGCCACCGCCCTCATTACCTTTCCAGAACCCTGGAGATGCCGTACCATCATTTGGTACCAGTTCCTCCCGCTCCTACCATCTATCACCCGAAGGTCAGGCATGGGCGGATAGCCTTGAGGTTGATGGTGTCAATGATGCGTTCAATATTGCCATTACTAAAGTTGACGTGGTAGGAAGACAATTCCCTCGACTGAATCATTATGGTCGCATGGCTCTCGGTATTCGTAAGTTTCTGATATCGATGTAAAGCTCGGCTGCATTCTTCTCACCAGCTGAGGTTATTGGTGATCAGCTTGGAGCAATCAAGGCCAGCGCTCAGGAGATTGGGCCGATATATTTAAGACAGATCACGGCTGCCATCCTGTGTATAATCTCTCAGGATGAGCCGAATTGAGCGAAGGTTCTGTGTATGTAACGATGAAGCTTATCTGTGGCTATCGGGAGATTCTCAATGGTCAAGCGTAATGGAATATGTACAAAGCATTGAGCCAGCGCAGCCGAATGCGACCCATGTTCTCACCAATGGTGTTTGTGAGGGGTAATAGTGCGGGGTTCTGATATTGCTACCTTCGGACTTTGAACCTCGCAAGACGCCCGATATCCAATGCCGAGGACTTGGCTCGATAACAAAGTCTATCAACGACGGCCCGCGAGGTGTACGTTCCATTATATAGTTGGAGCCTGGAATCTTGTCGAGAAGCCACTCATACCATCAGCAGAAACCTTCATAAACCTCAACCTTTACAATGGGTTCGATACCGACTACCGCGCCAATGGCTGATTCCGCCACCAAACCTGAACTTTATATCCTCAGTGACTTTCATCCAGAGGCTATAAAGTACGCCCAAAAGTCTTTTAACTGTATCCTCTATGGCGATCCACGCACAGAGAATTGGCACTCTCACGCCACAGCAATCCTTATCAAGGATTACTACATCACAGAGGACGACCTTGCCTCGGCACCGCAACTAAGAGTCATTGGCAAACAGGGCGTCGGCTTAGATAAGATTGACGTCGAGGCTTGCAAAAGACATGATGTTAAAATTTGCAACACTCCTGGCGTCAATGCCTCGGCTGTGGCGGAGATGGCGCTTTGTCTGGCATTGACAGTCGCTCGGGAAGTGCCCCAAATGGTCATCAGGCAGAGAATCCAGGGCGAGGCTATTCGAAAGGAGACTATAGCTGGGATGCTGCTGTCCAAGAAGACCATTGGAGTTGTAGGCATGGGCCATATCGGTCAAGCCATTGCACAAATGTTCGTTGGTGGACTGCAAGCAGCTATTATTGCTTTCGATCCATATTTTCCCGATAAAGACGGCCTCTGGAACACAATCCCCCACAAGCGTGTCAACACCCTCCCTGAGCTTCTCGAGGTCGCAGACGTGGTGACACTACATGTCCCCCTCACTCCCAGTACGAAGAACATGATTGCAGCGCCACAGTTGAAACAAATGAAGAAAACAGCCATATTGATCAACACAGCACGTGGTGGGATCGTCAATGAGGAAGATATGGCAGATGCGTTGGAGAAGGGCGAGATTTGGGGTGCTGGCTTTGACTGCCATTGCCAGGAGCCGCCGACATTGGCAAAGTATGAGCGGCTTTGGAAGTGTCCGCGTTTCGTTGGGACGCCACATATTGCTGCTGCGACGGATGAGACACAAATTGCTACGATCAATGGGGCTACAGATGGCATACTTCAGTTTTTGCGTGAGAATCAGAAGTGAATAGACAGAACGATGAAGTCGCAAGGGCAAGGGAAATACTATTGAATACATATTGATACTGAGATTTCTGAATAAAACAGTCAAGATGGAACATACTGTCCTGTGAAGCTGAGCTAAAAGTCTGATGAATTTGCAGGCGACTCTTCCCATGGAACCACGGTATCCCACACAAACTCAGATAAGCCCGCCGAGATGCCCTCTACCCCTAACACATACGCAAGTGGCCATCCTTCTGGCATTCCACCCTCACTCAGCGCTCCAAATTGTGGGTTATCTACCTGAATGCTTGTGAGGTCAAGTGCGTTCATGCCATCCATACCCAGCGGATCCCCATAGTTCAAGGCAGTGTTGTTCTCAGCATTTGAAGTATCGGAGGGCGGGCTGTTACGGGGTGGATGTGCTTCATAACCCGGTGCAGCACTTTCCAGCATCAGCTGCGGAGGCTGTTCCCTTGAGGACCCTGCTGTCTCCAGCTGGTGGCGTAACCTTTGGAAAAACTGGTTATACACAGTCATATCTGGCATAGAATCTGCGAACCACGATAGCAATGAACCAGCTATAGATAGATCATTCCATATATCTCTCGCTTCAGCGCTCCACCGGTCATCAACGAGATCTCGCAGCCAGTCATCAGCATCTATTCCAGACGACCGTGTCTTGTGATTCCGTCCATCCTGTGGATGAGTGCGCGTCTCGAGCACTGCGACGATAACCAACGCTGCGGTGAATATAAGATGCATATAAGATCTCGAGAAAGTAATCATATTCCAACCTCGCAAAGCAGCAAAGGAACAGATAATTGCGCGAGCGGCTTGCAGGCAGGGCCCGAGGAGTAAATCAGGCGGTAGCATTACTTTCGAGCCCAAAACCTCAATAGTTGCGCGGATGAGACGAAGTCGTTCTTCCTGGTATGTCAACTCAAAGAATTCTCTTGTTTCGAACAAGCAGCTCGGGTTATTAAACGATGGTGCTGACTCATGCCAACTACCTAGATCGTGATGAAAACGACGTAACTGACACAAGACTTCACCAAGGTCGGGAGTTGAAGTTGCAGATGAACCAGTAATAGGTGATGCGGATTTCGGTCTTCTCTCCTCCATTGCGGATTGAATTTCAGAGGAAAGGCGTCCGATTCCTATCAGCCATTGGAAAACTGAGATGTCTTCCTCGTCGGGCGACGGAATATCAGTGGAGATGACCCTGTCCGCTACTGCGAATGGACGCCCTAAAGTCCTCGACGAGAACCTGTCTAAGAGATAAGCCTCCCAAAAGACCCTCTGACACTGTTGGAGGAGCGAGGCATCAGTGCCGCATAATTTGGGCCGTCGTCTATGTAGATCCAGCTCGATGCAACTCCTCATACAGAGACGACTTAGCTCCCACAGTGAGCATCCTATCGACTGTATCAGCACTAGATAGACGTTGAAGTGGACCTTGATACATACCTATGTTATAATAGACACCAAAGCGAGCAATTAATATGAGGTTTTCGATATTCCCCAGTGTGTTATAACGAGACTCTGCAGGAGGGTTCATCTCCAAAGCGGCAGTAAAGAAACCGAAAGGATGCTGGTCAAATGTCTTTTCTCGAAAGAGTCGTATGCTGCCAATAGCAATGGCCATGTAGAGCTGGAAGATGTCGTGCCTCTGCTCATCTCTCAAGTTGATCCTTTCTTGGCTGCTCCAATCTGGAGCCCGCTCTAGGCAGCTTTGCAGGGCCTCCCGCTTGAGAATCGGGTGCGCAACGTGAAATTCTTTGAAGCTGTGATCTTTGAGACTCCGAATATGGTATCACAGGAGAATTGATGGCATGCTGAACTTACTAATGATCAAGAGCTTGCAAAGCGATGTGAGGAGCTGGGAACGGATGTGGTAAATGGTACTCGATACGGGTGAGCGGTGTTGGGATGTCGTTTGATGGCCGCGATGGACCCTGCTGTACACGGTCCGACGCTGAATGAAGCCTGGAGAGTAAGAAACTGTGAAAGAGCCTATTAGCATCTTAGTTAGTTGCAAGAAGAATAGTCAAAGCAAACCTGACGCCCGTATCTTGACCAACATACCGAACAACGTCCGCTGGATGAGCGATTCGACCAACAGTTGCTTGACGAGGAGGTACAGGGTCACCTTGGGCTGGAACTGGAGTATCAATCGCTGCGACCCTCTCTTGAAGGTCTTTCAACTTTTGCTCTAGTGCAAATACTTCCCTAAAAGAAAATTTTAGTGAGCATCTCTTCGCATCTGAATCGTGATGAGGACTCACTCTCTGGTGTATGGTCTTTGGGCCGATGGATCGGCAATTATGCACGGAGTATTGGCTTTGAGACAGCCTTTGCATCTGGGAAACTCGGCGCCGCACTGACATTGAGCGATTAGTTCGCAGCAGATGGTGCAGACAGTAGGCCTCTGTACCTTGACCTTCCGCGATCGGCATCTTTCACAGGCTGCTGCGCTTGCAGGCCTGTTGTCGACTTCAGACGTATGCCGGGGTCTTTTTCTAGGCGGCTGTGACATGTTCTGAGCCTTGATTGTGTCAACTAAATCGGAACGTACTCTAGACAGTCGCGAGAGGTCTGATGTCACAATACTGTGACAACTCAATTACATAACAGCTTCTTTGACAATGAACAACTACGAGCAAGTCGAAGTCTGGCATGTGTCCATGCTGATGAGTCTAGACCCCGTCATCCCCCGCAGAGATACTGTTATCCGGGGAAGAGTGCGGGGAAGCTGTGCCCCCCCGGCTCGTCTGATGCTGGTCGGACCAAGAGCGAAGCTAAAATAGCGTGGGGCATGATATCCTCGGCCAAGGTGCGATTGGCTCGCGTTGTTACCCCGGATTCAAACCCCAGAATCTGCCCCGAGAACAGGAACCCCCAAGACTCTCGCCCCAGGCTTGACGAGCTGGGAGAAAAGGTATATGAAGCAGCCCTTGGTGACTCGGACTCTTCAATCTGCACTCGGACTTTTCATCCTGAACAACGTCTTCTCTCATACATACCTTGCCATATTTCCATCGTCGAAATGGCAGACGCCGTCAACTCCAAGCCTGATTCCTTCCATGATGAGGGTCTTGGGCAGAAGGAACCCAGCATCAAGCTGTCAAAGACACAGACTGATGATCGCCCCATTGAGGATGAACAGTTCAAGCAGACGTCTCGGCGTATCGTTCGTAAGCTGGACTTTACGTTGATGCCGATTATCTGGCTGCTGTACCTATTCAATTATCTCGATCGAACTGCCATCGCGTATGTGTTTTCGTTCCAGTCGGTGCGACTTGCGCTAATCTGGGGAATAGTCAGGCCAAGTTGAATGGCATTGAGGATGATCTCAACCTTACCGGAGCCCAGTTCAGCACAGCTGTCTCTATCCTGAACGCTGGGTTCGTACATCTACCAAACCCACTGCTTGCTCAACCCAGAACTGACTCCGGAACAACAGATACATGGTCATGCAAATCCCTAGTAACATGATCCTCACTCGCGTTCGTCCTTCCATCTACCTCCCCATCTGGGCCTGCGTCTGGTCTGCTGTTTCGGCCAGCACCGCCGCCGCCGATAACTTCGGCCACCTCATCACTGTTCGATGTCTCCTCGGTATCGCTGAAGCTCCATTCTTTCCCGGAGTCTTCTTTCTTCTCTCTTGCTGGTATACTCGCGGTGAGCTCGGTCTGCGCATGGCAATTCTATACTCTGGTCTTGTCATTGCAACAGCATTCTCTGGTCTCATCGCAGCTGGTGTCTTTTCGAACCTTGATCAAGTCCGAGGTCTCGCAGGCTGGAGGGTATGTAGATGCATTCTTGTTATGGAGAATGGTGCTAACAGGAGTTGTCACAGTGGCTCTACATCATCATTGGATCTGTCAACTTCCTGCTTGCCCTATGCGCGATGGTTCTCCTCCCCGACTTTCCCGAGTCTAATACCGGAAGCCAGAGGTGGCTCTTCACGGAGGAGGAGCTTCGAGTCGCTAATCAGCGGATTGCCATGGACCGCATCCCGCAAGAGAGCAACCGTTCTGTCTGGTGGGGATTCAAGCGAGCTGTCGCTGACCACCGGACCTGGGTATTCGTCAGTTATCTTGAACAGTCCCCTATGTCCTCGCTAATGCTGACGGTGATACAAGATCTTTATGCTTATCTGCAACCATGTCGCGTACGGCTTCAACTACTTCTACCCTTCTATCGTCAGTGGATTTGGCTTTGGTTCCCGCACTATAACCCTTCTGTGCACAGCGCCACCATTTCTCATCGGTGCCATTGCGTCCCTGTTCATCTCCTGGTCAAGCGACAAGAGAAACGAACGGTCGTATCATATTGCCATCCCCATGGGTATTTCGGTAGTTGGCTTCGTCATCTCCGTCTCAACTCTCAACGGGCCGGTGCGTTATGTGGCATCGTTCTTATATGTTACTGGCTGTTTCGCTGCCAATGGTCTCGTGTACTCATGGGCTGCGGGCGTTCTCAACCAGACACCAGAAAAGAAGGCGGTCGCGACGAGCATGATCAACGTTATCGCACAGCTTGGAAACATCATGAGCCCTTACTTCTTCCGCGACCAAGACGAGCCTCGATATATTATGGCGATGATTTTGCTTATTGTCTTTGCTACACTCAGTGGTCTCACTTGTCTGTTTTTGAAGTGGGATTTAACTAGGGCCAACAAGAAGATTGTGGCTGAGGCTGAGGCCAATGGTACTGAGGCCAGACTGTTCTCACACTAAGTGTTCGAATTTGGTTGATCTCGACACACAATACAGGCGGTTGCGGCAGCGGGAATTAGGTGGCATATATGTGAATAGAGAAGCGCCATGTAGTGCAGACAGCAGAATTGAATGAGTTTAAGCTGAGCCATAGTCCGGTAACAAAAACCTGTTTTAATATTGAAAAACGAAACTTTCGTGGAATCTATCCTGCCATGACCCGGACATACATGGACAAATCGATGTAATTTCTGTAGAAACTGTTCTTGATACCCATCCGAGACCTTTAAATCTCGGATACGCTGACTATCCTGACCTCCTTAGACCTATGTGAGACTCGGTAACCCTATTTTGTTATTGAGGCTTTGCCACAGGGAATTGCGCAATATGCAACTTGGCCGATCCAAACGGGACCAATTTTATCTTTTCCTTTTTATCCTTGTCAACCACTGGGTCGATCGGAGGCCACGCCGCTGTATCGTTATCTGTTGGCCAGGCAATCTTCCACGCATCAACTGTAAGAAAAACCGGCGGAGCATCTTTTGCAAAGATCGGATTGGGCAGGTTTTTAACGGTCGATTGGGACGTCTTGACAACGATGCTATCTGGATCGATTGCGTACTGCCAAAGCTCAGTCGGTTCTAACACATAGTCGTGGGAGTGCGGGTGCACCTCGTCATTTGGCAGAGGCTTGCGATCGGTCCAATTCAGTGGTTGGTGATGTGTCTCCGTATGAGGGATGTCGAAAGCATACAGCAATGGGCCATAGTAAATACTGGCAGATGAGTTGCGCATCGTGATCCGAACCTCCATAGGTAGCTCCAGCTTCAAAGTCGTGGTTCCCGGAAGAATTGTTGTGTGGTGCAACCCAGAGTCATCCGGAGCGACTGTCTTGCTGTGGCCGCCATTGACCTCAATATTCGCCTTCGGGGTGGTCCAGTCGGGGATCCTGACTGCAAAATCAAATTTCGTTTTACTCTCAATCGTGTATTTAAGGGTAGAGTCGAATGGATAGCTCGTTTCGCATTTGACTGTTCTCATAATGTAAGCCATTGAAAAGCCACCACCAAATGTAAATCTAGAGTCTCACCTTTGACTTTTTTGCCTTTGATCTGGGTTTCAACAGATGTAGGGCCAAGGAGAATGTGCGCGACACTGCTTTCGTTGCTTTTTGCATAAGACGAGGCGACGTACTTTGCATACGCTTGAGGGTGGTTGACTGTACAGCAGGGCTGGGTACAAGATGTAAGCTTGGGAGCGTTTTTCACTCTGAAGCTGTCGACTCACAAAATTGGGTTCCAGGCCGTATGTATTGGCATAGGATACGACATTGAAAAATGGGTTTTTGGTCAGATTCCCTGACCGGATTTGGTTTGTTTGCGTGACATACTGGTGAGACCACCCTAAATCGAATTAGTAGTGTATTATACCGAGAACAAGATCATCATGTTCTTACAGTCTGGGCTCATGGCGGCTGGAAATGCGTTGAAAGCTGCAAGTTCTGCTTTGTCGGCGTAACTGTTGACCCCATGAAAACGGTATAGGAAGGCATAGGAAAATATGGACTCGACTGACATACAGAGTTCCGAACTGGATATATGTGTTTAGTTTAACAATTTGAGGGTTTGAATCAGTCGAAGACCTACCCTCTTTGAGGACTAAGGGCGCCCAAATGCTCATCACCAATAATAGTACCGGAAACAGACGTTTGATACTTGACTGTCATATCGACTGCCGCCCTAGTCTGCTGTACAAGGCTATCATTCCCCGTCAAGCGATAGAGCACAGTTGGATATCGAAGGCCTTGCTTGTAGTTTGAGTACTTGAAAGTATATTTCAGGAATGTAAGTACTTACCCTGAGCCAAATTTACACCATGAGTAAAACCACTGGTTTTAAATGTGCCGGTTCCTCCTTTAGGAAAAACGCCCTCGACGAAGAACTCTGTCCAGCCACGGCCTCCCTTTCGGCCACCATCAAACATGAGCTCGATAGTTTCGACTATCATGTCACCAGCATCACGGGGGTGGTTCTCATAAAGCCACATCAAAGAGATCGGAAGCTCATGAGTGCGGGAGAGACCGAAGCCAAAAGGGTCGAAATTGTCGCCCTGGTCTTTATCTTGAATCAATCCTGTAAAATTGCTTCGTAGCATGGAGTGAGTCAATTTCAAAAACTTGTGCATGCTGTCCACAATCCGGTCTCGTTCTGAAGTGTCTGCTTCGGCGTATTGCTGAGGATTACAGTAAGTAACGAAGTGTCATGGAGGTGAAGTTTGACAGCTTACTGTAAGACCAAACAGAAGAAGCGATCTTGCCCAAATACCTCGCGTCTGGCGTGTAGTTTCTGGCCCGAGCCATCCGTCTTCAGCTTGGTGGTCGAGGACATAATCAAGATAGGCTTTTGCTTGAGATTTTAGCTTAGCATCATCGAGGGACCAGGCTAAGGGCACGATATAATTGAACCAGTACGGTGATGCTTCGTTCAACTCGCTATACTCCCAGTCTCCCCCAAGCCAGGTAGATCGGGAGACATAGCGGTAAAACTCAAAGAGGTGTCCAGCCAAACCGTCAGCCGACAGCTGCAGTTGGTCCTTAAGCCAGCCAGTTGGACGCACAGCACCTGGAGGCAGGGTATCGAACTTAAATTTCAGAAGCTCTATAAACATTCAGTCAAGTGCTTATTTGCGTGAGGGCATGAATATATGCATACCTCGCCTATTTGACATCGTGGTGGTTTCCGTTCCGAAAACAGATGGAACGCTAGAAGCGGCATGAATGAGTAGGGTGAGTGCGGAATATCTCATGTTGTCAAATATTCTCGCGAGGGGAACGACATGCGTTTAGATGTCTTTGGAGACGCGCTGAACTACTCAATGATGAAAGCCTAGGCCCTGAACAGAGAGTGCTATAGTGGTATTGCCTTGCGTCGGGCACTATATACACCCTCCGAAACTCTCTATCGGGGGAACTGGCGGAAAACTCCCATATTGCCCCACACTCAGGTCTATTGTTCAACCAATGGAAATGAGTCGCTAATAGGACACGGTCCGAGCATTCACCCGCTCTAGACGCAAATCACCGTCAGGTCCTGATCTGCAAGTCCAGATTTAACCCAGATCAATAAATCAGGCTGCCATGACGATTCGATACATTCATGTGTATAGTTCGAAGAGGTTGCACGTGAAGGGGGCCATTACGCACTGCCTCATACATGCTTAGCCTCACTCGTCCGGCTCATTCTTTCTCAACTACAGGCACCATGGTTCAGAACAATGTTACAATAGGGTAGACGGCTAGTCATGGTTTCTCTGGGCGTGTCATACGTGCAGTACGCTATGGCCTCGCTGTACCGCTCCCGTATTAGATATGTCGTAACGCTTCTGCGTGGACAGCAATCCAGCGAATGACAAGCCTTTCACTCATTAATCAGCCGTGTCCCCCTGTATCTCCCCTGCTCTCCCAGCAAATCTGATCCAATAATTTACACTGCTAGGTTCTCCTCTACTCAAACAACAACTCTCGAGCGACAAGATCAGTGAGCAATAAAATGCCCCCGTTAAGATTTTTCATTAATCAGATTACAGAAGGATATCGGATCGTTCTACCGTTTCAATTATGTCGCAAAGTTCAGAAGCTACGAAGCTGGCTCAGCGTGCATTGGAAGAACAAGGACCTTTGAAAGAGGTTGAGACTAACATTGTCGGCATCGATGGGCATCGCTTTCGTATCAACTATGGAGTGCCCCAGGAGGTTACGGACAGACTGAATGCTCTGTGTAATCAAGACGAAGTCAAGTACGAGGATATACCTGATGACCTGAAGGCATATGAGGTGAAGGAAGACTCGAATGACGGCAATATAGAGAATTCTGGCAAGTAGTTGTGCGAATAATGCTAGTTATTGACTGTCAAAAAGTCCGTTCGTTATCGTCCCTCAATTACATCTCCAATCAGCCATATGGGTGCTTTGCTACTCCCAGAAATCACAACCTTCTTGCACAATCGCCACGATACTTCCCATTGAAGTCCAAAACATATTGCATAAAGTTGCGGCATTTTTGGCCCCTGTTTCTTTCCATCACCCTGCGCTAACTGTCAGTGTCTCATTGGCCGTGTAAACCCAAGATAATACAACCTTACGTTCCGACCACTGCTGCATTTTGTATAGACAGAATTTGTCTCAAAAGTTCCTCACATTTGAATCACTAGTACCGGTTGATGATGATCATCAGAGCACCCTTACGCGTGGGTGTTGGTCGCACTGTCATTGGTTCACTAAGTTCTCTGTGCTGATTTAAGCTCTCAGACACTGGTTGTTGGTTACAACGTCGGAAACACGACACAAGAATGTTGATTAGAACCAACAACATATATGAAGGTCGAACGGACGGCGACCATGAGTTACACTTGGCGACGAAGGCTATACCGTCCACAGCTCTGATACAATAATCATCGTGATCTTCTAGACTGATGTATAATAATTCCATTTTGTGAAGAAAAAGTCTGGGCTTTATTCTGTGAAGCCTCAATATTGCCGTTGCGGGGATATTAAATTGAAAACTATAACGAGAATCGTAGGAGGGATTAACTGTATCAAAAGGATTTTGAAAGCCTACATGCGAATGGAACCTCGTCTTCTGATCCTAGAATATGCTGTTGGCTCTAAGTGGATTCTTCTCAATGCTCTCCAATGGTCAACGCAGCATGTGTTATTCGCCACAGGATCTTTTTCCCCCATGAGTAAAGACCGAGCGTAAGATTCCTTACTTGCCTTTCTGGATGATATATATAAAAGCCTGGGCTCAGTCCCAAGCAACTATCATAACATTCTTCTCCAGAACACACATAGGTCAGCATCTACCTACCATATTAATCTCACTATACCTTGGTCCAACAAAACATTCAATCTTGAATCACGCATTTCACCCAGATCCCCCTCGCCTCCGGAAGAAAGTTTCACATAGAATCAGCTGTAACTATTCGCAACTTCCGCATCGGCACTTGAAAAGTTTGAGTCGAGACAAGGCTTGATAACTGTCAGCTCTCAGCCTACCGAATTGACAAACAAGGCTCTTTAGGCAGACCAAAGATCAATTGTTGCATAGTTCATCACGAGTCCATTATGATTCGCTACCCGTCGCGAGGAGTCTTTCGCCACATCTACTCCAAGCTAGCATTCGCTCGGTTCCTCGGTATCAGCTTTCGGGGCAGATGCGAGGAGAACTCGGCCCCGCACCCCGACATGACTGCAGTCTCACTTCGGTAGGAGAACCAGTTGTACAGCATTGATATTCCCTGATAAGTATCAAGGTTGACCGTAATCGAATTATAGCATTATTCCAATCAGTGGAAAATTCGGTGTATGACAAAATACTTTTCTGCTGGACTAATAATTCACATCACACTTCTCACCATGGTACGAGCATCAACCATCACTGCCACCACGCGCAACCCGCAACTACGCATACTAAATGCACTACGAGCCAATGGCAAGCCCATAATGACTTTTTTGGGCTTGCCGTCTCTTCGAACGGCTCAGATTGTTGCTTCCACTGGAGTCGACGTAAGTTTTCTGCCCATAGGTTAGACTGATTTATGCTTGGATCATATTCCCTGACTCCTTCTCAGGCGGTCATCATTGATTGTGAGCATGGTCATATTAGCGATGACTCCATGCATGACGCCACTGCCGCCATCGCCGCTGCGGGTGTCTCGCCGCTTGTCCGTCTAAGAATGACCCATCCTGACCTTATCAAGAGAGCTCTTGACAGTGGTGCGCAGTGAGTTGCTCGCATACTGAACCATTACCTTTCCCTACTGATATCTCTAGTGGAATAATTCTACCTCAAGTCCACACTGCCCAAGAAGCAAGTGAGGTAGTAAAATACTCCAAATTTCCACCGCAAGGTCTCCGGGGACAAGGATCACCATTTGCTGGGTTCGCGCACAACGTCGATATTGCAACATACGTCAAGACAGCAAATGAAACAACTATTGTGTGTGTTCAGATTGAATCGCGGCAAGGAGTCGATAACGTAGACGCTATCTGTGCTGTGCCAGGCGTTGGTAAGCTTAAGCTACTGAGAAAATCCCCACCATGTGTCCCGAGCTGACCCCAGTCAAGACATGGTCTTTATCGGACCCAATGATCTGGCCTTTTCTCTTCTCGGTTATGTACCCGCCAAGGGTGACGAGCCCGAGTTTCTGGATGCCATTGATAAGATCGTCGCAGCGGCCCGAAAGCACGGAAAGTGGGTGGCCCGATTATCTAACTCTGGATCTTTATGTAAGGAGCATTTGGATGTGTTTGATACAGTGGCTTTGAGCTATGATGTTAGGGCGATTCAGAATTGGTATGCTGCAGAACTTAAGGCTGCAAGGGACTAGAGAGCAGAGTCCGTGATTAACGCGGCTGTAATTAAACCTGGATGATACTCTTTTGCAGTTAGATAGGTCACTTGAGTCTAGTTGTTACAATGTATCGCTGCTTGAATGCGTTCTTCTCAGAGAGCCCGTCTTTGCTGATTTTGTCGAAGGCTCGGGCGTAGGTACAATACATCGGGGTACGAATGGACCTTGCAGAACAATACCGAGAGCGAATTGTTTCCCCGAGAAGCAACCTATAGGGAATTATCGTACTACGTATGTAGACCAACTGGAACTAAAACCTCTCCATAGCCCTTAGCAGATTGTGGCTGCCGATACCAATTTCATTCACTCGGCGAGGCCCACCGAGCAAAGTTTCAGGGATGCGCTCGGTATGGCCCACCGAGCAACCACCTCGGCCAATGTGGCTACAATGTTAGAACAAAACTCGGGGTTGGCACTCCGTGTCTCTCTGTATTCGCCTAGACAAGTCTAATCGGATTGTTTCCTATCAACTTAAAAGCATGCGTGGCGTATACCCTTGACCCTTCTTTTCACAATAGCTCTACCCGATACTAGCATTCTAACATCCCTCAAAATGTTCTCCTCATTTCGAAAGGGGCCCGATGACCCCATGTACTTTCTCAAGCTGGCAGCCGACCAGGATACGTCACCAGATAAGGTTGATCTTGGTGTTGGTATCTACAGAAACGAAAGTGGTCTCTACAGTCAGCTCGGCTCTGTCGCAAAGGTATGCACGACACAATGGACTGATAAGGATGAGCACTGACTAGCGTTTGGTACTCTAGGCAAAGGTAGTCTTGGCTGAGAGCGATCCTGGTCACGACGTGAGTTTGATTCCTCTACATATTTGTCCCGTCGCATCTAATTCGAGGATAGTATGAGATCACAATAGGAAACCAGCGGTTCTTGAACCATGCTGCCCGCCTCTTGTTCGGACAAGACTGCGAGCTCCTACAGTCTAGCAGAGTAATTCACCACCCTCTGGCGTACTGACAATCACTCGCTAACAGGCCCCAGATCGCCTCAGCTCAGACCATCTCTGGTACGGGCGCCTGTCACGTCGCTGCTCTAGCCTTGAGCCAATCCATCTCTCCTCATCCGAAAGTATACGTCGGTACCCCTACCTGGGGTAACTACAAGCCAATGTTCGAGCTCGTCGGCCTTGAAGTGATCGAATACCCATACTTCGACTTCCAGACGCGAACCATCGACTTCTCCTCCATCATCTCAGCAGCGCTGAATGCACCCCCTCGAAGCGTCTTCATCCTACAAGCTTGTTGTCACAACCCTACAGGCGCCGACCCTACAAGAGAACAATGGCAGGAACTTGGTGCGGTGCTGGCACAGAACTCCCACTTTGTCCTTTTTGACATTGCGTATCACGGACTGGGCAATGGCCTCGATGAGGATGCTTATGCAATCAGGCATTTCGCTACCTTGGGCCTAGACATGTTTGTATGCCAGTCATTCTCTAAGAACTTTGCTTTATATGGCGAGAGATGCGGTGCCTTGCATGCTGTATGTTCGAGTCGCGACATAGCGGCTGTTGTGCAAGATCGACTTCGATGCTTAATACGGTGGGAGTTCTCATCTGCACCGGCTTATGGCAGTCGCTTGGTCACTATTGTATTGGACTCGGATGACCTAACTGCAGACTGGTGAGTACTTACCTAGCGATACGTCTCAAACGGGGATATGTATATGCTAACTGGAGATGCTCACGCCTTAGGGTCGAAGAGCTGTCCGAGATACAGCACCGACTAAAGGCTCTCCGGAAACAACTGCATCACAGATTGACTCAAGTGTTAAAGGTAGGCCAACGCCACATTCGAAGTAGGTCAACAACTGACTTGTAGCAGACACCGGGAAATTGGGACCATATTTTGCGAGAGAATGGACTCTTCTCGTAAGCCGAACCTATGATCAAACGTTGAGGACCTGTGCTAATTCGAAGCAGATACCTCAGCCTCAATCCTAAACAGTGCCAGAAATTCATCGACCAACATCATATCTATCTTCCACCGAATGGTAGAATCAACATCTCAGGTCTCAGCCAGAGCAATATCAGCAGAGTCGCTGATTCCTTAGATCAGATTATACGTGAGGAGTCCGGGCAGGACATCCAGACAAGGGCAGCTCTTTAGTTGTTTCAGGCCGAGACAGGGGCAACCAAAGGGGAGCATTAGTGTACTGCTATGACTCTATTCATCTATTAAAAGACTATCTTGCAAGACTATAAGTTTTAATTTGCATCTGTACATTAGTTCAAGCCTTTCGCTGTAATAACTGACATATATTTTGTCTAAGATATTGCGTCTGAGGGCCATTGGCAGTTGCATCATGTATCTAGTTCCCGCTATCCCAGTCTAATACCCATGCAGAGGCAGAGTGTCCAAGGATATTTCTAGTAAGAGATACTGCATTCCTAGGAGGATTCTATCTCTTCTATCTCTAGTATAGTAGTCAATCCGATTACTCCAGCTCCGAGAACGACATACACTGGGTGGCTGCTGATGGATGCTCGTGTGATAACAAGAGACTCCAGTAGGCACCTAGGTATTCAACTGCTGGTTCGATACTCTGATAGCGTTCTGTGGGCTAGAAACCCTCCGTGCTGCAGACGATCAAAAGTCAACCGGCCCAACGGATCGGTGAGCACTCTCCGAGGTCTCGGCACAAGGTAACGCTCTTATCTCCCCAGATTTATTATTGTGGGGTAATAATCTTCTAGTTCATTCTTGCCACAAGTGTCGAATGATGTCGAGACTCTTGTTTGTGTTGTCTGACTCGATCCCATCCCTGACTTAGAGTCATTTTTGGATAGCGTTGTGGGGTATCATGGAGTAAAAATGATCATGGGGCAAGATAGCCTAACAAGCCAGTCCCCTCCCTCGGTGAGCAGGACCGAGGCCATGATAAGGTTTAGTGGCAGGTACTAGGATACAATGGGGTTGGCCTAGAACCGAATCTTTATTGATAAAGACCGACATGTCGAACACATCAACAGCGTTCACTAACCACCAACTCCACAACTGACAGACACTACAAGGCCTATTTCACAATGAGAGAATCAATTGAGAAAGAAGAAATCAACAACCTCGGTGTGGTTGAATCCCAAACGCAGGGCGAAATGACTCAGCCTAACGAACTGCGAAGGGACTTCAAGCCACACCAGGTCTTCATGTTCTCCATCGCTTGTGCAATTGGCACGGGACTTGTGATCGGTACAGGTAGTGCTCTATCCAGAGGCGGGCCTGGCAGTCTCTTGATCGCGTACATCCTCATAGGAATCACGGTGTTCTTCGTCATGACTGCCATTGGAGAGATGGCCACTTTTCTCCCCATGAATAAGGGGTTTGGAGGTTATGCAACGCGCATGGTCGATCCAGCTCTCGGGTACGACGCTCTCTCTCTCCTCATGCAACGTCCGAACTGACATGGTGTAGTTTCGCAACTGGCTGGAACTACTTCTTCAAATACATCATAGCCACTCCGACAAACCTCACGGCTGCTGGGCTGGTGATTCAATACTGGAGACCAGATCTCAACGTGGCCATATGGATCACCATTTTCGGCGTCGCAATTGTAACTGTCAACGTAAGCAGCCTAAAGGCCTAAGCCAGTTTATACACTGTATCTAACAAGGATGTAGATTCTTCATGTCAACAGCTTCGGCGAGACCGAGTTCTGGCTTGGCTTTGCCAAAGTTCTCATCATGACGACTCTGATTATTACCACTTTCGTGGTTGCCATGGGCGGCGGTCCAAACCACGATCGATCCGGCTTTCGATACTGGCAAAACCCTGGAGCGTTTGCCGAGTATCTTCTTGAGGGGCCCAAGGGACGATTTCTCGGTTTCTGGGCCTGCTGCTGCCAAGCGTGCTTTGGCTTCACGGTATGTGGACTTACAATCTCGCGTGGAACTTTAGTGACAAGATGAATAGGGCACTGAAGTCGTAGGCATGACTTTCGGCGAGACCCCAAACCCACGGAAGAACGTCCCTCGAGCTGTCAAGCAGACTTTTTGGAGAATCGCCTGTTTCTACATCCTTGGCGTCTTGGTACTTGGCATGGCCGTTCCCTACGACAACGAGCAACTTATTGGCGCGACTAAGCAAAAGACGAGTGGAGGTAAGCTTCTTACATGGTATCGATTGCTCAGTTGGTTGACTTGCTCTCGCTAGCCGCTTCACCGTTCGTCGTTGCAGTGACTCTGGGCGGTGTCCCCATCTTCGCCGACATTATCAACGGGTGCCTTTTGGTATTCACTCTAAGTGCCGCAAGCTCAGGTATGCCACGCCGTCACTCCCCTACCTCCATGTACCTGTACTAATGTTAGCAGACATCTATTGCGCTTCTCGATCCCTCTACGGTCTCGCCAAAGATGGCCAGGCGCCTCGACTCTTTGCCAAAGCCCGCGAAAACGGCAACCCGATATTCGCTGTCGGTATATCGTCGTTATTCATCTGCCTGGGATACATGAACGCCAGCAAATCCTCTTCTACAGTCTTTGGCTACTTTGTCAGCCTTGTGACGGTTTTTGCTGTTCTCAATTGGGTCGCTATCCTGATTTCTCACATACATTTCCGCCAAGCTTTAAAGGCGCAGGGAATCGCCGGAGCTGATCTGCCCTATGTTGGGTTCCTACAGCCATACGGCTCGTACTTTTCACTGTTGATCTCACTTCTGGTTATTGTCTTCAATGGTAAGAACCCCCCAGTCTATCAGGATATAAGATCTATCGCTAACTGAGATACTATAGGTTATGATGCTTTTATCCCACATTTTAAGCCCGAGGTTTTCGTTCTCAAGTATCTCGGTACCGTCATTTTCGTTTTCAACTTCGTTTGGTGGAAGGTTTCGAAGAAGACTACTTGGTGGTCCGCTTCAGATGTCGACCTCAGCACAGGAAGACGAGAGTGGGAAGAAACGGAGAGGCCGGAGGAAGTTCACTGGGAGGGCGGATTGTGGAAGAATGTTCTTAGCAAGTTCAAGCGTTAGAAGCCACTATTAGTCATTGATATACGACATTCAAAATCTATTTCTTTATCTGAACACTATGCCTTGGTAGCATTTGTCGAAATTAGGCCTTTGGCGATAAGATCGTCTCGGTCAGCGTCTCTACCAGTTTGGTATGGCCTAAATTCTGCGGATGCCAGGGTGAGGCTTGGGCCCCGCATTAATCATCTGCCCACTGTGGGGGAGATTGCCGAGGGCCGCATCCAGTTCTCGGGCAGTGGCCCCGAGCTGCAAAGTGGTCCCCGCATCTCGTTCGGAGACCGCGAGCCTAGCAGACCGAGCGACCAGCTACATAAAACAAGGGCAGCTAGCCCGCCCGTATTCAGTTGGCCTTTGCAGTACAGATTTCTTACAATCCACGCCCTACAATACTAAAATGCTCGCCTGTCGGAACTCGCTCAAAGAAAGGGTCGCCAATGGGCAGCTCTGCAAGGTATGGATGCATCCCCAGACGCTGTCTTACCATGGCCCTCTGCTGGGGCATGGAAATATGTGTCTTCCACGTTCTTCAAAGGTACTCTTGATTAGCACGTCCAGCGCAGTGCTGATACCATCAACCTTCAGGCCCTTGGTGTACGACTCGTCACAAACCCCCAGGTAGTACAACTAGCCAAGAACGCAAAATTCGATAGCCTCTTTATCGATCTGGAACACTCAACACTGTCTCTCGACGACGCCGGCAAGCTATGTAGCGCTGGTCTTGCTCTCGGCATAACGCCATTTGTACGGGTGCCACATCAATGCGGCAATGGATTCGTCCAGAAAGTCCTCGACGCAGGTGCCATGGGGATAATATTTCCTCATGTACAGAACGAAGGTCCATAAAATTTCATCGAAATATCTTTCTGTTATACTAACATACCCTCCATCCAGATGAAGCAAAGGCAGCTGTGGCCATATCGAAATATCCCCCTCAAGGCTGTCGCTCAATCACCGGCCTACTGCCCGCCTTCTCCCTCAAGCCCTACCCTCAAGCCGATGTGATCCGGGAGACCAACGAGCACGCGTCGACAGTTTTCGTCATGATAGAAAACGAGTGTGCGGTCCAGAAGGTAGAAGAGATTGCAGCCGTGAACGGAGTCGACGTTGTGCTCGTTGGGTCCAACGACTTGGCCATCGAGCTCGGTGCCCCTGCTGATTTTCGCAGCGACAGATTTCGCCAGGCTTTGATGCGCGTGAGCGAAGCGTGCAGGAAGTATGGAAAGGTCATGGGTCTTGCCGGTATCTATGATACGCCGGATATTCAAGATTGGGCTATGAACACATTGGGTGTCCGGTTTATGCTATGCCAGCAGGACTCAGGATTGATTGCGGGTGCTGCAGCGAAATGTTTGGCTGCTGTAGAAATAGTTGAGAATGCCCCTTCGTCAAAGTCGATGAATGGGTCATCCTAGGTAGTGCATCCCTATATTTCCATCTCGCATTTTAAAGCCTCTAACTTCCCTTGCTCCTTATCTTCTTTTCCATCTCCAGCGTTTCATTCTCTGTTCCCGTGAACGAGTAAAACTCCTTCTGACCTATGCCACCTGCATACGTATCACCTTATCACAATTCAATATGCATAATGGGTCAAATGCATTCTTCATCTGCGGCCTCAAGTTAGCCTCGTATAACACTGGAGGGCCAAAAGACTTACCGATCGCATTGCATCAACAGCTTCTTTTCCCAGCTCCTTCTCCAGATAGTCCCTCTTCTCAAGTCCGATGCCATGTTCGCCCGTCGCTGTACCTTTCATCTCGATGGCTTTATCAACCATTCGGTGAACGACCTCTTCGGCGATATGACGCTTCTCCTCGGGGAAGAGCAGCAGGGTATGGAAGTTCCCGTCACCAACGTGCCCAACAATTGAGCCGAGTAAGCCCGACTTTTCGATATCGTCTTTGGCAAACTCGATGATGTCAGGGAGCCTACTGAGAGGTACAGCCCCGTCAGTAGTCCAGACTTTGTCGGTTGGTGATTTTCTCATGGCCAGCATACTCCAGAGGGCATTCTTCCGCGCGGACCATAATTCATTCCGCTCAGTCTCGTCGGATGCGAATATGTAGGCGGTGCCGTGATTCTGTTTCGTGATACTACCGACTTGCTTGGCGAGGTGTTGTACGATGAGCTCATCACTCCCGGTAAACTTGAAGAACAGGGTTGGCTCTTCTTTCCATTCCAATCTCGTTAACGCTGAGTCGTTGATGCTCTTCATTTGTACTTCATCAAGAATCTCAACAGCCGCAACCTGGATGCCATTAGATAGCACCTCTCGAACTGCAGATGCTGCGTCTCGTAGTGTTGGAAATGTGCATACGGCCACGGCCTCACATGGTGGCTTGACTGCCAGTTTTAGTGTAGCTTCCGTGACAAGGCCAAGGGTTCCTTCACTGCCGATAAAGGTCTTGGTCAGATCATAACCTGCACTCGACTTTCTGGCGCGTTGGCGAGTCTCGATGATTGTTCCGTCCGCAAGTACGACGGTTAGTGACAGGACCCAGTCTTTCATGGTTCCGTATGCAGCTGCGTTTGTCCCAGAGCATCCTGTACCAACCATGCCTCCAATCATGGCGCCAGGACCAGGGTCTGGGGGGAAGAATAGGCCATGAGCTGCTAGCCCTTCGTTCAGGTCCATCCATCCAATGCCGGGTTGCACAACACAGTCGAGATCATACTTGTTGAGCTCTACTATATTGTTCATTCGACCAAAGTCAATACATATGCCCTGTAGATGAGGTATGTACTGGCCTTCGATCGACGTCCCTCCCGAGTATGGCGTGACAGGAAGCCGACGTTGGAAGCATACTTTCATAAGCTCTGAAACCTGTTCTGTAGTCTCAGGATAGAGGATGACTTGTGAAAGGATCGCTGACTCTTCAGTCCAGGCGTAAGACTGATAGTCAGAGCCCGAATGGGTAACCAGATCGGCACGTTCTGTTGAGACGTTCTCGGGACCCAAGATAGCGGGGAATTCTTTACAAGCATCTTGAATATTTGTTGCTGACAAGTCATGCTGAATCTCAGGGGTGTCAAACAATGACTGTGTAGATGCTAGTTGCCGTGTCGTTGGCTGGCTGCTGACACTCAGCGCTCCAGCCATGCCGACTGTTAATGCCGCCAACCCAAGTGCGTATAGCCCTGGTTGAAGTTAGTCACTGGTCTGTCAATGTAATAGGGGCTTGCATCTACTACTTGTCTGCCATTGAGTTGATCCCGAAGTTTGTGTTTTTAGTGTGTTTGAAACTGAGCGACAGCACTGAGCTAGTAATCGGGTCCGGGAAGGCGTTGGTCGTGGCCCAGCATATAGTACACGCCGTAAAGATTTGTGCAGACCCGACATATTAACTTTGGTAGACCACAGCGAGTCTTGAAAAAAAGTAAAAGACGATTGAAGTATAAGAAACAGATGGGCAATTGATCGCAATTAATTATCATCGTTCTCTTCTCTGCCTACTCCAATTTCCCATCGGCCATCCATTTTCCAGGTGGCTTCGGGGATGGTGCCATCGGCTGTGGATTGTAAGTCATACTATCAGCATTCGGCTATGGACAGTACCATTCCCGAGAAACCAATTTCCATTCTTGGAGTAGCAGGCCAGACTATTAGTTCTAGCCAAATCCCTTCAGCCCATGCTATGGCAAATCATGGGTAAGTGAACGAACCATGGATCCCCGCACTTGCTCAAGACACCAATCTCTTGATAGTATGCCAAGAATATGAGGTTTTTGCGTCTTAAGTTCTCTCTGTTGATTTAATCTCTCAGCCACAAGCCTCAACTGCAAATAGCACATCTAGCTCACAACTTAGACATTATACCGCAATGACTTTATTGATCCAAAGGCTCAGTACTCGCTATGCCTAGATCTGCTAGAAAGTACATGGCTTGATACTGAAATGAATCTGGATGCGGGAACTCCATGTCGTCACTTGACTGAACACCCGAGAAGACGCCACTTGCCAGGTATGTTGGCCAAAACCCACCTCCCTCAAATCCCGAGCTTTGGCCAAACGCAAAGTTATTGTCTTCAACACCTGTCGTATCATGCGTGGTTTGGTCAGCTGGCGGAGTGCTTCTCTGGATGTCAAGGACTTGATCCTCACTGCTATTCCTCATCTCTGTACCTAGTCCGCCGCCCTCTGCGTCGCCGCCATTTGAGTTCGTAGGCTGTATGTGTGCTTCTTCCGTGTCTGTAGGGGGCGGACAATTCAGAATATCCATAAAGAAGTTCTTGATCCATCTGGCTAGGATATACACTGACTCAAATTGCTTCAATGCAAGCAGTCCAGGTCGGATCTTTACAAAGATCTGGTCACTTTTTGGCGCTGATGTTTTGACATCAACTGCAAGAGCCATCATTGCAGAGAATAGCGCAGAAGCACTGGGACTTTTGTAAGCCCCCTGTTGTAAAAGCTCTCGGAGAAACTTACTATATCATGGGAAAGTGCTCCGGTGTCCAAAAGAGCAACGAGTTCTCTACGAGACTCAAGATTTGTTCTGCCGCGTCAAGCACTGGCTTGACCTCTTTAGATGCGCAGCACTGTCTTTGTAGCCTCTGGCTGAGGTTTATCAAATAGTAACTAATGAAATCAGCTTCATGCTTCGCGAATAATAGCGTGATACACACTGATAGCAAACTTTCAGTGTTAGACTTAGATGATGGTTACCGTTGGAGAAGTTCAAGCCCGGAGACGACTCGTACCAGGCTTGTAGCGTCGACTGAATATCTCTCATGGCTTCATGGATAACATGAGCTTCTTTACAGAGAGATAGACGGGAAGGCGAGCAGTGGGAGAAGTATAGTCGAGCCACTATTCTGTTAGTATTGCCCATGGCAAGCAATCAGGCTTGGGGGCACGGAAGATCTTACTAGCTTTACTCAGCTTGACCTGGGATATGACATACTGCACAGTCTCCGGAGCTTCCTCCGCAAAGTCTTCCTCGACAAGTTCTTCGACATCATGATCTTGGTCGTTGATTACCATCGGCGTCCCGGTAGAGATGGCGATCTGACGATCACGGACCTAACCTTTTAGTTGAGACTTCCTATCACCAGAGAGATACTCACATAAAGACACCACCAGATGCGCTTCCAATGCGACCTTTCCTCAGGTGACATCTTACTATTCCTTGTGCTCCTATGATAACCTGTGCATTGCGCGGATCGTATCGCAGCTGCAAGCCACCAGTGGCAATCACGATAAGCCGTGGGACTTCCGAACCAATAGTGAAGTAGGTACGACGACAGTATCATGTGTGTTCGACTTGATTCCCGATCTGCGTCGAAGGCTGCGCTTGCTTTGTTGTACAGAGTATTGCTGGCATCCCACTGAGTGCTGTACCCCTTGAGGTGCATTACCTCAGGATCACAATGCAAAGATGCCACGAAAAGGACACTTCGGAGTAGGGTACCAGATGATGTCCCGTCGTCGAGAGATGCAAGGAAGTACGTCTTTCCAAGGATTGGACAAAAAGCGTGAAACTTTTCGAAGTAGACCTTGATGAGACGATCCACTAACTCTGGTGATGGGAGATCCGACAGGGTCGTCTTTTCACGAGGCAAGGATGACCGACTGCAGACACTCTCTCTCCTCTTATCACGGGTTACACTCTGAACTGTCTCGTTACACTCGCCAATTGGGCGGTGAACGCTATTGTGGCCGGGCGTGTAACCTCGCATGACATAGGAAGCGTACCAGCTTTCTCCAACGACGCTTGGTTGGGTATTAGGACTCGCATGTTGATCAGAGACAGTCGAAGGCCTTGTGGTGGCCGACTGCCCGGATGGTTGCATTGAAGCGCTGTTGTGTTCTCCTTCTGTCTGAGAGTCCTCAGTGACTAAGGCCATACATTCATCGTCGTTGCTCGGGGCAAAGCTGGGGCTGTTGGAGCTGCGGTGAGATTCCACTTCTGGCAATAGCGTGTATCTCCCATCAGGGCCTCTATAGGACGATAATCAGTCCTACTTCACTACATAGCGATAGCGTCCTATCTTCAACACTAACATTAGATGAGTGCACACTGCTCATGATGGCCGCTCTTCTTGCAAGCTGAGCACGGTACACCAATAACAGATCCATCACACTTTGTTCTTCGCCGATTGCAACGTCCACACGCCGTGCCTCTCTTCCTGCCATAGTTGGACGTTCTCCTGGTACGCTGTGAAGAGATCCCTTGGTCCATTGCGCCCAATCGTGATGCGTAGATACTCATAACACTTCAAGAGCTGCATCCCTACTCTTCCCCGCCTGGAGCAATCCGGGGCGTGCCACAACAGTGGGCCTGGAGCAAAGGAAGCAGTCTACCCCGCAGAAGCACCACGCTAAATCCTCAAGCTTAACCAACCAACCTGTTTGTTTGCACGGAGATGATCGCGGGAATTACCATAGCCGATGGTCATCCCCGTCATCGGTTGTGGTTAGCCTTGTAGATCCCCCATCCTTCACGTTTCCCTTCTCAAAGCAGAAAGCTATCAAACGAGACATGGATCATTGGCGATCTTGGCCCGAAATGCATATGTATAAAAGTGACCCCAGACTTCCCCGGATTTGATACCTGCATGAGCTCACTTCGCTAGTAGCACTTCTTCACTACAGCAATGGCCAACACTACAACGATTCGCCCCGAGATTGACATCTCTCACGAGGAAAAGCATGAGCTAGAACAAATTGAGACGAAGGATAATGTCCAGTCCGATCACGACACGAAATTCGAGAAGCGCGTTCTTCGAAAGATTGATACTCGACTTCTACCTATCCTCGGATGCCTCTACACAATCGCGCTCGTCGACCGATCCAATATTGCGGTGGCTCGCATCTCCGGCATGGATGAGGACCTGGACCTCGCTGTCGGTAATCGAGTCTCTATCGTCTTGATGGTCTTCTTCATCGGGTACATTCTCTTTGAGATCCCCAGCAATGCCTTTATTCACAAACTTGGCGCGGCGAACTGGCTTGCCTTTCTAGCCTTTGCGTGGGGCTTGGTGTCGCTTGGCATTGGCTTCTTGAACAACTGGGCTGGTCTCGCTGTGCTGAGGGCCCTTCTCGGTGTTTTCGAGGCTGGATTCTTCCCAGGTAGCTATGTCGACCCTCATCCCAAATAGCCATGGCACTGATAATGAGAAAGGCTGTGTTTACCTTGTGTCTTCATGGTACAAGCGCTACGAGGTCCAAAAGCGAATGGCAGGCTTCTTCTTGACTGCTTCTGCGCTATCAGCATTCGCCAACATCCTCGCATATGGCCTCATCCAGATCTCCAAGACTCATCGCTACAAAGGGTAGGTCTGCCTGTCCATTTAGTGACGGTCTAGAAGCTGATTGTTGTAGATGGCGTTGGATCTTCATTGTCGAGGGTGCTCTCACAGTAGTAGCAGGCATCGGCTCATGGTTCATCATCGTCGACTTTCCGGACTCGGATAAAAACACATTCCTCACTCCCGAAGAAAGGGCCTTCGTCAAAGAACGCCTCGCCGAGGACCGCGGCCCTGAAGAACGAGAAAAAGTGACCATCAAGATCATTGGCCAGACAGCTGCGGACTGGAAGCCCTGGGCCTATTCACTTATGTACATGGCTGGTGCCGTTGGAGTCTATGCCTTCTTGTTCTTCCTGCCTATCATCCTACGCGGTGGTCTTGGATACTCACTTGAGCTTTCATTCATTCTGAGTACACCGCCAGCGTTATTTGCTGTCGTCGAAGCAATGAGTATCTCGTGGCTTGCTGATAAGACGAGGCTGCGAGGTCCGTTCGTCATCTTCCAAGGCCTGATTGGAATCATCGGGCTATGCATGACTGGTTTCCTCGATTCACCAACACCTCGCTATGTCGGCACATTTCTTGGTGTCGCTGGCGCTAATGGCTTGGTTGTGACGACTCTTGCGTGGCAGGCCAACAACATTGTCGGTGATGCTCGACGTGCCGTATCCACTGGCTTCCTCATCAGTATGAGTGGTGTTGGTGGGATTTACTCTAGCATGGTATTCCGTAAGTCGGCAACCCTTCCCTTGACATATCGCATCTGACAACAGTGCAGGGCAACAAGACGCACCAAACTACATTCCTGGACTCATCGCTGTCATGGCCATCAACGTGACAGCGGTTGTGGTCGCCGCGCTAACAATGCTTATGCTCCGCCATAATAACAGACAGGCGGGTAAGGGGAAATGCTTATGCGAAGGTCGCGAAGGATTCAGATATACATTGTAGAGTTCTTGTTACTCTAATTGACAGTCATGACTCGCTGCAGTCTTCGAAATGCTCTGCGTGATCCAAGTTGCTGTCGGTATCAGAGACAGGGCAGGCATCGTCGCCGTCCATCCCACCCATCCCTGGGTGTTCACTCTCTGGAACTACTGCAAACTTTCCCACCAGATGAAGAGCTTTTCCCAGTCTTGTGCCAGCCTGAGAACAGTACTTCATATCTTCCCTTTTCATCCGGCGCAAATTATCCTGCTCTTTCTGATCTAATTCGGCACGCTGTTTCGCTATCTCTTCTTGTGCCTCTTCCAGACGTAGCTGAATGAATTGCTTGTTCTGCGCAAGCTCTGTGAGTGTTGACTGAGTTTCCAAATTGAGTTTCGCGATCGCTTGAATATACGTATTGTCCCCTAGAGCCCTGGTAAGGTCTTCGGCATCGGCAAGAAACTGTTGAAGTCCTATTGAACTGGTGCGGACGCGATGGACTGCTGTATGTCTGATTTGTGCAACTGAATGCAATAATTTCTTGAGTGAATTTTTGCTTCCTTGGCGCTTTAAGTTTCCCTTATTTCCGAGCAGCTCTGCCTACTGGCTAAGCTCAACTGCTTTAGGACAGTCCCAGTGGCGATCTTGCATAATACTCGAAAGTTCTCTTAATCCATACTCGTAACAGGCAGCTTCCAGGACCTTTTGAAGTTTCTCCATAAGAAGATGCTCCGTAGGGAACGGCAGATAGACTGGGAACGACAATGGTATTCCAGCAATGTCGCACGCAGTGCCGTCACTGACATCTGGCCAGCCTCAGATACTATTGATTAACTTGAGTGGACGAGACATACCCTGTAGCGGCTTCATATCTTCTTCCGTGTGACCGGTCTGCCTACTGTTGTCTGAGTTGCTTAGTTCATCACCTTCAAGCGCGACTTGCTCAGTCCTAGTGGCCTCTGCTTCAACGTGCGTGTTGACAGCCGTTTGGACAAACGAAGGCTGAGATAGGTCGGGAAAGCGTTGACTAGCAATTGCCGCTGACTCATAAACCTTGTCCGAAAGTAGCTTCAACACTATCTCAGCGACAGCGTTATAGCCGTGATCAGTAACGATTTGTTGCACTGGGTTCCCCGCCAGTAAGTTGTTGTTAATCGATGTCTCTACAACCCCACGTTTTCGTATTTTAGCGTACTTCCCGACGAAAACATGCTTTGTCGCTTGATAGATCAGTCGCTCATCCAGTTGCGTACCAATAACTGAACCCATGTTGGGCCGTCCAGGAAGTCGAACCTCTACTCGTGAAGCAGAACAGTCGGTAGACAGAACAGAGAATGTAATTAGGTAGAATCCCCAGATTTATAAAATTAGAAGAAGTATTGACGTTGTAAGGGACGGTTAAGTTCCTGCTAAATATACGCTTGAGACAAGCGGGGAATTTGTCATGGTAGGCCTCCCAAGACAAAAAATGCCTATACGCTGAATGGCTAGGTATCTACCACGTCATAGATGGTGTAGAGCGTCAAAATATATTGATACTTGATAACCGGTTTGTGCTAGTCTTGGTATTGATTTTACGGCTTGTTATGTTTTCTTGGCATAATCGATAAGAATTGTCTCAAACAGCATGAATTTGCGCTCCCAGCATTGCACGAGCAATTGGGATAGAGACAGTCAATAGGAAGATGGACTTAAGCGTACTCAGTATTGTTGACGTGAACATTCTTTCCCTGTTTTGTCATAGCCTAGCAACCTATTGGCCATTATATAAACAGTAAAACAGCTGCCCAGGTACAGGGTAAGACGCGATTTCATCGGACTCCGGGTATATAATAGTCCGACAGCTTTCCGCATTCGTACTAAGAGTAGCTTGCTTCGACTGGTCTGCTGAAAGGACTTTTGCTTCCGACGACCTTATCCGAGACGTGACATATACATGACATTTAATCAGCTTACACCGCAGATGATGAACAACAGAGGTTAAGCAAAGAAACAACGATTGACAATATAGACGTTGGAATGAACACGCAATCCACGCCTCCACCGTCGGGGAAGCGAAACAAGACTGTCGCGTAAGTACTCCGTAGTACTCACTCCATTAACCAATTCTACCTAGCCAACAACTGGGAAGCAACCGCTAACACTCAAAAACCTCAAAAGATGCTTACAATGTCGTGAGCGCAAAGTTCGTTGCTCAGGGACTTGCCCTTGCGCGAATTGCACGCGACGCTCAACAGACTGCGTGTTTGAGCAGGAAGATCGCAAGGTTGTCGTGTCGGAAAAGTAAGTGGCTTCTCCCAGCGTTGCAAACGTAGCTGTGCTAAGACTGATCATAGCTTGCTTAATGATCTGAAGCGCAAGGCAGAGGATTGGGATGAGGCGCAGAAACAGAAAAAGAACAAAACATCCACAGATACGAGGACAAGTAAGAGGCTTCTTCTGTTGGATGTGATAATGCCTGACAATCTTGGTGTAGACGCACCGGCTACTGAGCCTGCCCCAAGACCGAGTGCTGACGATGGTCTACCACAAATGACCAATCCTCTGCTGACGCCCTCGTCCAAGTTTGTCGTAGACCACCAAGGCAGGAAACGTACGTTATGTCTAGATCTCAGCCAATCTCAAGGACTAACTGGCATAGGATTTCTTGGTCCTTCGTCCACGTGGGCATACAGCCATCATGTAATGGGCATGATCAGAGAAGTACTCTCATCAAAACAAAACACTGTCTGCTTAATGCTAACGGAGTTCTAGTATGTGGGCCATGAACTCTCACCTGAAGTCCCACTAAATCACGATGGTGTTGCTTTCAACATCGAGCTACCGAGCATGAAGCAGACTGATCTTGCTGTCAACATCGAAGGCCTGCCTTCGCTGGACTATGCCCTTTACCTCACCAACACGGTCAAGTTTCACATCGTCCAAACTTACCACCTATTTGACGAGCAAAAGTTCATGCCAGCTCTCCATTCACTATACAACGATGGTCCACCGCTGGTGACTGCTGGGAACAGGATGTGGTATGTCCAGTACTTCCTCATCATGGCTCTGGGCAAGGGACTACTCACCCGTGGTATGTCCAAGGCTGGCTCGCCGGGAAATGAGTATTTCATGAAAGCCATGGAGCTATTCCCAGATACATATGGACTGTACATAGATCCCATCTTGTCTATCGAGGTGTGCTGCGGGCTTGCTTTATATCTCCAAGCTGTTGATCACCGCAACAGTGCTTACGTCTATGTTAGTTACCTCCGCCCCCCGATTACAGACCATACTGATTAGTGTTTTGTAGCTTGGAATGGGTCTTCGGATAGCACTCAGTCAAGGTCTACACCGCGATATTGCTGGAGACTCCGTAGATGATCCTGAGGTAAGGCGATATCGCAATGCATGGTGGACACTCTACATCCTCGATCGCAAATTCTCGTCCTTGATGGGCGCCCCAAGTTCTATTCAAGACAGCGATATTTCGGTGCCGATCCCAGGAGATCAGACGACTCCTCGAAGATCAAGCTCATTAGAGATGCATATTAAGCTATCAAGGCTAAAGACCAAAGTCCTCAACAGTCTGTAGCATTAGCCGTTGATCATGTCGCAACAAAGAGCTGACGAAGTGGCTAGCTATATACGGTATCGATGGGAAATTAGATGTTTCGTTTCCGAAAAATACCATGAGCATATTGAGGGAACTTGCTGCACTTGGAGTTGAGCTAAACTCGGCGCCCGATCTGAAGCTGGACAACCAAAGCCCACTATCTCGTGTCTCTGCAACCCTGAACCTGTGCTATCACCAGGCAAGTCATGGTATACGCCTTTCACTCAGCATGTATTCCAACTAACAGCTAAACCAGTGCATCGTCCTTGCTACAAGGCCACTTCTCATGTGTATTCTTCGAGACAAGCTGGAGAAGAGCAGACATGATAATAATGCCAACGCTGAGATTGCTGAGCCTGTCAAGGCTTTGGTTAGAACCTGTTACGACTCAGCTCACAAATCACTACGTATCTTGACTACACTCCAGTCGCAGGATCTACTAGGTATGCCTGTGACTTGTACAGTTACGAAGACAAGCTAACGTTTCGAAGAACTCTTTCTCCCCTTCGATCTCGACCACGCGTTCTCAGCTGGCTTTGTCCTGGCACTCATCTCAGCCATCCAGCCCTTCCCGGACGCAGCGAGCGAATCCTCATTCGAGTTGACAAGAAACATCCTTGACGCTCTAATCGCAGGCGGGAACCTACCTGCACGGTTTCGGCGCCAGGAACTTGAGCGTCTCCATGATATGTTGCACCTGATTGAACAGCGAGATATCGTGCCTCTGCTCCAAGGTCAAGCAGACATTCCTGTTCTTGGAGAGCAGGGGATATCACCCAACCAAATACTCAATGTTGCTAGTTTACTGGATGGACATACGAACCTTGGTGCTGATCTCGATGATGTTAATGGCTGGCTATGGGAGGTCACTGGTTTTGAGGGCCTCCATCCCGTTTAAGCATGTCTAGCGAGAGTTGATGTGATTTGTAAGGTGTTTTGAGTAAATTGATCTTTCCCTGTATGTATCCCTGGCACCCTCAGCCCACAAGCAGGCATGCAAGGAATATTGCTCTTGGCGGTTCGTATCTCAGTTCTTATCGCGTGGAGAGCCCGTCTACTCTTCACGATAGGGCGTGCTTGACATCCGGGCGTGGGCACAGCCTCTGTGCTGTGCTTATGTGCCCGCCTTTACCAAGTTTACATTAATAAGCTACATGTTTGTATTGTTAACAAAGTCCACAGTCACCTCGTATAAAGTTACTGAATTCAGTAGGGCTTGTGGGTACTTTGGCGTCTTCTTAAGTAGCCGATAGGCCAGGATGTGAAACGAGATCTGACATACTTGTAATTGGTCCAATGTCTAGGATCCACAGGCGACTGAATTTGGTCCTTTTGTACGGACGATATCTTGACTGGCGGTTGTAGTCACTTGGAGGACGGAGGCCCGACCCTTTGAAATTGACAGAGCTCGTCTTGCCTTACTCTTTTCTTAAAAGAAACTCGTCAAACGATAAAAAAATGTCGAAGCCGACCGTCACACTTATTCCATGGGACCCCAACGCCCCTGAACACGTGAAGCGCATGGTCGAGCAGCGCATAATTTGTGGCTGGCAAGCGTCAATTGTCCCAACTGGGTGGAAAGACGGACACATCAATGGGACGAAATGCCTCTACTGGATTGTTAGTCCTATAGAACCGCTCTATTGTGTTGCCATTCTAAGTCTCTCTTCAGATATTTCCGGTGGACGAACCGCAGCGTGAGAAATACCTCGAGATGCATACCAAGGCTTATCCTAAGGTAGGTTCAGTACATGAAGCCAATTCCAACATTTCAACTCATGCTTTGTAGGAGACAGAGGAACTCCTCGACACAAGCAAGACGCTACTCGGAAAACCGCGCATTCCAACCGACGCAAAATTCCTTCCCATTGGGCACGTCGCTCTCGACACTCATATCTCAGACTATGCAGAAAAGGTCGAACTAGACTTCCCCAAATCTGGTGCATACTAGGTCAAGAGTCTTTACGTATCTTACACACTTCAGGGCCTGGGTATCGGCGGAGCTGCTATGAATATCGCTGAACGCATGGCCATCGAGGAGCCTCTTAACGCTATGCATCTGCTATTAGACACGGTGCACCACGAAGACCAGGCAGATGAGGACTTTGCTGTTGCCAACTATGGAGGAGCCTTCAAGGTAAGTGCCTGTTGTCAACTAGTCATTCATACAAAAGGCTAATTATTGATCTAGATTCCCACCCAGGCTTGGTATGAGAGACGGGGATACAGGTTAATTGGTGTAGCCGAGAACGTATACCAATATCCAGACACAAATGGGAAAATTTGGCCGTGTAGAACAGTTTTCTTACAGAAGGATATTGTTTAGAATAGCAATATGATCTTTTGCCTATTGCTCAGCCAGTCTTGCCAGTCCTCTGAGAATGACGGTAGAGATGAGTGGATACCGGAATATCTTTTAAATTCTTCATCTCGTGGTCTAGACCTTTTTCGTTGCGGTAGAAGTCAATGCTAGGTCGAATTTGTCGATGTTTGCATCACCATCATTTCAAAGATTAAGCTCACTCAGTCGCGACCTGCTGTACATTATCATTTACGAAAAGATATGTTCGCAGACACTTGTATATTCCTATTCTCGAACTCAAGATCCAAAATGAGGCTAACTCTGCCCCTCGCTTTCATCTTCTCTTCTATCACGAATATAGTATTCGGCTCAGCTTGCATCTTTGAAGTTAGGGCTAAACTGTGCCCGCCTCGAAGCTATCTAGATACGTTATTTATGATCAAGACTGATAGCTAAGACCCCGCATCAGCCCCACCTGCCGCTTCCCTAGCTCTACATGTCGCCGGCTGTCCTCCCTTACATCAAATCTTATCGACCCTTCCTCACTTTCCCCCCTCCCTGCTCTCAAAGATCAGAGGTCGATCACCGGTTGGTGGCGTAGAGTAGTCTGAGTATGCTGTCATTTCGCTCGACCTGGCACCCGTTGCTGCTCTATGGACTGTTTGGGTAGTCTCTGGGTGTTGGCCAGGCGTTGTAGTCTCGAAGGAGTTTGTACTATTTCCTTCGAAGGCTGTCCAAGATGGCGAGTAAAAGGTCGTGTATGATAGAGGATTAGGATTTGATTGTTCTCGGATTGTCGTTATTTGAGTTGTAGCTGGGCTGGGATCCATTGTGAGATTGGGCTGAACTCAGCAAAAGGTCTTGGTGTCTGGTCAGTCGGAAAGCTCTTGAGTAGTGTTGCCCTTCAAATAATGACGGGAAGGCTGGAGAGGCAGTGCTTGGTGAGGGGTTTGCGTCCTGCAGAGTGTGCGCTAATGAGATGTGTTGTCGTGGCTGTGTTAGGTGTCCCACAGCCACCAAATGTTTTCAACCCCCCTGTAATGTTACGTTCTTCAATGTGACATCATCTCAGGTCTCACTGAGATATCCGAGGATTTGGTTTTTCTCGCAACGACAGGAGGCCTGGAGGGACCAACCTCAGCGACAGATTTGGGATATCGTCGTTTCGATTGCAAAAATGAACTCGCAGAGACCAAGTAAAGTCGATGACAGTCTCTCAGAAAATGATGTTGAGTCCTCAACACTGTGAGTCCTATCAATACTAAATCGGTTCATGCAAAAGGCTTATGGGCTAAAAGCTTCTCGTCTCTTGAGGTTGAAGGCAATATGGCAGAGATGGGGAGATACTTTTCGAAGAAGAACGGCGTTCGGGTCATCACAGGACTGGGACATCAGAAAAGAGGTACTGAAGATATGGTTCTGGGGGACCAGAACTTTGGAGATTTCCAAGAAGTAAGTGATATCGCGACAAGTTATCCTAATGATAGAACTAATACTGGGTTAATTCTAACTATCGATAGCTGTGCAAGCGAAGTGCGGTTCTTGTCTGGTGAGTCTTGTAATTAGCCAGCATGTCCTCTTTGCCTAATTGAAAGTGCAGCTTCGTTAACAGATTTATCATGAAGCCTGGAATCTCGGATATTCCAAAGGATAAGAAACGTCTGAGAGTCTCGAGGTTGATGTTCCGATCGCTCATGACCGCCTTCGACGCTTCTCCGTGCTTTGTATCATCTATGATCAGCGGAGATATATTGACAGGGTTAGGAACTCGATTAGTATGTGGGCAGAATGAAAACCAAGCCCTGTCTTTTTGGTACACACTCCCTGTGCGTACTGCAACCCCATGCTTTGATGAAGAGGGAACGCATGCGCTCAGTGTCGTTGGAAGTAATCAGTTGGATCCTAATGGTTATCTACACTTGGCGGATATCAAGCACGATATCCGCCCTTCCAAAATTGGCGTGTACTCTTGGCATGATGGTTTATTCTCTAGAACAGTGATTGTTGACTTTCAAGACGGTCGACTACATGCAATTGCGGATGAGCCTTACAGAAAGATCAAAGAGATGATCGGACGAACTACTGACCATGGACCATTGGACTCGCATATCGCCCTGCTTTCGAGTTCTGCAAGATGGTGGAATCATGCGCTTACACAGCTGAAAAGGCAGTTGGCCCATTTTGTGCGTATCGTTGAGCGCAACAAGGGCGCAGTAGTTGACTTGTCACAGGAACCGAAACTACTCGAAGACAATGCGCAACAGCTCACATCGCCGAGTATCGACTTTGAATACAGTGTCCGACACTTGGCGATAAAAAAGTCTCTACACTCTACGATGTCTCATCTTCAGAGATATAAGACTGAACTTGGAGCTATTGAAGAGATAGTAGCTGATTTGCAAGTGGTATCCAAGAAGCTCTATTCAATCAAGGAGTTGGCATTGTCAAGAGAAGAACCCAACTCAGAAGCCGTCGATGAGAATATCGCTTTCATTAGAAAGAATATTTCTGGTGCAAGGGCGTTTTTGTTCGAACTTGAGGTAAAGACAGAGGCAATCATGGGCCTTGTAAGCTTAAAGTATCTTTTACGACGAAAACATTGCTGATTTACTCGGAAGCTGTCAGACGTTGTCAAGTCTCGGAATGATATGCTGATGGTGAACAACGGCAGCATGGTCCGAAAGCTGCTCAAATCAGCTAGGAAGCAAAGCAAAGCATCTCAGACTATGATGAGGGAGTCCCAGAGGATGGCGTCGGATATGAGAAAAGACAGTGTTTCTATGAAGACAGTATGTATCGCTCAAACTGCGTAGTATCTCCAACTTACTTTACTCAGATTGCCCTGCTGACTATGGCATTTCTTCCCGCGACGTCCATTGCGGTAAGTTTAAGTCATCCCCTACGGTGAATGAATGCCATCTAAATAACTAGGCAATACTATCTATGCCATTCTTCAGTGAGCAAAAGTGGTTCAATAACCCAGCCAAAGCGTGGCTTTGGGCAGTATTGACGGTTCCTGCGACGATAGCGTCTGTTTGCATCTATTTGTTTCTAACCAGGAAGGAAGTTAGATCTACTAGGAGTGCTCTAGTCAATGATGAGGAGGATGATATGGAGAGTGTTGACTTTGTACTTGATGACTTGTAAGTACAAGGACTTTGCAGCCATTGTTGCTGGGAGAAAGTAAGTATGAGCAGAATGTATTATTGTTTGCGCCCCGTGCGTCTGCCTCGCATGTCTGCCTCGCAGTGCTTTTCAACCCCCTGGCTGAGCCACTGACGTAAACAGCTGATAAGGGTGGTGTAGATGCCCAATCAGCAAGCCATGCGGGTGGCTGTGCTGTTGGGCGTCCTCATCAACAACACAGCACTTTTGACCGCTCTACAATGAACAAAATAATATCCACGTCGGCTGAGGCATCTGTAACTTTACTGTATCCTTTTGTTCTCACCGGAAACCACATCGAGTATTTCAACATGACCTCCTCGCCAGACGGCCTCCTGCTGCCTCCAGTGCCAGATCAGGCTCCAGCCCAAGAGCAAGCTGCAGCGTCGTTTCGCCAATCAAAGATCTGCATTTGCGTCGATGTATCTGGCAGCACGTATGGACCTGCACTCACGGCTGAAATAAAGGCAGTCAAGCAAGTGTGCTCTCTCATACCCCAGAGCATGTACGAAAACATAACCATCATTCCCTGGAATGACGCATCGGAGCGACCGCGGTCACTCTCGCAAATCCATACCTTGGAATCTGGAGGTGGAACTGATCCAAATGTTCTTCTGGAGGACCCAGAGTGCAGACTTCTTCTACAGGAAGCAGACTTTTGGTTTCTCATGACAGACGGCGAGATAGACCAGAGCGTGGTTCGTCAGTTTGCGCGAAATCTCACCGACTACGGAATGCACGGCAAAGCTTGCATAGTCTCTGTCTTTGGTGAGAAGTTGATGAAACCAAGCCACTGCAATATCACTGTCGGGCTGTCCGTCTTCGCCGTCAGCCCCCACGTAGTGTTTATGTATACCGACATAGACACCAGCAAGACTACTCTGCTATCCACCAAAGGATGCTTCTCGAATCTGTTGCCTGCGGGAAAAAGAAATCCAACTTTGGACTATGACACCAACTGGTCCGACCTACCTTTTGTTTCCTACGAAAACCTCACCCGAATTTCTGTTCCCAGAGCTCAGAAGGTTGAGAAGGACGAGCTTATTCTCCACGGAAACACTCGCGTCAACATCAACAATCTCGTATCTCGCGAGACGATTGATGAAGACCTAATGCGCCAGATCATGCTCAATGAGGATAATATCAAGACCATCGCACTGACCGCCAAGATTAGGGGAGAGTCTGATAAACTGACCAAGTGGCTGGATAAGGTCGATGCCAAGATCGAACAAGACAGTATAAGTGAGGCCTTTGGTCACAAAGACTCCCAGCTTCTAAAAGATACTATAGCAGAGATAGGAGAAGCGAATGAGACTCAAGTATCCCTAGATGACTACGGAGCAATGGGATATGGTGCCCAAAACGCATATGCCTTCGAACCTTACCCAGCTCACATTTCATTTCCCCACGCCTACCATCAGGAGTTTAAAAAAAGCTCTACTAGAATGAGAGCCCTTACAGAGCCGAACACTCGTTTAGCTGCACCGGAGAACATCGGTGGCTACGAATTTGAACACCTTCATTCTCTTACGCCTTCAAATGACCCTTGGACACGAAGCATTCTGCTCCCCAAAGGCCTTAGCCAAACGACACAGCCCGATAAGCTGTCTTCCATTCCACAAACGAATGAAAAGCCACAGAGCTATGAACCTTTCACAGAAACAACCACCGGCAACCAAGGCGACCACCTAAACCTTGCCATTGCAGGGTTTCTGAAACCAACTCAGGCCAGGGACCAGCATATTTTAGACTGTCCTAAGTGCGGTAGAGCAAGAGCCGTTATGACACTTCTCCTCAAAGCACCTGACCAGTCGATGGCTACCAAGAACTTTCCATCTGTCAACAGCACGTCAAAACTTGTCTACCCACTGACTATGGGTAACTATCCTGAGACGGACATTATATCCGACACAATTGCATGTGATAAGTGTGCCGTGGCTATGGTTGGAACCAAGAAGGCAGCGCACAAAGAGACTCTTGTGGTTGCTCTGCCCCTCGTGTCTTACAGCAAGAACCGAGATGCCTGGCTACAAACGGTAAACATCGCTACTAGTAGACGGTTCCATCGTTCAGACCTTGCCCAGGTATTTCTCAGTATCATCTTTACCAAGATCGAGCGCCTTCTATCAGAATCCTCCAAGGTTCCCAATCTTCACAATGCTTTGAACTGGCAGGCAACCATGATCCAGTCCGAAGTTGTACTTCAAGCAGAGAACTTTCCTCATGTTTGTCAGCTTGGAGTCGGTCTTATGAACGAAGTTATCTTACGTACCTACCGGGATTGCCTTGTACACGACAAGTTCCCACTGCTGCTAAGCTATCCTCTTGATGGCTTCATTGTTACTAATGCGGCATTGTCCAACTCGAAATACAGCGGCGCCCTATCGCAGCCTAAGCGAAAGTCTGTCGTTCTGCTGCGCTTCCTATATCACCTCCTTGAGAACTGTTGCGCCTACGAACAGGAGAACGGCCCTCTTCAGCTACACGCTGCCAAAACACTTATACTGCTGATGGACGATCCCAGCGGCCCACGGTCATTATTCAAGTGGAGGTCTCTAAGGGCCTTCTCTTTCCGGTTTGACAGTCTTCAAGATCTGCAAAAGTACTTATCAAACCACGCTGTCATGGACCGGTATCGCCTGTCTCTCACGGCAGCAGATCTTCTGGATACGCCACTCCTCACAGCTACAGGATTGGCCGATTTCAGGAGACTCGGTCCACTGTTCAGTTGGATTGAAAGGGAGGCCGGTAACGCAATCGCGGTATTCGTTCACTATCTCATGCGTCTTGATACAACACCGTGTTTGCCAAGTATTCTATTCCAGAGATTGAGAGAGAGGGAGGAAGTCAAAGAAGCATTGGCAGACCCTGGGTCATTGAGTGCGAGAGCAGTGGAGAGGCTGATAAAGCCTTTGACAGTTCTGCAATAAAACTGCTCAAACCAGATGGGTACGTTTACCTTCAATTGTGTATCTGGCGGTGAACTTACAGCAAGACCATTTTTTATTTGGCACTGGGAGATGAATGGAATATCCTTTATTTCATTCCAGCACGAGTTTTCTGCAATATGCTGCCATAAATCTAAAGGACAGAGCCATCCTCTAGTTAAGTAGAGTTCGTTGCATTTGCCATTTGCTACAGGGATCAAACTGACGAGTAACAGATAAGGGGCAAGGCAGTCACACTACAACTGTGGCCTGGCCACTCAAGATCAGAACACCTTAGTGTTAAGTCCTTGGGCTCCTCTCATACCCGACAAAGAAGAGAGCACTTATATACTATACTTAGAAGCCGTTATTAAATATTATGATAACAATAAATAATCAAAAGTAAACAATTATTTAACCCAGTTCAAACTACCACTTCTTCACTGATACCGCTGGTCCGTCTTTCACCATAACCCTATAGGGCCTATCCAGTTTGAGAACCTCCTCCGCGGACACTTCTTGTGGCCGTACTCACGCTTCCACTTCGTTTTGGGTGGCAGAGCCTACGACGGGTATGCTGGGCACCTTTGCAACTCGCTTGTGCATCGGCGCTATCCCACCGCTGGCACTGCTTACTGGCTGGGATCTCAGGTCACCGCTCGTCCAAGTACCGGGACGCGATATTTGCACTGGGGATGATTACATTTAGGTTCATATTGCTTTCTGTATCTATACTAGATCGACAACCTTGAATTTCGGCACTTCTGGGAAACCCAAATCCTCATATCGCCTTGACCATCCTTCTCTATCCATGTTCATATCCGTGAATGCAGGGAGCAGGCCGATACATCGGTGCCTCGCTTTCAAGCCTTCGCCCCGACGAGTGATAACTGTGTGTTTGTACGTGATGGTCATATTGGAAGAAATCGGATGAGCAAGGCGGAAGTGATGTTCATCGCGGATCGAGTTGTTTGCCACCTCACGGGAAGATATCATTCCGAGTAGATCCGTCTTACCTACGGTAACAAGGACAGGAGTCCAGACCGTCTTAGACCACATGTAGGCGCTGACGCCGATTCCACAGCTGATCAATGCGCCTAACCGGACCAAAGTCTTGCTGAATTTTGATGGGTTGCTTGAAATAAGATCCCTTTTGAACGAGTCGGCATCCATCTTCGTGCCACCTCCGTCAAAGAACCCGAGAACCATGAGGTTGAGGAATTGAATGGCGTTCATATGGCGTAGATTTTCATTTTTGGATAACGTATCTTCGTCGTCTTTCTTTTCGTGTTCGGCCGCGAAAATGGCTTTAATGTCTGGCCAGGCGCCATGTAGGCTCAATTCGCCCCTGCGAGCGAGTCCCCAGGCATACTTTGAGAACTCGAGGCTCCCTTCCAAAGTCCGAAAAATGGTTGACATGTCGCATGATTCAACGCTGCGAACCACGACCGACCCTAGCTCCACTCCTAGTGCACAATCTTTATCGTGCTGAAGTGCACCCTCAGTCGCCAGCCCAAACAATTTAACCAAATCTCCTAGGAGTTCTGGTTCGGGTACATTCGAAGTTTCCAATGAAGTTCCCTGTTCTCCCACCATACCCGCTGAGATCTTGGGTAGGGTCGCGCGATCTGCATGCCTTGCTTGCGAAAAGCAATCTTGGAAAAGCCGTCCGAAAGGCATATTTCGCACCACTTGAGGTGATGGCGCCGAGTACCAGTCATACTGTGACATGGTTGATAGAATGAGATCCCTTGCCTTTGTGGTCCTGCGTGTACTATTGTTTTGGATAAAGAATCCATCTTCTATAGCACCAGATAGAGACGGTCCCTCTGGAAAGTCCCGCGAGACCTCTTCGTTGTTCAAGAAGGCGGATATAAAAGATAGTTGCTCGTCCGCCGACGGTTGCTTGTCTTTTCCGTGTGAAGACCATGCCCTGGAGAAGGTCCACAAGCGGTCCACGTTAGCTAATATGTCACTTTGGCCGCTGAGAATTCTTCCCCAGTCCATATCTCGCGACGTCAAGTGGCCCTCTTCGCATGTGACGAACTGAATGCGATTTGATAGTATGCTTTCCTGGAGAGGCCACAATCTCTCAAGAATTCCTTCCTTAAGTAAGTCATAGTTATGTTCGTCAGTCCAGTGTTTGCACCATCTACGAACACCAGCATTGTAGTCGTCCCAGGTCGAGAGGCTGCCAAAGGCGCGTGCGCAGCACGAGATATAACCTGACCCGTCCCGGATCACAATGGTCTTTTGAGCGCGTTCGAAAATCTGCGGGATTATAGATGTGACTTTGATCCTTTCTTCCTCCTTTGTTTGATCAATGCATAGGACATCCATCCAAAAGTAACTGTCCCCAACGAGGTTCCGCAGGTTATGCTCCAAGAAGCGAGCCTTCGACTTGGAAACCATGACCTGATGTGCGATCATGTTGAGCGTAGTCCAGTCAGCGTCACCCCAGACATGAGAGACAGCTACGTAAGGTATTTCATGAAAATCAATTTCTTCTTTCACCACCATTCCTGAGAGAAAGCGACAAAAGACAATAGCCTGAGGGGTTCTTGTGCCCGCTTCTATGCTCGAAGCTTCTTCTTGGGTTCTCAAGGTCTGTGACATCTTTGGGAGAGACTCAGTGACGCCGTCGTTAGGGAGAAAATTGAGATAAGGAGAGGAGAGCTATGATGGCGTTTGTGCGGGGTCGATGCAAGTCCTTCAATGTGATTGATTGGATGCGAGTCGCAAAAGCGAACTTGCATACTAAACATGCCCTTCAGTCGAAAACGACGAGACTATGAACGCTTTCCAGATTTAGTGTGATGACTTGTCAAACGTTGCCGCCACTACGCTATCCCAGCCTAACGGGTCGCCCCCATACAGCCCGAGGCTGATTTCTGCAGCACTAGCTAAAGACGACGAGAGCCTAGCCCAGCCTACCAGCTTTGCGTTCCGCACAAGTGCGGGCACTGTGCAACTACAGTCTAGGCTTTCACCTGAGATACCAGGATCGATAAGACTTTTGACGAGATAGCCAGCTTGGCCAACGCCTTCAAGCATCCATGTTCGGGGCCATGCAAAGGTCTCAGGGCAGTGCATGTAGATTTACTGCACTGAAATTCGACGGCCTGCTTACATTCCAGCCCCATGACTGCAAAACGGACAGATGGACGATTGAAAACACCGCAGTGGTTCTCCCTCCTTTAAACGAGCGCCATGAGCGACGAGTGGTTCTCGAAAAGAGGCCTAGTAAACAGCTGGTTCAAGACCACTAGTATATACTCGTCATGTAATTACCATTCAACTGTAACAGGCCGCAGATTTTAAATCATCATGCTGTTTCATTTAAGCTAGATGTGTTATTTGCAGTCGAGACATGTAGTTGATAGCTCGAATCAACATACAAAACTTAGATCTAGCATACATTCACATCCACTGTAGATCCCCGAGAAAAAGAACAAGAAGCAACCAGGTCGCATTGGCAGGTTCAAAGTTATGAACCGTAATGAGCAGCCTGTGAATGGTTGACAAGGTTGCGTGACTCCTCTTTCTTCTTTTCTTCTTCTTTCCTCGCTTTTTCCCTCGTCTCCTTGGCTATCTTGTCATAATTATCCCATTTCTTTTTTTCCTCCTCCCACAATTCTCCCGTGAAGAAAATGGGCAACATACTCTTACCGAGGCGGGAATAACGCTTCTCAACTTCAAGCAGAGTGTCCATAACCTCGGGTTCGCCTATGACCTCCACAAACTCAACAGGCACGCCAAATGCTTCGGGAGAACGACTAGTTCCAGCGACATACATGTTCTGCAGAATGCCTATGCCGCCAACCGCGAGGAGGAACCATGTATTCTGCCTGATTCCCGACGCGGTGATGAGGAGGAGTATCCAGAGGAAGCCGAGAGCGGTGACAACCAATCTAGTCCCCCGATCGGCAAACGCACCCGAATCGGCGGCGGCTAGATCTTCAAGATCCAGACCGACGCCTGCACCCTGGATCACGATGGCGTGTTGGCTACCGTTTCCACGGGTCAGCACAAAGGTCTTTTCCGTGTCGGTTCGGCACGCCCACTTCTCCTTTGACCACTGAGGCAAAGCCCCAGAAGCAAAGGACAGCAGGATGCCGGCAGTCGTGATCACAAGAATGCTCCAATCGCCAAAGATGCCGCATGGTATAGCTGCCACGCCAAGCTGGACGATGCAGGTGAGGAAGCCGGCGATGTACGGAGCGTCGTGTCCGGGATGGCCCTTGGTGGCTTCCCGTGCTCTATAGACAGAAACACAAAGTCCAGCTTTGGGCGGTCGCTCCGGTTCTGGTCTACCTTTTTCCCTCGCACGTCGTTTCAGATCCTGCCACTTCAGCTTGATGATTTCCTCCACGCAATCATGGACCGTATTCGGACTTGTGTCTAGTGGCACAGCTGACGGCTCCACCGCCCGAGGTTGCTTGTCCATCCACGTCTCAAAGTCTCTTACCATACGGCCGATAATCCAGCTGTTGTTATCGCGAGTATACCCAGTCTCGCCATTAATAACAGTGCAAGGGAAGTCAGCGGGTGGCATCAGCTTATTCTCGCCGATCGCCGAAACAACAGCGGTTATCGCGTAAGCAACCCAACCTAAGCAACCCCAAAAAATCACTCATTAGCTGCATGAGAGACAACGGCAATTGGGAAGATGTCCGTACCAAACGAGAAAGCGACAGGCGTAAAGCGCGATCCTACCAACTGTGCCAGCGCGCGAGCAACAACATCACCGCCGAGAATCAGGAGTACAGAGAAGACATCGCTTGGATGTTTCCATTGCTCGGAGAATTCGTTTGATGGAAGTCTTGGATTGAAAGCACGTCGGACGAGGTGTAACAGGGGGGCCATGGTGCTCATTTGGGTAATTACGCGAGTTCATCTACAAGGCGACGATGATAATGTAGGGTAGAAAAAACGATATGTGAGCATGAAGTTACGTGGGAGATTTGGAGCGTACGGCTGAAATGGCACGTGCTGGTTTCATAAAATAAGCACTAATATATCATGCCCACTTTCAGCTTCATTTTGTATTTGTATAAGTCCTAGACGTGATTTACATTACTAATGTGAGAATAATTATTTATTTATCACTTAAATGAGCTTAATATTACACATATTTCCATTTCCATTGATTGCCTCACCATTCATCACTCCGTACAGATAACAATACCCAACAACTGTATAGCACGTCGCATCGTTAGTCGCATCGCTTACTGGTGCCTGTCGGAGAATGAAAGGCATCTTGCTTCCCAGCAAGACAGCCACCAGGTCACCCTGCCTCATGTCTGGTGGTCCAAATCCCATGTATCCTCGCTCTGTGACGAAAAAAGCTCTGTTATCATTTGGGAGCCAAAAAGATCGACTAATAAGCCTCAACCGTGCCTGGACCGCAGAAATAGCTTCTCTCTGGGCGGCTGGGTCCAACCCTGGGAAGTCATCTGGATTCAAACGTAAACCAGACCCATCTCTTGTCCTCCTACACCATAAAGAGAAGAAAATTTCGTCATCTTCAGTTAGTCGCTCATATTTATTCGGTTCTGTCTCCAGAGCTTCGTTCAGCATCGTGCGCCAGAATGCTTGTTTGACTGTGCCGCCAATGACATAGTGAGCTTGGGGCTCTGAGTCATAACCAACCATTTTAGCGAACTCGTCCAGTCTGGGTCCCAATGGCTCGTCTTGCGAGAGAGCAAAGGTACTTTTAGAAACGACGTCGATGTGGACGCCTTTGACAGCGAGGCCTCGTCTGTGGCAAAGATTTGCCACTGATCCATTTACCGGGCCAGTATTGAACTTCCAGGATCGTGAATGCACCCAAAGATCATTCTCCTCGCCATTACCGGAGCAGCTCCAATCAGGGCACCAAGTTGGAATTTCTGAATCCGACCTTTTCTTCTCGACTGTGAGCAAAATCTCTAGGGAGTTTGTGTGACGTATCATTTTGAAGGCCGTTTGGGTATAAACCTGGGATACAGGTATTGAGTAATCAGGTTGGATGGAAAGTCGCTCAGAGCAGTCTCTGGTGAGGCCGAGAATTGAATATATCTTGTCACGAGCATCATAAGCCCCCCTCGCGCGCGTCATTCCGAGAAATCTCTGAAGGCGCTGGGCTTCTTTATCCGTCATTAAGTCCCATTCATGTCGTAGACCTTCAAGTGCAGCAGTATGCTGTGAAATGGCCAGTAAGTGTGACTGAAGATCGCCTGAAAGATTCTGATAAAAGTTTCGACAGCATCTCTCAATGTGTATAGGAATCATTGAGCCGCCTCTTTCGACACTGTCTAAAGGCGCCACTACCTCGCCATAGATTGTCGTCGCGCTGCGGCATAGTATGACCTCCTCAACAACCCAAACCCGCTTCCACCAAGGACTGCTTGCGAGATGGTCGAGTACGGCAAGCGTCTCCGCCCAAACTTGCGAATTGGTACGCTCTAGAAGGAAGTTCTCAAGGCATCTACCTTGAGCGAGGAGAATTAGGATAGTGTACGCGCTCGAGATGGCCTGTCTCAGGCGTGTAGTAGGGGTGAGTCGTGAAAGCTGGTTGTCGGTCATAGTTTGGAAGTTACCGAAGTCATTCAAGATGGGACGATCTCTCTCATCCCCATACCAATATGATTGTGGGGGATCTGCCCATGCCGCTTGCTCTTCTGAGCTAATTGTGTCCAACACACCACTCTCACCAAAGTAAACTTGGACCTCGTGAGCTCCTGAATATATATCCTTCATCAATTCGATTTGTCTCGTCTTCTCAGGCTCTGCACAGACGTTAGCAGCTTTCTAGTTGTTTCTGGGATCTGGGCGACGCAAAGATGGCTTACTATTTGACTGGTTGATGCAAAGAGCATCGATCCATATATACCGTGTCTCACGAGAATGTCGGAGTCTCCGAAGTGCCCAAAGCAAGTTTTTCGTGACGAGAAAAGTCAAGCCGTTCAGAAAAATGGGAGTCTTGTCTAATGGGTCTCCCCAGGTATACGATAAGGCCTCGTATGTAGGGTTATCATCGAGAGACACAACCTTGAGGTTGCAGTAGACATCTTCAGACCATCTTCCAGGTACTATGGATGCTAGCCGGATCTCTCGCCTGTCAGTGTCGAGCGGAGCGTATGTTTTACTCCTGGGCCAGATTTGCCGAGATTGAAAGAAGTTGCCAACATAGAAGGCGGGCAAAACATCCCAAATTTTTGGTGTCTGCATAGTGCAAGTCTACCAATTTGTGAATGAATATTCGGCGTGCGATGGGCTTGATTGGGCGAGGCGAGAGCGGGGGTAAAAGGAACGCGACGAAAGAATGCGACGAAGGAATGCGACGAAGGAATAAACTCGAACTCACTCTTTCAGCTCTGACGATCAGCTTGCCATCGCTGTAACTCCATCCACCAGGAGTCTTGCAACCCGAGTCTCAAAAAATGTAAGAAATTGTCGAGATTTCAGCTCTCCGTAATTAGACGGAGGTTTAAACTTTTGGCAATCAGTTACGACTTTGGTTGGTGCAATCGAACCAGGATGGTCACGTTATCGACTAAAATACCGCGCCAACTTACGACGCCGCTCCCTTGCCATGTTCGATTGCTTCTGGGCATCCAAGATGCTCCATGTTTACCCGGAAATATCAAAAGTTGGACGTTGCAATGCTTTTGAAGTTGCGAATGTGCATGAAACATGAGTTTTGTATTTTCATTCTGAAGGACCTGATACTCCGTACTGCCAGATGGGCGAGCTCCTAATGGGATCGTGGTTGTTCTCATACCTGACAAATATGATAGCATTAATTTTGCACTGGCCACCTGCGGTTTCGACACCTCACTACAAATACAGATTGGCAAGCCAGTTTCAAGTAGTCAGTCATTGACCTCACGGGCATACAATTATTTGTCAACGAGAGAATGCCTTGACATTGATCTAACTACAGGCCTGCACACTACAATCCACGCCATGACATCGAATACCAATCCCTGGACTTAATCATCGCCTCCCTAGTACACCTCGATTGTTTCATCGAGCCTCGCGCTAGCTAGATATACGCATGAGCTGCTTTGTTATATTAGCCAGCTGGTTCCCATTGCGCCGGAGGAGACGGGCATCTTGAGAATCACATCATGGCTGTTGAAGGCCACAGCTTTTGCAACGAATAGCATAAACATTTGTCGCGGTCTCCGAGGGCTCATCGATTGCGCACTTAAATTGATTGCCGCAAGAAACGCACCCATGGCTTCTCCTTAATACCGTGATAAGGTTTCGGACTTGTCCGTGAATAGCGTTATGGGCTCGTTGTTCACGTTCTTTTGCTGAATAGTAGGTATCCTTCAGCTCATAAGCATCGGTCAATTGTTTCTCGAGCTTCTGAATCCGTTTACCACAAGCCTCGATTATTTCAATAGCGAGGTTGCTTTCAATGTCGAGGGGTCGGAGAATTTGTGATGAGGTGAGATCTTCGACGTACTCCGCGATTGCGGAGGCGACGGTGGCTTGGAGATCTGTGTCCCTGTTGGAGACAGACATCTCCTGGATAACCTTAGGAAAGATCCAGAAGTCCTGTTCGTTCTTGAAAATGGTGCAGAGCTTGGCAGTGGACAATTGGATCAACTCCTTGATCCCGTAGTAGTCGGCGATTGCGTTGACGCGTAGGTGGGAGAGGATATTTTCGGTATTCCTGTTGCGTTCAGCTTCAGACGTCTCAGACTCTTCCGACATCCTGTCCTCCTCGCTATCATTGATCTCGGCTTCCTCGGTCCTTCTAACATCATCGGCCTCAAGAGGGAAATGCAACTTGTCGGTTCTCGGGTCGTAGTCTCCCGTGTAGAGGAACATGACCATGCTCCGAACGGTCGTGACATCGAACTCGTTGACGGTGACCAACTTTGATGTTGTTTCCTGTTCAAAGAGTCAGTGGGAATGGGCGGGTGAGACTTCTGGCACGTACCTCAAAGCCGCCGAGAAGCGCAGCTCTGATGACAGGCGACTGGGGGCAAACGACCAAATGGTGAAGCTTGAACTCGTGATCCTTGCAAGTGAGGCTAAAGTCACTGAACTCTCCGGTCAATACCGAGCCCAGGAGAAACCAGTGAGGATGAGGCGCCATCGTGAAAGGCCCCTCGTTCAATCAACTAAGCTCAGAGGTGAGGTGTGAAGAGCGAAGATGGGAAGATTTTGTTGACATTCTGGAGAAGAATAAAAGAAGCAGGCAGCACGGGGATGAATGATGTCATAACTACGCAGGCAACCTTCTCTCCCATTTGCTTCGTGATAAAGGCGTTTATGTTTGTCGGTATCCTGCAGTGCCTGACAGTGCTTGGCTGCCCGAACTCAGATGCCATCCCAAACAGCGGCCAATTCACCGGATTGCCAACTGATGGATCGTAATTATTGGTAAAGAACAGGAGGGTTTAGACTCTGTTGTTTTTACAGGTACCTAAATTCACTACAGAGTCACCTAAGAAGTGAAGTCGCGTCAAGCGTGGGAGATCCACGGCAAAGTGAATGTGACAACTCCAACCTGTGTTACAGCACATTCTTGCTTCTGACACAGAAAGGCATGAAGGACTGGATTGAGAAGTTATACTTGCCACTCAATTAACACAAAGATATTCATGGACAAAGGGCAACTTGGTAGTCACATGTCTGGACTTGCTCACCTTCGAACCAAGCTTACAGATTCCCGTGACTCTTCAACCACGAACGGACATTGGAGACATCACATTCAGCCCATGATCTTCGATTCTCCATGCCCTCCAGGTTATGGTCAAGCACCATCTGATATAACTTCGTATCGCGCATCGCACAGAATCCTTTTACGTCCTCAATTTGCTCCTGGGTATGCAGACCCTCGAGAGCAGTCCCAAGGAACAAAGACGCGATGTCAACCGGAACCTCTTTCTCCACCCTCTCCCAATTCTCCTTGGTCCATTCCCAAAGCCCAGTCGCCCCGTGAGTCGTTCCGCCCGCCAGCCAAGCGAGGTAAAACATCTGGTCTCCAGTCAGCTTCACGTCTCGTGGTGTAGATTTGTCTCAACTTACATCGTGGTTCTTGACGGTGTCAGTCAGTAGGTGATTGAGAACCCGCTTCATGAGCTTAGCGTTGGATGCTCGTCCAAGGCACTCTGAAGCAAGAGATTATTCGTCCTCGTTGGATAAATTCTCTCAGAGATCGACGAGACCTTGGACGTCTTCGAGGCCGCCGTGCGCTGCGACGATTCGAAAGACCTCCCATCGTAGGGACCTTGGGATTGTATTCTCGTCGCCAGCCATCCTTTTCGAAAAAGGTTCCTTTGCGGCTGAGACGACGCTGCACGGAAACTGTCAGCCGTCTACAAAGCCAGTGGGACATTCGACTTACCTGTGGTATCCTGAGAGGCCCGCACCACTGAACATTGATGTTTTGAACGTGACGAGATTCTCGTCATTATCCTTGGAGATGGTCCACCCAAGTTCCACTACTTTAGGGCCGATCACATCGCTCTCCAGTATCCGCAGAGCCTCACTCAGCTCAGTCCCGTGAAACTTGTAGACAGACTGGATGAATTTGAGATTGCGGTTAATCATCTCCTAAACATAGAACGAGTCCAGTTCAGCAAACTTGACGTTGAGGTCGAGCAGTTCACTTGTCTTGTTTACTCCTGCGGCGACCAAGACTCTCAGATCACACGATAGTCCGATGCAGTCGCGCAGATTGAGAAGTCGAGCTTTGGGAGCGGGTATGGTAGATCGAAGCGGTCTTTGAAGAACTGGGGGCCTTTGGCTGCGAGGTCCGCTGCGAAAGTAGCCTGCGCTTCACTGCCGAAAGGACAAAGGCTGATATGGGGATCCTGCTGTTTGTGCATTCTGCCTCGGCCAAGGGTCCCGCTACTGGACCGAGATGCTTTTGAAGTTAGGCGACGTGTTTGGCTTTTTGTGAGATTGGCACCCACGTATATTGACATGTAAATGGTCTTCTGAAACGGCACAATCTTCTGAGATGAATGGTCCAAGGCTACAGACTTTTCCACGGGCATGTTCGAGACGATGACAAAGGACTCCTCCACCACGATGGAGAGGGTGAACTCGTCTTTCATGCTAGGTTCATCAAAACACGAGAAGACCTGAGAGAAGTCAGTCATGGTTCAGATATCACGTATCAAAGGTCGAGAGATGCTTACCTCCCTCGTGTATGTCGGCTCTACGGCTGTGGCCGCAATGCGATGCTTCACACCATCATCTACTTCATAGCTCGCTTGGTAGAGCACAGTCAAATCTCTGCGAAACTTGCCGGTGTATTTAAGGATTATTGTAAGTTCTTTGTGATCGTCTGGGTCAGTTTGTTGGGTTAGTTCGACTTTTGAAGTCTCGAGCGCCCCGTTGGGACTTTGCCATCGCAGTGCGTCAATAAATGTCGGTTGCGGTAGCGTTTCCCATTCATATATACCTAATTGTATCCGTAGCACCCCAGGAATCATTCTTGAACCTGACGCTCGCGTCTTTTACCATGATTGACTTGCAATGCAATTCAAGATATGAACAGGTCTCGATTACGGTGTAACTGCAAATGAATTTGTTAGTGCTTCAGAAACACCCAACCCACCGCTGTTGGCTGAAGGGCCCTACTTAGTCTTAGCATGGCCTTCAAATTTCTCATCGTTGAAATCAAGATCGAGTGTGATCTCGTATGAGACAGGCTTTACACTGGCCGGCAGGAGGAGGCGCTCTTCCTTCTCCATGATGGGGCTGGATTAAAGTGCTCAAGGAGTGGTCAAACCTTCAGTGATAGGGCTAGTAGAATAGATGCAGTAACTGACGAAGGGTTGCAGCGTTGAGATGAGAAGGATAGAAACAAAACCTCTGTCGGGGTCAAATTTCTTTTTGCGGCGGCGGAACAAAAAAGCCCATACCAGTAGTGCTGTGTTATTGTATTGCACGCCCGAGCAAGATGCAGGAGTGCTGCGACAGGCCTGCTTCTTTCTAGCTCAGGTCCTACGGTACTCGGGGTCGTTGGCTGAACGAAGCAAGCTGATGAAACCAAGCTTTCAGCTGCTTGACTGCCAGTGGCCTCCGCATTGATATCAGTAGTGGATCACCATGCTCTCCCACCCCAGGGGTCTTGAGACTCAATGATTGCTTCCATAGATCGGTTCAATTCACTGCAGCATTTCGAGACTTCAAGAATAGGGCCTATACCGATTCTCAGGACCCCAAATTTACACTGTCGGCTTCACAGTAGCGCAATACCTATGGGGCCTAAAGCGGAGCCATTTATTGCTGCCAAGCTGCAACATGGAAAGGCCTGGACTTGTGGAACTTTTCTGATAACAATTTGGCCTGGATCACCAACTGTAAGGGTTAAAGGCAAATATCCCTTGAACTTCCGCCAGTTTGTTCGTGAAATGTCCACTTCGGAAGAAAGAAAAGCCTTGCATTATGTAACTAAGAATGAAGATAGGTGCTGTCTCGCCTTTCCAGTGTCCCAGTCCACCAGAACTCGATGTTTTCATTCTTCCACTTTTGTCTTCACGAGTACCTCCATCGCTTCTCGCTCAGCGTCAGTCAACAGCTCTACTCTGGCCTTCCAGAGTTCCTCTACAGGAGTATCTTGTTCTCTCTTGCCAAAGAATCTTTCGTCTAGATATTTCCAATAGATAGCATCAAAGGACCAGCTCTTTCGAGCAGCATAATTCAGCCAAAATCGGCCAGTAGCCCAACTCTCCCGCATATACGCTGAAAGCGGCAAGTTTGAGCTGTTCTCTTCCTCAGCTTCTTCCATAGCGTACAGCCAGGTCTCAAGTCTTTGTTCATAGGTACTCGCCCGGTCTTCAATGCCGTCATCCCTCATCTCGGGCACCTCTAGTAGCAACCACCATGGTGGATCCAGTGTGAATTGGGATGGGCCAACGTAGGCGAACTCCCAATCTATCGCGCCGACAACGTCATTATCATCATTGACGAGTACATTCACTGGTCTAAAGTCATCTGACCAGAGACTGAATGAGGCCGAGTTGTCCGGTGCTGGCAGTGTTGCACTGGAGTGCTGAGAAGCAGCGGACCAGTCATCATCACAGAATCCGAATTTTGAAAGACGGCCTTGCGTAGCAAGTCTGTGAAACAGCTTCCGTGCGATGTATTTGGTTCTGCAGTCATCCTCGGATGATATGATGTCGTTGTGTTGAAAAACGAGTGTTGCCATCTGCATCTTGGCAAGCACGGTATACCACTCATCAGCAGTGCCGTATATGGTACCTTCAGCTGGAAATACTGATGAGGGAACGTTGGAGAGCTGGAAAATGTTGTGCATGTTGAGACTGATAGGTCGTCCCAGGACTTCATATGTACCTGGACTTAACTCTACCAGAGAACCGATACGCAGGAATGTAGGCCGGGCAAGCTGTAAGACGCATTCCGCCATTTTTAAATACAGATCCTTGAGCTGTGTTTCCGAGATCTTTGGATTAAGAATGGGCGCATCGTTAGGGTCGTCGCGAGGTGCCTTCAAAGCATGACTCATCCCATGCCTGGTACCAAGGTCCTCGATAATCATGTACGGCCCAATTTCTTCATCTATACCATGATGTAATATCTTGGGGATGGGGAGTTGAGTGTGTTGTTTGATACAGGCTGCTGTTGCGGCCTCTGCCATCGTCTTCTCTTCCGGGAACATCGCCTGGTCGGGACAAGGTAACCGGACGAGTACTTGAGATGTCAGACCTTCGATTTTGAAAGGATAGACGACGTTGAAACCACGAATGATCAGCGGAGTGACTAGAGTTGCTGGTTTCCCAAAATTTCGACTGGCAAAGGCTTCAACTTTACGACAAGTAGATGATACTCGGACGTGTTTCAGAGCCTTTTCCCAGCGCTCATCGCTCTGGTCCCAGGCCATGATATCGGCATCCTGCCTGGCGTCCATGTCAGTTCTGGAGCTTTCGTGTGTGCGAATGTATATGCAAATGGCGGACTGGCTTGGTCTGGCTAAAGACAAGTGAAATGAGCGTCATCAAGCAGTTGATGAGATGGGTGAACTGTGGAGAAGACTCGCGTAAAGGTGGGGAAATGTGACCCAAGGGAAACGCTGCACTCTCTCTCACAACAGTAGTATCACGCAAGGGTTTTACCTTGATAATCAGAAACAGCATTTCCGGGCGACACTAGCAGATGTAGATATGCAAACGAGAATATAGTTACTTAATTGGATAAGTGGCCACTATGGAGTATACATAACTGAGATGACCGCAAGGTGGATATACTGTAGTTCCAACTCATCCAGTTGAGAGACTGATGATATGCCATTGGACAAAGGTACTTGCGACGTGGTTTCTCAATTACTACGGAGTAGAAGGATGGCATAAATCAGGCTCTCATTTACATCCCTGTCCTATCACTCCGCATGAAATCCTTCCCTGTAGCACCAATCACAACGAAACCTTTCAGCCTCAAGCTTACACTATTCCTCAAGCTGAACTGCACTGTAACCTCGCCACCTCGCTCTGCATACCTATCAACTAACCCCTCCGCTGATCCCTCATCTCAGGCAATCCCAAGCCACCCATGTACTGGGAATGATACAGCTCCTGTGGCGACCGCTGCGGCGACGTATGCATCTCATAAGCAAACTGGGTGTTTGCCAACTCCGGCATGGGAGAAGGATATGCGGGCGGCTGGGAGTAGTCGCTTCGGCTGGGACTCGAGGCCCAAGTGTCGCGTGCCCCAGCCGGCGTTGGGGGCGAGGACATAAAAGGAGGTGGTGGCTTCTGTGCCGTGGCAGGGGCTTCACTGTTGGCTGCATAAAATTGGCTTGGCTGTGTCTGATTTGCAGACTTGCGTCGTCGCCTCCACAGGAAAAAAGCAAGCAGGGCGATCAACACCAAACCCAGGCCGCCACCAACGGCTGCACCGATAATGGTGCCTTTGGATGCGCTACCATCGTCGGAGCCTGATTCTGAAGAGCTTGCTGCTGTTCCTGTAGGCCCCACGGTGACGGTGGATTGACCTTGAACAAAAACCGTGATGGTCTGTTTATGTGTTGTGATCGAGGTTGAGTACTTGGTTGTCCATTCTGTCTTTGTTTCTGTGTCGGTAATTGTTGTCGTCGCTTTTTCCGTCTCATAGACTGTTTCCGTGTCTGTGGCTCGTCTGTGGATGGGGATTCCTCGTCGAGCGAGACCGTCAGCTAGCGCATTGAGGCTTGCAGCTGGTCGGAGGACGACCGGCTGTATTGTCTTGGTTGCGGGGGCCACGCGCCCGATGCGTTTATGAGGAGCCGCGGGGATAAACCGCTTATGTTTTCTGTCCGAGTCTGTAGCCGTGTCCTCACGGGTAGCTTCGTCATCTGTAGGGCTTCGGGATACCGTCACAAGTACGGTGGTTTCTATGGTCGACACGGTTTTCACGGTCGTTGTGCCATCTGTCGTAACGGTCTCGGTGTCGGTTTCGGTCGCCCATGAAGTCGTTGTCTCGGTCACAGTTGCTCTAGATAGTGTCAGCTGACTATCAATCGAATGTAAAGAGGCCTCCTCACGTAGGGTTGACGCATGTTCGGGCATCATTGTCGCACTTCTGGTCTTCATCGCAGCACTGACTAGATCAGCAACAGTCAAGGTAATCTGACCATAACTCACATATGGCTTCCCGACTGAAGGATTGCAGCATGTCGCATCAGGATTGCAACAAGCTCCCCAACCTGGATCTTTTGAAGTTCCGCAACAGCTCTGTCCTTCAAGGCAGCAGTTGCCACCTGGATCTGCTCGGCAACAAGGCCTGTTTTCACCACAGCACCATCCATTGGCTTGGGTACCGCAGCATTGAGGAGCAGATTCTACACATCCGTTGTCGTTCCCAAAGCATTTTATGAGTTGGCCTTGGCGACGAGCAAGAGGAAGATCCCAAGTCGGAAGTTGGGATGCTAAGGGAGCGAATTCCAGTCGCTTGATGGCGCCTGGTCTAGTCCACTCTTGTACAAAGAGTTTGACTTCTTCGGGGTCTGTGATATTGAGATCTTGGATGCATTGCTCGAGGTAAGTTGGAGAGGTTGAGACAGTCAGGCTTGGTAAACAAGCGAAAGCCCATAGAAGCCATCCTAAACGTATCATTTTGAAGTCGTAGACCGCCGTCTAGAGTAGATTGAAGGAAAAGAACAAGGGAAATTAGCAGAAACAGAACATTGGTGCAACCCAAGTTTAAGCTGTCTGTTTTCTCTTGAGCCTCCATCCTTGCTATGCTAACCCTGGAGCTTCATCTCCCACCAACGCCACGCATATAAATATCACACCGGTGATGCAACTAGTAAACGCCTGCATGCTGGCACGATAAGAGAAAGTACTTACCCCGCCCGAAAAATTTGGTGAACGGCCAATGAGAGAGACATGTTGAGAGCCTGATTGAGGTTGTACATAAGGGTAAGAGGAAGGGAGACGGGGGAATGAAATCCATTGGATGTTCAACCAGAACATTAGGCCGGGGCTCACGTTCTGGTGTCGTTGTCTATAAATAAAGCAACTTGGATGCAAGCATGAGGAAACAAAAATGAAGATTGGTCCTTTCTTTGAGGAAGCGTACTATAATTCCTTGTGGCTGGAAGGTCCAGTTGGCTACAATGTGGAGGACAAGTTTAACTGGGAGACTCATGGCAGCCAATTAAACTCCGTGATCTTATCATATACATAAGCACAGCACTAGTATCCTGAAGACTCTCATGGTAACGTCAAGCGACCAGCAGCTTACCTTTCCTGAGCTATACTAGATCTGGTACAAATCAGCTTACAAGCGGAACTCCGTTTAGCGCTTACCCGACCATATAAAGCCATCACTGAGCGCTTACGCAAAGTTCAATCGTCTAAAAACTCCCGTTATCCCATCTTCATCTTACGAGATCTACAAAATGGCGGAGAAAAAGCCCGTCGTCGTCATCGTCCCTGGTGGCTTCTGCAGTCCCGAAGTCTACCAGCCGGTCGCCAACATTCTGGAGCAAGATGGATTCACTGTCATCATCCCAACATTGACGGTTACTAAAGATCTCACTTCCAAAGATCCTGCAAGCCCAGAGTTCAAAGAATTAGCTACCAAAGGTCTTCTTGATGACGTAAAAGAGATCCACGACCGTCTAGCTTCGGAGCTCGATCAAGGGTCTGAGATTGTTATCTTTGGACACAGCTACGGAAGCCTCCCCGGATTGCTCTCTATTGAAAGGCATACGGTCAAGGACCGTCAAGCAAAAGGTCTGTCCGGTGGCATCAAAGCTTATATCGCCGTCGCTGGGTTTCCATTCGCACAGAGAGGGATGAACGTTCTAGGCAACACAGAGCCAGCGCCGCCAATGCCATATCACGAGCTTCAGGCATGTCAATCATCTACCTACATATCCCTCCGCTGACAAAACTCAACACAGGATGGGATTTTTTACATGACAGAAGCAGCGAAGCCTCTCTTCTTCAGTGACCTCTCCCCCGACAAACAAGACGAAGCGTGGAAACTTGTTCTACGAAGTCAAAGCCAGAAGAGCCTCAGCGACGTATCCGAGTTTATCAACTCTGACGTCACGATTCCAAAGACTTACGTTATTTGTGAGAAAGATCACGTTGTTCCCCCGGAGGTACAGGAGATGTTTATCCAGGCTGGAGGTTTTGACAAGGTGGAGAGGCTGCCGTCCGGACATTTTCCTTTTGTAAGCATTCCTGAAGAGACGGCCAGGATGTTTGCAGAAATTACGTTGCGGTAAATGAGATGCCAGTTGTTAGAAGAGTTAGCTTACTACGGATGGCAAGATGTAAATACTATAGATTTGTTGATCGTAGCGAATGTTGACTTGCCAGGCTTTATAAGGACAGGGTAGCTATTTGAGCGCATAGTGATTAGCATCTTCTCTTAACCTATAGACTATCGGCTGCCCCGGGTCTTTCATCACTACCAATTCTCATTTCGACAAGGCTCTCCGAATGAACGGAATGTTCCGTTTCATGAATCCACTTTCTCATCCGATGTCCAGAGTGGCCAAGGTACGAGCTAGGAAACATCGTTGTTTCATTTACGTCGCATATCGATCTCTTCCCATTCTTTCACGACATGGGACGATCCCCAATGACCGGTCGCCCTACAAATTAGCAGCAATGAATGCCACTGGATTTATACGATCATCGTGACCGCTGTAACGAAGCTAACGAAATTAAGGCCCGCACAAGGCTACGCTGGCTTGTCACTGACGGAAATAATTTCTCCACCGCACTCGTACTTTAGACTTAACTGAAACAAGGAGCTAGATAACTTCGCATTGGGCAGTTTCTCCGACGAATAATCCGACGAATCCGCGTATCCCTTTACCCTTGAGACTATAATTCAGATGATGGTTTCGCGTAAAGCGAGACTGGTTCTGCAGTCCATCTCTTGGCTTCATCAACTATCGCCATCATGAAGTTCACCCTCTGCCTCAGCGCACTCGCAGCGCTCTTCACTTCCGTGACCGCCCAAAAGGTCTCCGGTTCAGCGCAAGGTTTCGCCCAAGGTGTCACAGGCGGTGGCTCCGCTGCAGCAGTTACGCCGAAGAATATTCAAGAACTGGTGACTTATCTCACTGACAAGACGCCCCGCGTTATTGTGCTTGACCGAACGTACGACTTTATCGGCTCAGAGGGTACTGTCAAAGAGAAGGGATGTGCGCCGTGGAAGACTGGTGCGGGATGTCAGTTGGCTATCAACGCAGCTGGGAATTGGTGCGGTAATAATCCCAAGGTCGATGTTACGTACAGCAAGGCGGGCACGAGTGGGATTAATGTTGCTTCTGATAAGACGATTATCGGAGTTGGGAACAAGGGTATTATCAAGGGGAAGGGATTGCGGTTTGTTAATGTCAAGAACATTATCGTTCAAAACATTCGTACGTTACTCACACCTCCGGCGTATCAGCTCTCTAACAGATGTGCTGGCAGATATCACAAACCTGAACCCTCAATATGTCTGGGGCGGTGATGCTTTCACCTTCTCCGGCACCAGCAAGATCTGGGTTGATCACTGCACCGTAAGCTGATCGTTCATACAAGTCAGAGCATTGCTAACCTTTCTAGACATCGCTGCTTGGTCGTCAGCACTACGTCTTTGGCCGTGATAAGAGCACTGGCATAACCCTTTCCAACAATCACATCGATGGCCATACACAGTGGTCCGCTGGCTGCGACGGATACCACTACTGGACAATTGAGATGGTCGGCCAAGGCGACCAGATTACCCTTCAGAGTACACTTCTCCCATCTTCCTAACGAAGATCTCTACTTACATCTTTCAGACAACCTCATCGAGCACACCTCAGGCCGTGGCCCAGCCCTCTCAGCAACCACATTCCTCCACGCTGTCAACAATGTCTGGCGTGACATCAACGGCCACGCCATCGAAGGCGACACCGCCGGCAAGGGTCTGTTCGAAGGAAATGTCTTCCAGAACGTCAAGCAGGTCGTCGTCCCCGATTTCAAGGGCCAACTCAACAGTTGTCCTGATAACGCCGCTGCTAGCGCTACGCAGCAGTACCTCGGTCGCGTGTGCCAGGGCAATATTTTCATTTCTTCTGGTGCGTTTAACAGAAAGGATACCGGCTTCTTGTCGGAGTTCAAGGGACTTCCTATTGCGAGATCTACGCAGGCTACTACCGCTCAGAGTAAGGTTCCAGGTAATGCTGGTTTTGGAAGGATCTGATCGCGTCGTATTGAGACTGATGCGATTTGCTCTCTCGCAAACCACGCTTACGTGAGATTTTGGGGCCGCGACGTGCGTTGCTATTAAAACATCCTAACAGCCCTTCGCAGTATATATCTTTATTGCAGTACATTATCATCATTCAATTCAAATTAAAATATGGCTACTTCATACTCACGATCGGACGACATTGTATACCCCACCCACATGATAGATAATGTGTCTGTCCTGAAGTTCCTTGTCATGGCGTGGACTATGCGCTTCGACGATGTCTTGAACGCCGACAAGCTTCACAAATCGCTAGCGGAATTATTTACCGTTGGTGATTGGAAGAAACTTGGTGGAAGATTGAAATACGGGCATAACAAGCGAGGAGCTCTCGAGGTTCATGTTCCCACTACGTATACAAACGAACGGCCCGCCGTGTCTTACTCACACCAGCATTACGATATCAGCATCGAAGAGCATAAGGTCGCAAACCTCCTACCAAAATCGACTAGTCGACCGTCGACCTTTCCAGGAGCCTCGGGGCCTCGGGATTTTGGTATACCTCCCGGCGCACCTACATCGCTGAAGAATTATACCAGTCGGGATGTCGCAATGATAGGTCTTCACATTATGACATTCCAAGATGCAACAATTGTCACTATCACGTGGCCACACGTCCTGTTTGATGCAGTTGGATTCTCTCACTTGATCGAAGCTTGGTCAGCAGTACTCGCTGGCCATAAAGACCGTGTACCAAAGGTCATTGGCGCAAAGCAAGATGTTCTGTACGATCTCGGCGATATAGCCCAATCTGTACCTCAGTATGCACCTAGTGAGGCTCGAATTCTTTCTGGTATAGCGTTCATGATGTTCGTCATCCGGATGCTCTGGATCATATTGACTCAGCCGACCGTGGAAAGCCGCATCATCTGCCTGCCGAAAGACGTGGTAGACAGGCTACATCAGCGAGCGCTGAAGGATACCAAGGAGAACAACAACGATCTAGACGGGCCATGGGTCAGTCCGAGTGATGCCATCTTGGCATGGCTTACCCGCGCCCTAGTCGATCCATCCAAAGCACCCAGTCCCATCAGCATGACAACTCCAATCGACGCACGAACCCGACTACCTCAACTTCATAATGCGGACGGTGTCTACGTTCAGAACATGATTCTAGGGTCTTTCGTCAACATCACACTAGACGATCTTCGCAAGCCATTGGGAAAGCAGGCACTCGTGAGCCGCCGAGGCTTGTTAACAACTGGATGAGTCGAACTTGGTAGGTATCCTACAACTCTTTCGCAAACGCTGGGACATCGGCAAAACGAGAGTTCCAATCTTCGCTGCGCCTGGTAGCCAACTTTTGGTTACCAACAACAGGCTCAAAATCGATCTCTTTACAGCTGCAGACTTTAGATCAGCTGTAACTAAAGCCATTGGTGACCATAAAGAGAACCACACAGGCAGACCAGTCCATCACTATGCCTCGTCCCTGAATCCTGGCATTACAATGAGGAATTTTGTGAATATTCACACGAGAGATGTCAACGGTAACTATTGGCTGTCTAGCTTCTTCACACCACGGCAGTGGTCAAGGATTGAGGAAGGATTTAAAGAATTTCTGTAGAATTGGAACGAGAGACGGAAATGAATCTGGCTTCAGAAACTAGGTAGAAATATCAACCCTTCACCAAGACCCCTTTCTATTCAAACCACAGAGTGGGGTTTTCAGGTATATCCTGTAGAGGCCTGATTCAAGGAGTACAATTACGAGCATGTGATGTACCTCAACCAGGCAGTACAGGTGGAGGCAGAGAATCGGGGCAGCGGCGCAGGGCAGGCGCCAAGCGACAATGCTGTATTTACCCTTCAAGCTACATACTCACGTATTAAGTCCCTTGCCTTAGCAACTCGATAGATATTCAGGTATGACACTTTGAGTATTTTCGCTGTTGCTCACAATATTGTTTGAACCGAGGAAGCGTGCCAGGACGGTGATGCAGTCTGCTCTGCATAATCAGGGGCGGGGCATTTCTTTTTCCGGCTAACCCTTATGCTATACTCTCCTAAAGATTTATGGTTTAAGATAAGTATTAAAGAATCTTCAAGGCGAAGTTCTGAGTTTTCGTCTATATTAAGCTTTCTTAGTAAGTAGATCCGCGGATGCCGAACCAGGGGTATAACCCCCTTTCAACCAAGGCTTTAAGCCGGAAGCTCCGAAAAGAGATGTAAACGGAAAGAGAAGGTTTAGAAAGAGAAGGTTTGAATTGACCGCTACCAGGTCCTAGCACTTAAGAATTCCCTGCGTTTCCCAGGTGGCTAGAGTTTTAGACGCATGTGCCTGTGAAAGGATTAACAGAATAGAGCACGAAGCAAATGCCTTTTCGCCCCTCGGCGCCGCGGAATCCGGACATGTAGTCCTCATCCATCCTATGCATAAACTTTGAATTTGTCCCCGCCAGGTATCTAGTGAGATTTGCGTCATCTAGGTTCGCTGAATGTCGACAAATTTTGTATCATGGTACATGCCGGCGGGCCACTGTCCCAATTGCTTTCATCTGTCCATGGAGGCACCCCCGCTGCGTTCATACAGATCTCTATGTCACGGAGGAAATTGCCCAAAAGTAACTAACGGCCTTCAATTCTTGGATCCTCTATCTCCAGTAGTGCTGAGATGTGATGGCCGCAGCTCAAGGACTGGGATTTCAGGGCAAAAAGTTTCCCTCGTTTATCAACTGCGAGCAAATAAGTTCAGATAAACGGGCGCAGTATACCCAAGATCGGGTGAGACGGAGAATTTCTGCTCAAGTTTCCAACTTAAATTATTGGAAGACGATCACAGTACCTCTCCCCGGCCCGCTACTGGACTAGCTCTCCTACGTGATGTTTCTCAGCCGCGGACCGCACCGCTCCGGGCTCCGGGAGTGCCGAGAGATCGCAGTAGAGATCAGGCTGGGAAAAGCATAAAAAGGGTCTGAGAGGAGCATTGGTTCCTCTCTTAATGACGACCCGTACCAAACTGTTGATACACCACCAGCAAACCATGGCATTCTTAACTATTCCAGTATTGTTGATGGGCCTGGCCCTTCACGTGTCAGCTGCCCCTCCAGATATTCGCCCTTGTCAGGCAGTTGTACGTTTCCCTCCTTCTAATTGCGTGGACTTGTCCAACGGTATGGGGGAACTTTGTGATTGCTAACCGCGATGTTGGAAGTGTCATTCGCTTTCTAAGCAGTATCCAAGCCAGGTCTTTCTCGGTGATGAGAAGACATACTCTTCGGAGCAAAGCTCTTTTTGGTCGACCATACAGGGAGCTGTTTCTCCTGCTTGTTTCTTTCAACCTAAGAGCGCAGAAGAAGTAGCCAGCGCTGTCGTCGCCGCTCGTGGAGGCTTCTGCAAGTTCGCCGTCAAAAGTGGCGGCCACTATTCTTTTGCAGCATCCACCATCAATGATGGCCTCGTTGTCGATCTTGCTCGGCTAAGCAAGGTGACTGTCAGCCAGGACAGGCAAACGGCTGTCACTGGGCCCGGTGGAAGGTGGGCTGATGTTTACCCTACTCTCCAAAAATACGGCCTCACAGTGCCTGGTGGCCGCATGTTCGGCGTTGGCGTTGGCGGTTTGTCTTTAGGTGGTAAGCATCTCGGCACAACCCCTAATCGCAGGTCTAATGCTAACGACTGGGCAGGGGGGATTTCATGGCTAAGTAATCTCCACGGATGGACATGCGACAATATCCTCGAATACGAAGTGGTTTTGGCCGATGGTCGCATCATCAAAGCAAACCCCAAGTCACATAAGGATCTCTTCTGGGCTTTACGGGGTGGTGGCAGTAACTTCGGTATCGTCACCAAGTTCAAGTTTATCGCATACGAGCAAGGAAGGTTGTGGAATAGCAGGCTTAGTTTTGATGCTGACGCCAACATGACTGCCAACGCTGCCTTCACAACCTGGGGCGACCTGCTGGCCCCTCAAGACCTGAAAAGCGGCGGAGTGCTTCTCTGGGATGCTCATGCCGATAGACAACCAACCGGTCTAGCAATCCTCACCCACGCTGACACATTCGCCAAAAATTCACACCCAGATGTCTTTGAAGGATTTTATGAGGCTGGCCCCAACAATGTTACAGAAAGCAACGCTTTCCACGCGGAAATCGCTGAAGGACTCGTCATCCCCGGCGGTGTCACTCGTAACTCGATGTGGACAACGTCGTTCGTCCTCGACGCTGAACTGGTGCAATCTGCTTTCGACATATGGAGTGAAGAATCGGCATCTATTGCTTCCTTTGCGACGCAGGAGTTGCAGCTTCAGATTATCACCCGGTCGCAATTGGCGTCTATGAAGAGAAATGGTGGCAATCCAACGGGTCTGGCCGAAGAAACACGACCGGTAGGGTTCGTCAATCTCCTAGCCATGTGGGAGAAATCCGAGGATGACAAACATGTCTATGAAGTGCAGCAGCGCATGGAAAATCGTATCAACGCCGCTGCAGAGAAAAGAGGTCTCAGCAACATTTTCAAGTACACCAACTACGCCAGTCAGTTTCAGGACCCTTTCGCTGGATACGGTAGTGACAACAAAAAGAAGTTGCTGAAGGTTGCGGAGAAATACGATCCTGAGGGTGTTTTCCAGACCCTAGTTGAGGGGGGTTTCAAACTTGCCAGAGGTCCGCAGCACCTATGAGTAAGCTAGTACTGTCAGGCGGAACAGGCAAGGATATCACATCTATCGCCGAGTTCGGTGTTCAAAGGCATAGGATTTAATACGATTTTTAAGGACTGTTATTCTCCCAAACTGATTAATGGGCCCACCAGTTGACCCTACTCTCAGTTGACTGACCTTGATCTCTGCTCTGACATTACACTCAAACTCTTGTGTGAAATACGGCCCTTGAGACCGTCACTGAGCTAAGAAGAAATCAAGATCTCCCATCGCCGTCAAGCTGTTCCCACCAAACCATCCTGTCTTATAAATATCAGGGCAGTTCTAAAGAGTCAAGACCGAGATTGCCTATTACCTGACAGCGCGCGCACTGTAGCAGAGTTGGGGAAGTAGGAGGGCATAATGATAAGTAATTTTATTGACCTTTATATAAGAGACATCAATACTACTTATTAGCTATTTAGTTCTTATATGTTACAATACTTATCAAAAATTAATTAAGTAAGAATTACTGTAATGGTAGAAAACAAGAAATAAGAATAAAACGGGCTTTATAATTTCGGTAGAAAGATCGACTCAATAAACAAGACCCCTTTCTGTTCAATGATGATGTGAATGCACACAAGTCCCACGAGTCTGAAGGCGCTGCACAGATCTCTTCCCCTCCTCCGATAGATCCCTCCCCTGAATTCCACCTACACTTCTCTTCCTAATCATCTTACCAACATCATCATCATTCGCAAACTTCGCCTTGACACCGTTTTTGAAGTCAACCTCATCAGCGATGTACACAACCTCACCGCCAACCATCGTCAGCAGTGTCTTCTGTCTAGCGATATGCTCTTCTGGAACTTCAAAATAATTGGCCTTGAGGACAATAGCATCTGCAAGCTTTCCAACTTCTAGTGAACCGATGTAGGCATCAGCGCGGAGGAAGCGAGCGCTCTCAGTCGTGATTGCGCGGATGGCTTGGTCGCGTGTCAGAGTGAGACCTGGAAGACCGTTGCTGTTGTAGGGAGCTCATTGCGAGGCTGGGGAATTGGGGTTCTTGGGATCGCCTGAGCGTGTGACGCCTGCTTTGATGGCGAGCCACTCATCCAAAGGATCAATCTATCGCTACCATTAGTTTCAATACCGTTGATACAGTTTATGGATACATACTGGCCAGTCGCTACCGTAGACAATGGCAGACCCGAACTTGGCAAGTTCTCCAAAAGCTTCCATATAGTGCGATCGTCTTGGGCCCATACTCTTCACACCATTTGGGAGCCAGACTGAGCTAGCCTGTGACCACTGAAAGCTCATGATGGGATCGGCCTTGAGTTCAGCGAAGCGAGGCCAATCTGGAGGGTCTGTTACTTCATTGTGAGCGAATCCCACCCGGTAATCACGAAGTTTGGGATTCTTATCACGGAGCTCCTCGAGGGCATCGAGAGCTGTCCGAACAGCTAGATCTCCGTCAACATGGATCTGAGCGTCGATGTTGTTCTTGAACAGTTTCGTCAGGGTCAGACTCAACAGTTCCTTGTCCCAGTATGTTTTCGGTCCGAAGTCTGACTTGGGTGCCCACATTGACGTACTAGCCACAGGTTGAAAGTATGGCTCGATGAGAGAGCCGGTATTCGCGGGGTACAGTAGAACACCATCCATGAACATCTTAACAGCATGCCACTTCATAGAAGGGCTGGGTCCCAGTTCCCTCTTATCATTCCACGTTGAAGTAATATTGACCACGTCCTTGACAAGACCATCAATTCCCGCAGTGTTGTTAGGTGGCAGCACGAGATAGTCGAAAAAGCCACGAGCTGTCAAGCCTCCCTCTTTCTTGATAGCCGCAAACGCAAGAGCTGTATCCTCGCTCGATGCAGCCTCTTGAAAACTTGTAACGCCCTCCTCGCGGAGAAGCTTCAACGCAGCTCTGGCAGATCGAATGTTGTCTTTGGGTGTTGGAGGCGCGGGACCTGCTAATAAACTCGTCGCAGAATCTTGTAGAATTCCTGAGAGTTCTTGACTTCCTGGGAGTCGTTCAAATTTGCCGTTTCGTGGGTCTTTTGTCTTGCTAGTGAGGGATGATACCTTCAAGGCAGCTGAGTTGACCCAGAAGGTATGCGAATCAGCTGACGCGACAAGGATAGGCCTTTTTGTCTTCAGCTTATCCAGGTCCTTCTTCGTAACGCCGCCAGTATCGTCTACCAACGCATAGTAGTCGAGCGAGATAACCTCTAGCCAATCCTTTTCAGACTTGTCCTTGTCATCATCAAGACAGCTCTGGATTTTCTCAGGACTTTACTAAGGCCCAAGGGCTGGAAGTTCATGTTACACTTGAGAAGACCAGCTCCGCCGCTAAGAGGATGCATATGGGCATCCACGAGACCGGGCATCATCATTCGGCCCTCAAGGTTGAAGACCGAGGTATTTTTAGTGATGTATGACTGGATGCCTTTCTCATCGCCTAGGAAGGTGATGTATCCATCTTTGACGGCGAGAGCGGAGTATTTTGTGGAGAGGAGGTCAAGTGAGTAGATGGAGCCATTGTGAAAGACGGTGTCTGCGATGGCTGTCTTGTTGCTTGACTTCTTGGAGGCAGCTGAGCCTGGGGAAACGAAAAGAGCTGCTGCCAGAAGAAGGCTAGAGACCGAACCTGGAGCTTTCATCGCGTTGTTTGAGAACTGAAATTATGACGAGCTGGATTGGTATCTATTGCATTCTATAGTACCATCCAGACAGCCTTATATAGTTATTCTATCTACCCCATGTCTAAGCGAAAGTCTTGGTCATTACGTCTTCACCTGCCAAATTGACAAGCGATATCAGATCGTATACTAGAGTCGGCTCAGGCTTCCATAATGGATCTAGATGCGGGAGATAGATTGAGTTATGCTTGATGATAGGCTTGTTCGTAATTTTGCACAAGCCAGGGCACACGATCGTGGCCATCTTATCAAGCCCCCTTGTCACAATCCCTGGGTTTGCGGGGAAGTCGCTTGAACTATCCTTTTTCGTTATAGGTTATCGTACGCCGCAACGACTTGGCGTCTTCGACTATTGATCTAGACTACACAGTTCCTGCCAAGCAAGCCGCTCTCATCTTAGCATTTTCATTCACCTTAATAGCCTTGAGAAGAGAGGTGAGATACCCGGTGCGGCTGCATTCTTTCGCGACAAAAGTTTGGCTTGGTCAGATTAATCCCTTTGACTTGAATAACTGGTATGACACGCAGTCAATTTGAAGTCTATACGAATGATTCAACGTTCAAGAAACAGAGTCACATTGATGGCAACTTAATCGAGTTTGCCAAATTGAGTTCAAAGACCCTTGCTCTTCCTCAGCATCGGTAAGAATTAGTGCGTGATCAAGCGATTAAGCATTGATTACCCCACCAAATCGCTGAGGCTATGCTCCAATCCGTCAGAGATGAGCTCCAATATTGACAGCATATGTTTATTGCAATCAATTGGCCTCTTTCATTCTAGCGCAGTAACGGCCCCGGATTTCTTATCATGACTTCGCTGGCGGTTGTCAGTTGGCGGTTCACGCTTCTCGATCCCATGACATCACCAAACACTAATGCGAGGTCAAATGATAGGGTATGGTCTCGCTGCAGACCAAGCTTATCGCTACTTGGGTTAAGCATACTCAAAACAGTGTTTTAGCCTCAAAGAGACGGCTATCATAATGTTGAAATTATTCCTAGTTTATGACGTGGGTAACTCTGGTTCTCTCAAAGACAAGAATTCATGACCAGGATATCGAGAGCATATTTCTTAGCTGCAATAAAATTGTGAGCCCGCCATTAAATCACCACATAGAACTTAAAGTTGTAGGTTGAATAGACTCGCAGCTAAAGCCCAGGCTTCACAACTATCCTTATGGAATTGTTAATTTTGCATTTATTTCCGTATTTGTCTCGCTCGAGACAGATCAGGTGACAGCATCTGTTGAGTTAACCCAACATTTCTCGGTCTTTTGTCCGATATGCAGTCCGCTTGCCCTCCGCATTGCCGATCACCACTTTCATTTTGCCTAATGTTGATCATTCACTTGATTGGTTGGACGGGAATACTTGCATTGTTTACCGTTGCATTCAAACCCCAATTCGCGTGTCGAGATAGGAAAGCTCGGAAGTTACATCACAAAAGTACCTCGGCATGCTGTTGAGACTGTCTCGATGACTACTTCTGGCTCCGAGAGTGAGGTTCTGCAAGCGGCCGAGTACCGTGAGAGTTAATACAAGTGCAGCAATACTGTTGATCCGGTCATGGGATCGATCATCCATTTTGCATCGCTTTTAATTGTCCCATTATTCGCTGCAACATCTACCTCGCTTCGACAAGATCTGGCTCATACCTATCCAATCCAAACATATAGATAAGAGAATATGCAACTGCATCGAAATCCGTGATCATATCTCCGCCGGTGCAGCCTAATACCACCCTCGCTCCTAATTCGTACAACACCCATCAAACAGCTCATACGAAAAAGCAGCATCCTCTCCACAAGTGAATGGGTCATGGTGACACCACGGGTTGTTCCCCGAGTCATAGACCTTGCTCGTGCCCATTTTACCCCAGAGTCAATCCGACTCAGCTGCGGGGTAGTCTCGTCAATTGCGGGGGATGATCTACCGACTCGAGGCAATCGCCTTGTTTCTCGTTGGTCAAACTATTGATGATGTTACATTTGTTGTTGATCTGTTACCAATTATGATGGACTTTCGGTGTATTCCTTTGCCGAGACTTGTGCCGAGTTCACTCTTTTCTCGTCTAGGGGGGCTTTATATACCGTCATCGTAGCTGAAATCTTGGTCCTTTCCTCCTCCAACTCGCCCTCTCTTCCACCAAAACAGTGCTCATCTTTCGCCACTCGGTATTCTCGCAAAGCAGCATGGACACAGGCAAAGCATCGGTCCAAATGGACGAAGGCGATACCCCCGCCGCCGGTCGTGAGCAAAACCTCGAATCATGGGATTTTAACGCCCAAACCGAAGAATGGCGCAAAGATTTCGACAAGAAACTCCTCCGAAAAGTCGACATGCGACTAATGCCGACTCTCGTCGTCATGTATCTCCTCAACTTTCTCGACCGCTCGAATCTTGCACAAGCCAGACAAGGCTCCCTCGAAGAAGATCTCGGCATGTCAGGCACAGACTTCAACCTCGCCACGTCGATCTTCTTTGTCGGATATTTACTCATGCAACTCCCCTCCAATCTCATCCTGACAAAGCTTCGGCCGTCGCTGTATCTTAGCGCGTCTTGTTGTCTCTGGGGCGTTGTGTCGACGTGTAATGCTGCTTCTGACAGCTTCACCCATCTAATTGTGATTAGATTCTTTCTGGGTTTTGTCGAAGCCCCATTCTTTCCCGGGGCCGTGTTTTTGATGAGTTCGTGGTATACGAGAGCTGAGCTTACTCGGCGCATTGCATGGCTTTATTCGGGGAATGCGTTGGCGAATATGTTTGGTGGAGTTTTGGGTGCTGCCATTCTCGGCGATCTTGAGGGAGCGCATGGCATCGCGGGTTGGAGATGGCTTTTCATTATCGTGAGTTCGATCTTGAGATCCATGGGACAAAACTAACAAATAACAGGAGGGCGTAGCCGCCATCGGATTCTCCTTCATCGCCTCCGTCGCTCTGCCCAATTACCCTCACACTACTAAATGGCTAACCCAAGAAGAGCGCGCATTCGCAGCATGGCGCTTAGCACAGGACATCAACGAAGTCGACGCATACGGTGAAAAGACAATATGGGACGGTGTCAAGATGGCTGTACGCGATTATCGACTCTACCTCTTCGTTCTTCTCCAGCACGTCAGCTTGATTTCCCAGACGTTCCAATATTTCTTCCCGACTATTGTTGGAACGCTTGGCTATGGAAAGATCACCACTCTGTGGCTCACAGCCCCTGCTTGGGTAAGTGGAACATGCTATCAATTGACTGTACTGATTTCGCTGACTTTTATTGGTAGTTTGCGACTTTCCTCCTCTCCGTCTGCGTTACGTTGAGCTCTGCCAAGACTAATGACAGATCGCTTCATATCATTTCTCTCATGCTAGTAGCGGCTATCGGAAACGCGATTGCAGCTGGGACAACCGTTGTCGGAGCTCGCTTCTTTGCCATGTTTCTCATGCCCATGGGGTCTGTCGCTTCTTGTCAGTTCACCAATCAGCTATTCAGGAATCATCAACTGACACTTCACAGACCAAATCATCGTATCATGGGTCGCAAACTCCTTCCCCCGTCCTCTAGTAAAGCGCTCAGCCGTCATCGCCATCTGCAACATGATCGGCAACACAGCCAGTATCTACGGATCGTATATGTATCCCAGTAAAGATGGGCCCCAATACACACCAGGTGGTAGCGCCAATGCCGCGATCTGTGTTATCGTCGCTCTTCTTGCTCTTCTGTTACGATATGTTCATAAGAGAGAGAACAAGAAGTTGGATAAAGCAGAGGCAGAAGCGAATGCCGTGGCTACTGAGGATGGAAAGGTCGACATGACTACGGCTACGGGAACTCATCGGTCAGGGTTTAGGTATATTTACTAGATTGCTTTTTCATAGCTACCGGTCATTTAAGCCACCTATATACTCAGATATCTCTTCTACCGCTGGGATCTTTACTGGCGAGAGTGTCAGATTGCTAAAAATGACGACGCCTTAAAAGCTGCCCCAGTAATGTTTATCATAGTCACCACTCGGCTTCCATAGTGCAGCTGGCGTGTAGACCGGAATAGGTACATCAGCTAGAACACATAGTCAGCGTATATACAGTTAGAACTCATCAAGTCACTTACTTCCATAACCAGTGCTTGCCGCAGCCCACGTAGGGAATGATGGAGCTGTCCAGCCAGTAGGTGTAGCGGTGACAGTGTACGTGCTGGTATACGCGGTAGGTGCCTGGCCAGACGAAAGCGATTTGATACCATTCGCCTGTCCATAAGAATTATCACCGTGGCCAAAGATGTTGCTGATCTTGTTGATGACCGAGGTTCCGGACTCGGTCCAGATGCTAAAGTCTTCGACTGTGACGTTGGTGGCGAATGATAGATCATTGGCCACGAGGAAAAGAGGAGGTCTCTTGGACCCATCGGCAACAGATCCTGAAACACGATGGTCAGCTTTGCAGTATTTTTTGTCAACTTTGCTCTTACCAGAGAAGTTCTTAAAAACAAGGTTACTCAGAGCGACAGCTCCAGTATCAGGTTCAAAGGTGTTTTGCCAATACTGGTTGATATCCAAGCCATAAAGAGAAGCCTTGGAACGGAAGTTCTCAAAGGTGATATTGGTAACATGACCAGAGCCGCCTGGATAAGTCTTGATGAAAGCAATGTTGTTTCCCTGGATGATGTTGATGTTTCGTGCATGCTATAAGAACTTAGTCAGCCCCGTCAAGTCTCAGGTAGGGTTTCCTTACGATATTAGCGATGGATGCCGACACGTTGAGGCTGCCGATCGAGATACCGGAACCAGCTTGGTTACAAACCAAATTCTCGATAAGAGCATGGTTGGAAGGGCTCTTCACTGACACGCATTCGTCTCGGTTTGTAACCTGATTTGATAAGTACATTATCAAGGAGTTTAGGCTGATGAATTCCTACCTCGATGTCGTGGATCCAATAGTTCGTGCCCACCACGTCAACACCATCATAAGAGCCTAAGTTGGCTCCTCGGATGGTGAGGTGATACACCTCAAGGTTCTCAGCAAAGTCAAAGACGATGTGAAACTTGGGGCTGTCGACGAGAATGAGGTCGTGAACTGAAGTGTTGATCGGTGAAATGATCCTGACAAGTCGGGGACGGAAAGTACTTGATTGGATATAAGCCTTGAGTAACAATAAGATCCAAAGGAGTGACTTACTTTGCCAAGTTCCTGTAGATATAGCCTTGTCCCTGAATGGCACCCTTTCCATTTTGTGAATAAAACTCAAAGTCGACAGCTGGCAACTTGATCAACAAATGAAATTTTGGAGTAGTGAATGATACGCACGGTTTATAATGGTAAGTCCATTCTGTAAGAATTGCCCATCACCTTCACCATTGATAGTCGCGTTCAGCAGCTCAACTCCCGCAAAACCCTGCAATACCAACTTACGATCAACAGTCCAGTTACCACCATAAGCCAAGGTGATGAGTCCATCCAGTTGGAACGCCCAGTTTGTACCGTTTGACAGAACGACCGATCGTTTGATCAGGTACTGGCCATCAGGGACGATCAGACGGCTTCCAGCGTGTGGGAGGACGCAGGTCTTGAAGGTTTTCTCGATGGCATCTGCGATATCAGTGGAGTTGTCGTTGACAGCGCCATAGTCGAGAATGTTGCACTCGTGGGTCTTTTGGGAGAGGGCTGTGAGGGGACCGACTGGGCCGGTGAGTTGAGCGTCTGCCAGGAAGGCTGACAATAAGCCTGAGAAGAGAAAGAATTTCATCCTAAAAGAGCCTTATCTGTGATGTTGCACTTGATCATCCACCTTGATTAATAGCGTAGTCTGGAATATATACTTTTCCCAAGACGCTTGGTGAGTACTCATGCCCATGCTCGGTTCATTCTTTACGCCTGCTTGATCTGAATCTGTCACTGATATTCACCTTGAGCACGACATATGCCCTTCATCTTGTCTATTCAATTTTGTACTGCAATCATATTGCCGTGGTTCCGGTCAGATGTACAGGGCAAGGTCCATCGTGGCGGTAATTTGACTCCTACCACGGCATCTCGCAGCTTTCAATCGTGAAGAGCGTCTCGGGCCATCGCTCCTTTCCGAGACTAGAAGCTGTCGTCATTTAACTGAACTTTACTCCATCCAGTGCTAGACAGCTAGATATACCCAGTATGTACCAGTACAATGAGCAAGTCCTTCCCATGCCTTGGGGGTTCCTCAGAGTCGGATCCGAATCCCTACACCTCGGCCGTTCGAACCCATGCTATATCCAGAAATAGCGCGGATGTCACAATCGTTTATATGTGTTCTCATTGGTGCGCTTTCTAACGCCGCGGATGAACCAATCTGACAGCTGGGCACTAGGTTGTTTACACACTTGATCGACATGATTGAGGCTCAATTCTGAGTAGTTTCACGATGCGAGGATGATAAGCACGGATACTCGGCACCTTCTTCATGTCGGTTACATATCGTCTACTGTTTGATTGCGTGGGATGTTGGGATATATAATTGTTGTTGGATGGCGACATAGTCTTGTTCGTCACGCCATCGCCACCCTTGACACTGACATGTACAGTCGCGTACAAACCCTAAGAGACATGACCTTCAGCAAAACTCTCGGCTTCATTCACTTGTTACATGCTGTAGCATCAAAATCAACACTTATCTAATCAATTCGATATGGCGGCAAAAAACGTTCTCCTGCTTGTCGCAGACGACCTAGGCAAACAACTAGGCTGCTACGGTCATCCCAATGCAAAAACTCCAAACATCGACAAACTCGCTTCCCAAGGTGTAAGATTCGACAGAGCGTTTGCAAGTACTGCTTCATGCAGTGGAAGTCGCTCTACCATCTACACCGGGCTGCATACCCACCAGAACGGACAGTATGGTCTCAACAGTGGAAAGCACCATTTCATGACCTTTGATCACATTGAGTCTGGTCCTGCTATCTTAGCCAAGAATGGTGTGAGGACTGGGATCATTGGCAAGATTCACGTTGGGCCTGAGGCTGTTTATCCGTGGGAGTGGAGAGCTGAGAGTCTGACGAGGGATGTCTGGTGGTCTTCTCAGAAGGCGAAGGAGTTCTTCGCTGTGTCGAAAGAAGATGGGAGGCCTTTTGTTTTGACGGTGGGATATCACGATCCTCATCGTGATCGAACTCGCGGTGGCTTTGGCAATGATGAGCCTGTCGATGAGCGCATACAAAGCGTCAAGTACCGCCCTGAAGATATGGGGGTTCCCGAATTCTTGTCCAACACTCCTGGTGCCAGACAAGAGCTTGCAGAATATCTGGAAGCCATTAGTCGCTTGGACCAGGGAATTGGGTTCATCCTTGATGAGCTCGAGAATGCCAGCCTTGCATCGAGTACAATGGTCATCTTCATGAGCGACAACGGACCTCCGTTTATGAACTCAAAGACAACATTATACGATGCTGGTGTTCAGCTACCTCTTATCATTCGACAGCCAGGCTCCAAAGCTTCCGTCAACGAGAATCTAGTATCGTATGTTGACATTCTGCCGACGATACTGGACTGGACACTTGGCCCAGCTGCGGATGAGCCCAAGAAGCAGCTATCCGGCCGCTCGTTCCTGGAAATCCTTGGGCAAGAAAAGAACCTTGATGCTTGGGACCACGTGTTTGGATCCCACACGTTTCACGAGTCTACCAACTACTGGCCCACTCGCTTCATTCGCACGCGACGCTACAAGTACCATCGCAACATCGCATGGAGACTCGACTTTCCATTCGCGAACGACATTTACGGATCATTGACATGGGAGGACATCCGCAACTCAGAAGACAGTCCCAAGAAGATTGGGCAAAGGAACCTGAAGGATTACTTCTTCCGCCCGGCTGAAGAGCTGTATGATTTAGAGCTCGACCCGCAGGAAGTCGTGAACCTAGCGAAGGACCCCAAGTATAAAGATGTTCTGGAGAGTTTACGGGTTAGGCTTGAGGACTGGCAGCGGAGGACGAATGATCCTTGGCTCTACCGTGATGGAGTCTCTGTGTTGTTGAATAAGCATCATCTTGATGCTGGGCTGGAGGTTCCTGATAAATGGGATCTTGATGTTGAGCATCCTGAGACAAAGGGAGTTGCAAAATACAAGAATCTGCCATTTGGTATAGCTGGGACAAGAGATTGATCGCAGGGTGCAGATGACAGTATTTGGGAGAGCCAAAAAGAATCGAATGGTCTTGAGTTTTTAAATGGGAAGCTTCATGCTATAGTGGATGGCCTCAGTAAGCTTCTAGTTTTATTCTGACTATTAACCAGTTAAGCATCTACAAGCAAAGTAGAAATCATTCTTCATCTCCCTTGTCGCAGTCACGCAAATATTTATTCCATACTAATAATACCACTTTCACCACTGTTTCAGTGCCTACTACACATGCGAATGACAGACAGCGCAAAATTATGAAGTAGAAGAGGCTTACATATGAAGGACGATAGTCATGATCTGACGCAGATTAGCCCTAAAGGCTTGGGAAATGGACCATCGCTACCTATCGCTTATCATGTCGCCTAACCGCCTCTACCCCCAATTAAGCCCCCATGATTTGTATATATACAATCACGTACGTGGCAGGGTCGGTACATAGCTCCGGGTGGCATCCCGCATACGGTAATGGGTGTTGGGGGTAGCTGGTCAATCCCCATTTATCCCCATAATGTCGTGATAGCCTCTCGGATCATCGGTGCCGAGATGCACAAGATAGTAGGCTTGAATTGATGGTTATCTCTGAAACTGGGTCCTCGGCTGGTCACACCATCTGCACGTAGCAGCACGTTGAAGGTGACTTTTTGCGCAGGGTGTAAGTCATATTGAGAGTCAAAATTTATTCGCCTGTTTATAAAGAGATATGTGTCGCCGTCAGAACCACAGAAGCATCAGACTCCTTCCTATAACTTCCGATTCTCAAATACTTTCAGGGACAATTGGCCCTCCACTGCCCAGAATGAGTCATCCCGTCCATCAAGACATTGACGCAAAGGCACCATCCTTTGAAGTCAACTCTCCCAAAGACGAAGCAACTGACCTGGTAGAACCCCAAGATACCAGCAGAAACATCGGTATCTGGGAAGCCCTCACCCATCGCAACAAGCCCGCTGATCTCGACGCCATCGCCACCGAGCGCAGCGTCTTCGATGATCCCCACCTCTCTCAATTCTACCAACCACCACCAGAGTATGAGAACTTCCATCGCTTCGACCCAAATGAGCGATGGACGTATCGCGAAGAACGCGCCGTTCGTCGCAAGACAGACTTGAAGATCTTTATCTGGATCCTCGTCATGTTCTTTGGTCTTAACATCGATCGCGGTAATCTCGGCAACGCAGCTGCTGATAATTTACTCGACGATCTTAGCCTCAACACCAACGACTTTAATAACGCCCAGAACATGTATCGCATTGGCTTCCTCGTCGCTGAGATTCCGTCGCAGATGATCGGCAAGCGTCTTGGCCCTGATCGCTGGATCCCTGTCCAGATCATCCTCTGGAGTTTAGCGTCGGGCGGACAGTTCTTCATGCATAACCGGGCGGGTTTCTTTGCATGCCGTTTCTTCATAGGCTTGTTCATGGGCGGTTTCATCCCAGACTCGATCCTGTACCTCTCGTACTTCTACAAAAAGACTGAGATGCCTATCCGTCTCGCCCTCTTCTGGTTCGTCGACTCCATGTCTGGTGTCGTGGCTTCTTTCATGGCATACGGCATTCTTCACATGCGTGGTGTCGCTGGCAGAGAAGGCTGGCGATGGCTGTTCCTCTTGGAAGCTTTGGTCAGCTTGGTAGTTGGTGTCCTGAGTTTCCTCTTCCTTGTTCCTGGACCTACCCAGACAAAGACGTGGTGGAATCCCGCCGGTTACTTCACCGAGCGCGAGGAGAAGATCATCGTCAATCGTGTTCTTCGCGATGATCCTTCCAAGAGCGGCATGCATAACCGCGAACCGATCACATTGGGCATGCTTTGGAAGAGTCTTAAGGATTATGACCTCTGGCCCGTGTATGCTATCGGCATACTTTTTGAGATTCCAACCGCACCGCCCAAGACTTACCTGACATTGTCGCTTCGAGCTTTGGGCTTTAGCACTTTCAACACTACGCTCTTGGCCATCCCCGCTACAGTTTTTGCCGCTGTCAACATGCTTTGGATCACCTTTCTTACCGAAAAGTTCCACCAGATCGCCTTGTTTGGTCTACTGACCCAGCTTTGGGTCCTCCCACTGCTCATCGTCGAATACACCTCAGTCCAAAATCTATCACACTGGGCTCAATACGCTGTGGCATTCTTGATAATCGGCCAACCCTCCGTCCATGCAGCTCAAGTTGGTTGGTGCTCCAGACTATCCGGCTCCGTCCGAACCCGGGCTATCAGTGCGGCTTTATACAACATCACTATCCAGTTGTCGGGTATCGCGTCCTCCAACATTTATCGGGAAGATGATAAGCCGCTCTACCATCGTGGAAACAAGAACTTGATTGGAATTACTGTGGGAACTATCTTTGCGTATGCTTTTGCAAAGGCCTATTACACTTACCGCAACAAGTCTAAGAGGAGCAAATGGGACAGCATGACTGCACATGAGAAGGCGAATTACCTCAACAATACCAGTGACCAGGGTAACAAACGTTTGGATTTTTTCTTTGATAGCTAGTGAAATGGTTTGTGGTCAAAACACAAGCCTATGGGACATTTTCTTTTCAATCTCTCATTGCTATGATTCGGTCGGGGAGAAAAGCTACAGATGTGCAGGTTTATGTGTCAAACTTTTATAAGTGTCAGATTCCCGTGTTTGTTTTCATCGTTTTATCGTCTCAATTGATTTGAAAGTCTGAAATAGCTTTCTTTTTGCACTAGACGCACTTCAGGTCTCCTCTTTCGTAAACATTTCTTCTGCACAGTGCCGACGACGACTTCAATCCAAGACCTGTACTCGGCAATTGATGCTAATATTGGTGTAGGGTATTGCAGCACCGCTATGAAAGCCGGCAACACTATAGAGGGTGCCAAGTCACACAGTGATATTAATAACTTGGCAAGATTGTTTTGTCCAATCAAGTCTTGATTTAGCAATGGAGCAGAGCGAATAGTGCAGACATCAAACACAAAATGTTGCGCTCTACACGGCGACAAGTATGGGTGGTCTCGGGGCTCAGGCACATCCACATATATCATCTCGTATAGCTTATCAGGGGTGCACATGCTATAATCTAGTGCAAAAGCTAGCACACTTCGAATAGTCAATCGTCACAAAACCCATGATTTAGGCGTAGATAACCGCGGAGCAAAAAAACAAGCTTGAATCAGTGATCGGCATTAATCCCCTATCATTATAGTCTCCGTCACAATTCCTCCAATCATCCCCCGCCAAGCCCGCTCCAGGGTCACATTGCGTCTTTTAAACTTCACGATAAGATTAAAAAAGAACCATCGGCTCTATGTCCGAGAAAAGAAGTCTATCCAATAAGCTTAACTTACCTGCCGAACTAGGATTGGTACACTGCCCGCCAAGGATTGCGAAAGATATACCTTGTATCCAATGAGGTTCGGCGCATTAGAACTTTTGTGAGACATTGGTCGTGCTTGGTACTTTCTTAGGTTGCAATGGGGTGCTTGTGGAGGTGATCATAGGTTCTGATAACAGAGCGCGTGTCGGTAGACACCTTCCAGATCTGGGGTATTGCCGGGTCGACAAGAAATGCCGTCACTATCGCCAAGTTGAGATAATGGTTTCGGTGCGACGCTGGGGAAACGATGATTGGCGAAGGGGGGATCTCGAGGCGCGAATGTGCATTGACCCTCCGGCCGTGATCGCTTATGGTAGGATTGCCGGTATACGTGATCTACAAAGATTCCAGTGCTTCGTTCACAGATAGCAATACCGCCAATTCATACATAAAAGGCACCTATCCTCGCCAAACATGCTCCTTTTGTCACTCCATCCCCAACTATCATCCCCAATCTTTCATGATGGTCAAGTCCGCTCTCCTTCTCGGCGCCCTCGCCGCTGTTAGTTCCTATGTCGCCGCTAAGGAGATCAAGGTCAATGAGGAGAAGGCCGCCAAGCTATACGACTCGGGCGAGGTGCACAACAAGCTCATGGCCAGCAAGCAGGCTGTTTGGGCGAAGCAAGAGGCCGCTGGTGCGTTCGCCAGCGAGCAGTATCCCAAGCTTGGGTACACAAAGTGTGTCGACGGTTACGCAGAGGCTATCAAGGGTGATGCCAACAACACCTTCGCCTGCCACAACGTCAGTATCACCCCTTGTATAACGACTAGTTACACTGGCTAACGAGTCTCTAGGCTGATCTTTACTCGTTCTTGAGTCACGCTGCGCTTGGTAGCACCGGCGGTCGAGGCTCGTCCTCTTGGGGGTGGACTTCCGATAACGGACGTGAGTTTGTCGCTATCGGTCAGTACGACGGCACTGCTTTCGCGGAAATCACCAAGAAGGGACAGCTCGTCTACCTTGGCCGTCTGCCCGAGTACTCTGTCCCCTCCCAGTGGCGCGAGATCCGCACATACAAGAACTATGTCATCATCGGATCCGAAGCCGTCGGCCATGGTATTCAGATCTTCGACATGAAGAAGCTGCTCAAGATCAACCCCAAAAGCCCTGTTGTCTTTGACGCAAAGAAGGATCTCACCAGCCACTTTTCAGCTCTGCTGCCTGTTGGTCGTGCTCACAATGTTGTTGTCAATGAGGAGTTGAAGTACGGTGTTGCTGTTGGTGCTCAGCCACGTACTGACCCCAACTGTCTCTCTGGACTCAACTTCTTCGATCTTACCGATCCTTCGAACCCAGAGTCTCTTGGATGCGCCAAAGGCGATGGCTACGTTCACGATGCGCAGTGTCTTGTCTACCGTGGTCCTGATAAGCGCTACCAGGGCCGTGATATCTGCTACGGATATAACGAGGATACTCTGACCATCTACGATGTCACCGACAAGGCTAATGTCACCAACATCATCTCTAAGATCTCTTACGAGGGTGCTTCTTACACTCATCAAGGTTGGGTTCTCGACACTCAAAACCAAGAATTCCTCGTCTTGGACGACGAACTCGATGAGCGTGATGGCAAGGGCCCTGGTTCTGACGGTTATCCCGTGACTTTCATCTGGGACATTCGCGATCTTGAGAACCCCAAGCAAACCGGTGTTTTCAAGCACCCCACCAAGTCCATCGATCACAACCAGTACGTCATCAACAACTACATCTACCAGTCCCACTACGGCGCTGGTCTCCGTGTCCTTGATGGCCGCTCCATTCCTCAAGACCCCACCGGCGCTGGAGTTTATGAAGCCGCTTGGTTCGATATCTACCCCGAAGATGATGCTCTTCCCGGCGGCGGTAGTGTTGCTTTTGTTGGAACTTGGTCTTCTTATGCTTACTTCAAGTCGGGATACATCTTCATCAACACTATTGAGCGTGGCGCTTTCGTTGTTAAGCTTACTAAGAATGCTTTCAAGAAGCCAAAGAACTAGAAGGTCAAAGTGCTTCACGCTAGTTAAAGTTTTGTTGAAGAGTAAATTTATATAGTTGGCAAATCAAAACACAAATCAACAGTTCCATCTACCTACTGCGCGATTATTTCACTCTAAGATACCTACCAATTTTCCCTTTCATTTTCCCAAGCTCCTCATTCCTGTCAACTAACACGAGGACCAATCTTACTCTGCCTGCTCACTTGAATCTTCCGCGAACCATGGATGTCGGAGGATTTCTTCAGCTGAGGGTCTCTTGGCCGGATCGTACTGAAGGATCCATCGGATAAGTTTCTTGACCTCCTGCGCCTCCTCCTCTGCCATCTCTGGGCACTCCTTATCAAAGGCTTCCTCCATAGTCTCGAACTCAGATGGATCGGGAGTAACAGGATCTTCACCCTCAGTAACACCATCAATGAACCAATTGTACATCTTTCCATCTTTAGTGTAATAGAGCGCCGAGGTCTTCCAGTGGCTGAAAAGCTCCTCAGGTAGTGGGCCAAGCTTCTCTATGACCTCAAGAAGATGTTCGTCGTCAAGTGAGGTATCGTACTTGGGTGGGCCCCATATGTAGAAAATGGGCCGTCCAGTGATCATTTCGAAAAGGATGCATCCGAAGCTCCAGATATCCTGAGTTTCGTGAAGCTCACCTTTCAGAACTAGCTCGGGAGCTCGAAGACCGATGGGGACAATAGGCTTCTTGGGAGGATCGTTGAAGAAGTATGCTATAAACTGTTAGTCAAAGTTCACATAAGGAAGGGGGAATTGTACTTACCGCCACCCATATCTGATAGCTTTACCTTGAGGTTCTCATCAATGATGTTCCATTGCCCATCAAGACCTGTGTAGATAGACAAAGACTCTGCGGCATACAGGTACTTAGGTGCCCACTTGTCTTGCTTGCCGTCTTTTCTCACAACTGAGACTCTTCCCCAAAAGCGATCCTCACCTTCCTCGTCTTCATCTTTTTCGGGTCCCAGGGTTACTTCATCATAGGAATCAATGTTTTTGAGTGGGAAAAGGACGTTTCCTGGCTGAAAGTCTCCATGAGAAATACCGTTCTTATGAAGAAAGTTCAACCCTTTCAAGACGTCCCTGAAGATGTGTTTCGCGCTCTGAAGCGGGTACTGCTCTTTTTCTTTCCATCTTCTACATCTTCCCGGAGGGAACAGAAGCATTTGACAGAGAGATGGACCCATGGCCTCGAAAACAAGACATTTGTGCGTACCGTTGGGACCTTCGTGTTCAAACTCGTCGAGAAGTTGCGTGACATACCGGGCCGATTCAACAGGAGCGACTTTGGTGAGATGGTGCAAAATCTGCAATTCCTGGGACTGTTTCGCTTTCTCTGAGACAAGAATCTTCAGAGCCACATACCGGGAGTTCCTGTCCATAGTGTCAGTGAATAAGTGGTTGGCAGGGTTTAGGGGATCAACTGACTTCAAGTCATGCGCGAGCCAGACAGTAGAGAAAGAACCTTCTCCAAGTTTCCGAATGACCTTATACTGTCCATCATTGAAGAGATCGCCTAGCTCAACCGGGTGGAGGCCCCCGGGATAATACGCATCTGCAAATTCACAAGGCGAACTTCCGTTCTTGAACCTCCGTTGGCCTCGTTTCGGGGTAGGAGGAGGAGAGTTGTTCATTTCTTCGGCCATGTTGATGAGGTTAATAAGTCTTGTAGAGATCGAGATGTTATTGCGTAAAATGGCTGTTGTGTGAAGAGGGCGTTGTCCGAAAGGGCTGTTGTGGAAAAGCTGTCTGAAGAAGCTGCTGTATAAAGGATGTTGGACTTAGGCTGCGAGGAAGGGGAGATTATATATGTTGCTGAGATTCATCAAACACTGCTGTTCTGATGGAGTGAATCGTTTGGCGTGCCCCACAAACGAACAAACAACAAACACAACAAAGCTGACCAACCAACTGGACAAGGGACAGCAAAATGGGGCCCCTGGTCAATGAAGTGCGTGAACAGACTACTTGAGCCATTAGCAAACTATTGAAGCAAAGAACAAAATAAATCTCTGTGGATTGATCAGTTTGTCAGGCAAAATGCGGACACACGCCTCAATCTGTGCAACGACAACAGCGATTCCCAAGTCTTTGTTCAAGCCACCACTAGCAGAACAAGCCACGAGCTTCCAAAGAGGTTTATTATGAAGGGATTAGTTCCGTAACATGTTACGCTTGGATATTGTTCGCTTAGCACTGCTCTTCTTCCCTCCCTTGATCTTCTAATGGTGCTGAGTGGAAAATTCCATATGTAGGTTAGAACAAACAATACTGCACACCATGTTCAGGTGTACTATTGCTAGCGAATATATTTTGTTCATCTTCGATATCACAGGACATGAACAGCTCAGTTGTTCAATCGAAATAACTTCTCTCCTACTTACTGCGGCCTTCTGATTATTCCATATAACAGTAGGCCTATACGTCAGAGGCTATGTAGAGTACCACCTGCATCTTCTTGTACATCCAACATTGATACTTTGGAATACCAGAAAGCCTCGCTATCATCACTCCTCTGCACAGATCTAAATAAAAGCTAACCGAACCGTCCTTGCCCAAGATGGACACCAACAACGTGACATTCGACCCAGAAAACACGTACAAAAAGCAGCAAGCTAAGAAGATCAGTGTCACCAATGCCGTGGTTGCAAAGGCTCCTCCTGGAGCCGTGTATGCCACTGTTGTCAATGGCTTTCACACCAGCCGAAGTGACCCACGCAGTCATTGCACTGTAGACTACTATGATGGCAATAGAGGGTTCATCAGCCGAGACCATGTTGTCTAGCATTCTTGAAGGCATTATGCGGGTGTATTATGCCAGAATTTTTCCTGTTTGAGTTCTTTGGCGCTCTTCTATGTATGAAGGTAAGTGGATGAACTTCTGTGATAGGGCCATGAGGTGAGGGGTTAGAAGTTGTCTCAATCCCGGCGCATAGGTGAAGAACATGAGTTGGATAGTTTTCTGTTCTATTTAGGCAAGCTATAACCTGGCGAAGGTTCTTATAGTCAGGTAACAGGCCTGTATTTAGGCGCTAGATGTTCGTAGTAAATAGAACAAGACAACTTCCGAACAGAAAATATCCGTTTCCATTTTAAGGATCTCGCGGCTTCATCCGAATCTCTTTAGTCAACTATTTAAACCAGTATTGGAAGTGATGTTCTATATGCTACGCCAACCCACTTCCTATACTACATATATCGGATAGACGGTCATCTTGATCCGAAAAATGCATGAAGCAATATGATTAGATATGTATAACACCAATTAACCCCTCAAGAACCAGAAAAATCATCCAGTCAAAAGACGGATAAATAGATTGTTTCACACCCCTTCCACGGAAGAATTCCCGTCATGCTCGTCTCAGGTTTCACCTCATGGCCCGACAAGGAAATTGCGGGCTTTTGATTCCGAACTAACCGCAACACCCCTGCACGGCCAATGACAACCACAAGCAGAGAACCGCCCTGTTTCAGGCTTCAGTCCCTAATATCGTCTCTCACTTTCAGCTCATATATAGATCTCGCATCGTCCCTTCATTCTTGGCATCTTGGCTTCTCATCCTCACTTCACTTCACTTCTTTCAGTCTATATTTTCATTTCTCGTATATTTTCATCATGCTTCGTCAAGTTGCCCTTGCTGCACTCTCTGTGCTGCCCCTCGCCCTCGGCCAGGTCGCTGAGGATTTCGAGAGTGGCTGGGATAAGGTCGCTTGGCCGACTTATGCGCCCGATTGCGATCAGGGCGGTAGCGTTGAGCTTGACAAGACTACTGCGCACAGTGGAAAGAACTCTATCAAGGTCACTGGTGGACCCAATGGTTTCTGCGGACACAAGTTCTTCGGAACTGATGCTGTTCCCGAGGGCCATGTCTATGTCCGAACTTGGATGTAAGTTGAAGCTGAACACGCCAAGAGAATAGCTACTGATCACTGTTCCAATTATAGGAAGACTGCCAAGGCTTTTGATGACTCGCACGTCACTTTCATCACTATGCCTGACGCTGCGCAGGGCAAGGGCAAGCATCTCCGCATCGGCGGCCAGAGCAAGATCATGATGTACAACCACGAATCCGACGACGCCACTCTGCCCGATCTATCCCCCGACGGCATCGCTGCCTCCAAGAGCATCCCCGCCAACACCTGGCAGTGCCTCGAGTACCACCTCTCCCCCGACGGTACCATCGCCACTTGGCTCAACGACAACCCCGTGCATGGTCTTGTCTACAAGCCCGAGGCTCCCAGCTCTTATGCCAACGGCTGGGCCAGGAGCAAGCCCAAGCCCAAGGTTCAGGGTGTTTACTTTGGTTGGGAGTCTTATAGCGGTGCTGTCAACACTTTCTGGTTTGACGACGTTGCTATTGACTCTAAGCGCATTGGATGCACTGTTAAGAAGTAAGCTTTGGGCTTACAATGATGAAGTATATATGAGATTGAGTGTAGGAGTTGCCCGGTGCAACATTCTTGTATCTATTTTGAGAGTATTTACATACGACGTATTTATGCCGACCGCGATCCTGTGACAGCTTACTGAGTGCCCAATGCAAAGTTCCTCCTGGTACCATAAAACCCGACATCCAGTGTAACCAGATCAGCCAAGTAACCCAAGTCGACCTTTGACAGGCTATCATCGCCTTCGCCAAAGAATTTGGCTACTCTCTTGGCAGTCCATCGAGGGTTCTCATCCGCTGCTCGTCAATTAGCTACGTCCATTAGCGGGGTCAGTAGGAAAACTCACCAACCCAGTGCCCTGCTTTCGGGATGACATCAATTTCCAGATCAGATGAAACTGGCTCGAAGGTCTGTTTCAGAAGCGATTTCAACCCCAGGCTTGCCTCACCCCCCATACCAAGCAGCGGCACACTCAATCGGCTTTCGTTCAGGGCAGCTTTGAAGAAGTTGCCATCCTGATAAACAGTCGAACTCGAGAACGGTCCAAGCATAGCTCTCAGAAATCCTGGCTTCGAGATACTGCTCGTATACCTGTTGACTGTTTCTTCGCTAAAGCTCTCGACGCCAGAGTAACTTCCATGGTAGAAATACCATTGCAAGAATTGCTTTTCCTTTCCCGACATGAGAAATTCGGCTAAATCGGGGACTTGGAAGAATGCCAACTGCCAGTTCTGATACAGATCCCAGAACGGCGCTGGGTTTGACGACTGCTCATAGGTAAAGCCAGGAAGAACATACTCAGCTAGAGCAAGCCTCTTAACAAGATCTGGATATTTGATAGCCAGTGCAGTTGCCATCCCGACTCCTTTATCATGCGCAAAGACATATGTAGAAGTGATGTTCAAGAAATCCAACACGCCTTTGAGATCTTCTGCCGATGCAGCAGCGGTGTAGTTTCCATCAGGTGGAACGCTCGAATCACCAGCGCCTCGGTTATCGGGCGCGATGACGGTATAGTTCTGAGCCAGGATAGGACCGATGAATTGCCATGTAAGACTATGCTGGGGGTTTCCGTGGACGAGAAGAAGAGGAGGTCCCGAGCCGGCGTAGCGAAAGTGAATGCTTACGTCTTGCAGGGCAACTCGGCCGTGAGCCCAAGTATCGAAGGATGAAGTCGCCGCTACGACGGATGCCAATGAGGCAAAAGCGAGTTGAAAGAAGCGCATCTTTCTTAATATCTCAACAACTAATGAAGCAATTAATGAGTCCAGTGGTGAATTTCATTACATACATCTTTGCCCTCTTTATACCGAAATCAACATATCTTCTCACTGCATGGCTTTGCAGGCGATGACATAAACCCAGCCCTATAGTTTCCAAGCTCCGGATGCTCCTTTGGGGAGGTGGGTCTTGCTTAATGCAACCATTCGCTGACGATCCTGTAGGATTGGATGAACCCGGTTGATATGCTTAAAAATTGATGGATTGGAGAAGATGTGATTGGTCAAGATGCAAGATGCTTACGAAAACCGGCTGACAAACCTTGCGGCTTATGGACTTTGCCAAAAGGACTTTCGGATGTGACTTCATCATATTGAGTGGGAAGCTTGGCGACTGAAAACTTGGCCATTCCTAAAATCTTTAAACGGAAAGATATCTATCGCTCTAAGTGCTTATTAACAAAAGTAGTGATCATCTTTCGTCCCTCTGCACCTTCACTATGCGGAAGTATAGGCCAGACGTGAATCATACCCTCCTTCTCAACATACACAAGCCGATCCGTCTCCACACTCCCCGCAGGAGCCTCATCCACGTCTTTGCCCAGCAACTTTGACTTCAACCGTCTAGCATCAGCGCAAAGCAGATCCCTTGGACCACCAAACATCAACAATGGTGGAAGCTTGTCCATATCACCGTATAGCGGACTGACGAGGGGATGTTTGATTGGCAAATCTCCTGCAAACATCTTCCCTGAGATGCGAAGACCCGTTACACCCAGCCAGAAATCGATCTTGTCGATACGTAGTGCTTCTGGATGATCTACTGTACAGTCGAGAAAGGGCGTTATAAGAATCAACGAGCGCACTTTTGCGAAAAGGTCAGGCGCTGTGTCTCGTAGGTGGAGAGTAGTTGATAGAGCGAGTGTACCGCCTGCTGAATCCCCCGCGATGCTCACGATGGGCTGCTTCGATAAACGACAAATATCGACAAACCCGTCGGCTAGCTTCTGCGCTGTAGCTACCGGTCTCGGGACCAGTGGATAAATCGGTACCAAGACATCCAGATCCGTCTCAGTAGCAATCTGCGCGGCGAGTTGCCAATGCTGGGGGTAGATTTCCTTAAAGAACGATCCGCCGTGGATGTAAAGAAGGGCCTTTCGCTGTTGGCTCTTATTCTGAGCGTTCGTGGTGGATATCTTGTATAAGGGCCATTCTTGTACATCGACGCGATCAATGGTGATGTTCGAGCCGAGACTGCTGGGAGGGCGATGGTCTTGTGGCCGTACGTAGGTATCGTGAATGTACTGGCGCATCGCCTCTTCATCCTCCTGGACGGCCTTGTTTGCGCGGAACCATTGTATGAGAACCGAGACTATGGAGGCTGATATGGAAGGCATTATGATAGGCGCGTGGATGTGAACAAGTCGACAGAAGATCGAGTTTCATAAATACAGGATCGGAGCGTGATTGACTTTAATTGATCTTCATCGATCGATCGAGATAGGTAAATCTTCAAAGCTTCCAATGCTACCCCGCAAACTTAAAAATAGATGCCTCGGCACCTCGGTACACCAAGAGCTAAGAGTTATGAAGGCAAAAGGTTTCAATCCAACTGGTCTTTGGGATGGATTGCTTAAGTCCAAAGAAGCATAGGCAGTTCAGCTGAGATCTTGTGGAACAAGGTCCGCGGGGACCGGAGCTTCGCTGCCCGCGGGCACTGTCAACTTCCTGGTTCTATATCAGCTTGACAGCTACCAATCCTTTGAATTGCTTCTATATCATGCCGTAATGGCTAATCTGTGTATTTCCTCCAATTTTTTAACTTTATCATTTACCTTAACTGAGGTCTATTGGATTTACTTGCGTAGATTAAAGATAATGGCAAAGGAGAAACATGGAGAATTCGAGTCAAAGGCCCATTCTTAGATAGGTACTCTTAACAGGTTTCCAGAGTACCTGTACCTGTGCGACAGATATTCATGGTGCCCTTGGACGAGCCGGGCGATGGACAATTGGTGTAAAAGTCCGCGGACGCCGACCAGTCTGCACTGTTCGACCTTTCGTGGCTCCTGATCTCGCGCTTCAGTTCCCTCTTTCCATTGACCTCTCTTCATCATATCCATCGTATCCATTGTCGACTTCAGATACTTCTTTTAGTGTTATGCTGCCAAGTAGATAAAACCTGTCAAGCAATCAGTTGTTGGCATTGTGGCTTGACCCAGCTACCCAGCGCCAGCCTACGATGAAGCATAGGCGAGATAAGATAAGATAAGAACGAGGAAGCATATCCAACCGATAAGCAATTACAATCGATAACGATAGGAGCGGGTCAAAACTTCAGGGTAGGAGATGATGACATTTTCCAGTTCATCATCTCATTTAATCTGATCGTGCAATGTAGAAAATGAGATGATTCAAGGGGTCTGTCTGGGGTTTTACCAAGATAATCTATGCTTATTCGCAACCATGAGAGATCTCTTACGCTGTTTCGTCCCCGCATTTTACCGTCTTACTTGATCCAGCATTTTTTGGAACTTCGGAAGCCATCTTTGATTACTGTTGCAGCTTCAGTTCATGCTTTCAAGGTCCCAACTCAAATGCGTCCCCATGTGCAAACGGTGTCGGACCAGTTCATCGACACACAGAGATACTATGTTATGTCCGAACTCCATCTTCATCGTACTATCGCATCCGCAAATGCCACCGCAGAGTATCCTCAATTCATGCAAAGTCGAGCTTCTTATCAGTGCCGCGACTCGGCTATGTAAAGGCGCTACTCTCGGTCGCAAAAACACCACATCTACTCTCTCGTGATGTGGGCTATCGTACCGATATGTAACACACAAATCTTGCGGTCACATCAAAGGTCAAAGCTCATCACATCTCACGAACAAAACCGGACCTGGCGCCGTTCTTATAAAGTAATGCCGTCCAGTGTATGTAACGTTGAGCGGGCCGTGGGGGCTTGAGGCTCCAGATTTCTCGAGTCATCTGAACTGGAGCCATCTCACGATTGTGGATCAATGAAGCATTAAGAGATTTTTTGTTGAGCAAGTGATATGGGGTAGATTGGAAATATCCATAACGGAGTATTTACTTTTAGTTTGAGATTCCCCGTGGAGGTAAGATGAGCAAAGGGTCTTTTCCACAATTTTATAAATGATGTTATTGTAATTGGTCAGAGATATCAAGTTCCCCGATATCTCTCTCGTCAATTTTACATACGCTCTATTACATACTCTTTACTTCATTTAACGTGCTACATCAGATGGTTTACTGATTCAAATCCCTCGATTAAAAGACGTCATTATTGATCTTACATAAGCGCCCAAATACCGGAGAACGGATCGGCCGAGAGCGCCACGGAACAGAAGATCGACAATGCTTCTCCCCTAGAAATTTTCTAGAACGATTCAAACCGCCCAAGTCCGGGACTGCTGTCGAGTAAGCTTCCCGACCTGCATCGCTCCAAATCTGAACTCCGAAGACTATTTGAAGCTTAACCATTACCAACGTCGATTAAAACGTTCTAGACGATGCAGAATGATACCACCCGGCTCCGCAATCTCCCGTAAACACCTCTCGCTTGGTATAGGCAACAAGAGACTAAACATCTCGAAAGTGCCGTTTTTGCCGTTCGCGACCAGGGGGCAGCACGCCGATACCGGACCCGCAGCCATCCAATGCCGTGCATGAGCCTCATAGCTTGGCGATAAGGAATGCCTATTGCAGTTACTCCGAGCCTTATCGCTGCGAGATTTTGTCTCTTCTGACTCGCGGGCTATGACGACTGCGGAGCAGAGGGATCCATTTCGCGGGACGCGATATCCACTGTCGACATGGCACCTCCGAAAAGAGACCGTGCCGTATTATCCGTGACCCCAAAACCTCACCGTGAGAAAAAAAGATGCCATGGCGAGAAACAATAATCTCGCCATGTTCTTCTCACTGTTACAGTCGAGCTTGGATCAACTAAATCTTATCCCCACATACGAGGGGTTTTTTCCTGCTTCTCCATGGGGCTCCGCAGAAATCTGGAGTCTCTAGTCTCAAGCATGAGATTGGTATAAAACCTAGCGACGAACCTCCAATTCCAATCTCCAACCCAGGCCCATTCCCCAACTTGTTCTCCAAATCCCTAAGACAAGATGAGCGTGCCAACATACATGGGCGTCAGCGGCAAGTCGCTCGCCATCCTCCAAATCGCCGCCATCGTCGCTCCCTCCTTCGTCCTCTTCGGCTACAACCAAGCTGGCATCGGCGGTCTCCTCTCTGAGGAAGACTGGGTCAAGACCTTCCCCGAGATCGACACCGTCAACTCTACCGGCGCCGACAAGAGCTCCAAATCTACCCTCCAAGGCTTCGTCGTCGCGACCTTTGTCATTGGTGCGCTGATCGGTTCGTTGAGTTGCTCGTACACGGGTGATAAGTTTGGACGTAGGAATGTCATATTTGCTGCGTCCATTTGCTCCTTGATTGGAGAGATCCTTGAGGCGTCGTCTTTTGGACTCGCGCAGTTCATTGTTGGACGAGTTATCATTGGACTGGGTATTGGGCAGTTGAGTTCCATTGTGCCGGTTTGGCAGAGTGAGACATCGGCGGCTGTGAACCGTGGTCGGCAGGTTGTCTTGACGGGTCTGTTCATCTGTCTTGGTTACGTTCTTGAGTCATGGATCAACCTTGGCTTCTTCGAGTTTCACCATGGTCCTGTTACCTGGAGACCCCCGATCGCCATCGCCATCGCCTTCTCGCTCATCCTCATGGCCAGCATCTACTTCTTCCCCGAGAGTCCCCGATGGCTCGTACTCAAGAACCGATCTGAGGAGGCCCGCCACGCTGTCGCTGCCCTCCGGGGTCTCCCCATCGACTCCACAGAGGTTCTCGCTGAAGTTGCTGGCATTGAGCACTCCCTCGAAGAGACCTCCGACAACGCTGCTCATCTGGGCGATATGCTCAAGATGGGTGAGGATAAGCTCCTGTACCGCTTCATCCTCTGCATCCTTCTTCAGTTCTATCAGCAGATGAGTGGTTCCAACCTGGTCAGTGTCTATGCCAACGTTCTCTTCCAGAAGAACCTGGGTATGAGCGCCGAGACAGCCAAGATTCTCACAGGAGGAGCTCTCACTTGGAAATTCCTCGCTTCATTCATCGCCTTCTTCACTATCGATCGTTTCGGTCGTCGTGCCGTCTTCATGATCAGTGGTGCTGGCATGTCGGCCTGCATGATTGCTCTCGCCATCACCACCTCTTTCGGCAGCGAGAACAAGCCTGCCATGATTGCTGCTGGTTGCTTCATTTACCTTTACAACACTTTTGTTCCCATCGGTTTCTTGGGCGCCAACTTCTTGTACTGCACTGAGGTTGCTCCCATCCGCCTCCGAATGGCCATGTCGTCCATCTCGACCGGTAACCACTGGCTCTGGTATGCTGTCCCTCCTCATTCCTGTCACCGCAGATATTAACATCAGTAGGAACTTCATTGTCGTCATGGTCACCCCCGTCGCTCTCGAGAGTATCGGCTGGCAGTACTACATCGTGTACGCCGTCATCGCCGCATGCGTTCCCATCTCGGTCTTCCTGTTCTTCCCTGAAACCATGGGTCGCAACCTCGAAGAGATCGAGCTCATCTTCAAGGAATCGCCCTCCGTGTTCTCAACAGTCAAGTTCGCAAAGACTCGACCTCGCAACACTCCTCAGCAATTCCTCGCAAGCAAGGAAAAGGCTGACCACTTGGAGCAAAGCGAAGATTGATTGGAACAAAAAATGGAAGCAATTGTTTATGTTTTTTACGAAATAGCGATAGAAAGCAGAATGCTAGTATGATTATGACATGACATGATATAGCCAAGTGACATTTATCCGGCCTCTCATGTGAACATGCCTTGGCTCCTTGTAATTTATCGCGTTAATTCGTGGATGAATTATGAATTGGAAGAAATTGGCAATCGGAAAAACTAAGCTTGTTCTGGTGAGCTACACCGAGTCAATCATGAAGATCACGACAAAATACGACTCAGGTCCACACAAGCTCTACCATGCGCACGAATCATTTCCCTCTACCCCCTCAGACCCCTGCTCAATTGGAGCTTTTTACCCCAACTCGAAAAAAACAAGCCATGATCGACAGTTTTTAGTAAACGTCATGAGGAACCCCCCAGAATTTAACCGTTCTACTCACGATCATCCCCCGCGTTCGGGTAAAGTTGACGGCGTCAATGGCTCCTTCGGCAGTGACCATGATACGATCGTCAAAGTGCGGAGAAGCTTATCTTGTCAATCATTGGGCCGCTTGTTTCCTGCAGGAACTGAATGGCGTTGGCTAAGCCGGTTGCATTGTGCAGGTTTGTGCCTGAATTGAAGGATTACACTGTATATATAAAGACCGTTAGCAGCTTCGCAGTTTCTCACCCCATTTGCAAGGCAAGGTCAATCGAAAACCTGACATCATGGTTCGCTTAAGTTCAATCCTTGCGGCTGCGGCTTGCTTCGTGGCTGTTGAGTCTGTCAACATCAAGGTGGACAGCAAGGGCGGAAACGCCACTAGCGGTCACCAATATGGCTTCCTTCACGAGGTTGGTCTGAACTCACCACTGACGAAAATTGGGAGGCTAACTTGTGCTAGGATATTAACAACTCTGGTGATGGCGGCATCTACGCTGAACTCATCCGTAACCGAGCTTTCCAGTACAGCAAGAAATACCCTGTTTCTCTGTCTGGCTGGAGATCCATCAATGATGCAAAGCTCTCCCTCAACCGTCTCGACACTCCTCTCTCCGACGCTCTCCCCGTTTCTATGAACGTCAAGCCTGGAAAGAGCGAGTCCAAGGAGATTGGTTTCCTCAACGAGGGTTACTGGGGAATGGACGTCAAGAAGCAGAAGTACACTGGCTCTTTCTGGGTCAAGGGTGCTTACAAGGGCCACTTTACCGCGTCTCTGCGATCTAACCTTACCAACGATGTCTTTGGCAGCGTCAAGGTCAAGTCCAAGGCCAATAAAAAGCAGTGGGTTGAGCACGAGTTTGTGCTTACTCCTAACAAGAACGCTCCCAACAGCAACAACACTTTTGCTATTACCTATGATCCCAAGGTGAGTAACAATCAAAACCCAGACGTGACATGTACTGATGTTTTGTAGGGCGCTGATGGAGCTCTCGACTTCAACCTCATCAGTTTGTTCCCTCCTACCTACAAGGGCCGCAAGAACGGTCTTCGTGTTGATATTGCCGAGGCTCTTGAAGGTCTCCACCCCGTAAGTTTCACCATTTCACGTCTCTCCCAAGTAGTCACTGACATGAAGAACAGAGCCTGCTGCGCTTCCCCGGTGGTAACATGCTCGAGGGCAACACCAACAAGACCTGGTGGGACTGGAAGGATACCCTCGGACCTCTCCGTAACCGACCTGGTTTCGAGGGTGTCTGGAACTACCAGCAGACCCACGGTCTCGGAATCTTGGAGTATCTTCAGTGGGCTGAGGATATGAACCTTGAAATCAGTACGTTCTATAAAGATCGGTGACGGTTATGTGCATGCTAACATACTCTAGTCGTCGGCGTCTACGCTGGCCTCTCCCTCGACGGCTCCGTGACTCCCAAGGACCAACTCCAGCCTCTCATTGATGACGCCCTCGACGAGATCGAATTCATCCGAGGTCCCGTAACTTCCAAGTGGGGCAAGAAGCGTGCTGAGCTCGGCCACCCCAAGCCTTTCAGACTCTCCTACGTTGAAATCGGAAACGAGGATTGGCTAGCTGGTTATCCCACCGGCTGGAACTCTTACAAGGAGTACCGCTTCCCCATGTTCCTCGACGCTATCAAGAAGGCCCATCCTGATCTCACCGTCATCTCCTCCGGCGCTTCTATCGACCCAGTTGCTAGCAAGGATGCTGGTTTCGACATTCCTGCTCCTGGAATCGGTGACTACCATCCTTACCGCGAGCCTAATGCTCTGGTTAAGGAGTTCAACCTGTTTGATAACAACAAGTACGGTCACATCATTGGCGAAGTTGCTTCTACCCACCCTAACGGTGGAACTGGCTGGAGCGGCAATTTGATGCCTTACCCCTGGTGGATCTCTGGTGTTGGCGAGGCCGTCGCTCTCTGTGGCTATGAGCGCAACGCCGACCGTATCCCCGGAACTTTCTACGCCCCCATCCTCAAGAACGAGAACCGTTGGCAGTGGTCCATCACCATGATTCAATTCGCTGCTGATTCCGCCATGACTACCCGCTCTACCAGCTGGTACGTCTGGTCCCTCTTCGCCGGACACCCCATGACACATACTCTCCCCGCGACCGCCAACTTCGACCCTCTCTACTACGTCGCTGGCAAGAACGAGGACAAGGGAACTCTGATCTGGAAGGGTGCTGCGTACAACACAACCAAGGGCGCTGACGTCCCTGTGTCTCTGTCCTTCGAGGGTGTCAAGCCCGGTGCTCAGGCTGAGCTCACTCTTCTTACCAACAAGGAGAAGGACCCCTTTGCGTTCAATGATCCTCACAAGGGCAACAATGTTGTTGATTCTAAGAAGACTGTTCTGAAGGCTGATGGGAAGGGTGCTTTCAACTTCAAGCTTCCTAACCTTAGTGTTGCTGTTCTCGAGACTCTCAAGAAGGGAAAGCCTTACTCTAGCTAGAAGGTGGGCATTGGCCTGGGTGTCGAGTTAAGATGTAAAGAAAATGTTTAAATATACTGATAGTGAATTAGAAAGTCAGTAATCTAAACAACCGAGTCTCATTTACTTAACGGATGTGATCGAACGTATGTCATCGCCACCGTCCAATCCTCGCAAGTTCATAGGCCGCTTCGGAATAATCGTTCCAATCCTTTGCGAAACCCTTGGGCGTGTTGGATATCTTATATCCACTGAAGTCAACGCTACTGCCAACGTAAGGAAATTCATATGCCACACCAGAGAACTTGGTACCGTCGTCGTTGAGAAAATCGATCTCCCCAGCCTCTACGTCAGGCAGAATCTCGCCTTCCCCGGTCTCCTTTCCACGCAATCGATAAAAGACGCGACGAGACAGCGAAGGTGTAATTTTCTTCTTCTTTGCAGGGTGGCCTTTGTTCGCGCCCTTGTTGCCTTTCTTGATGCTCCTCTTGCGGCCCTTTTTCGTGTCTTCCTCGTCACTCTCCTCCGTTTCCGACTCATTATCAGATCCAACTAGATCGTCCAAGATTTCTTCGTCATTTGAAAGAAGCATAGCTCCAACTATGATTCCGAAATCAAAATTGGCTCTCAGAGTATTCCCTTCGCCTGGGAAGATGTCCATGGTGAGTATGTGAGAATTGAGGTGGTTCCAACCATCGGTAACAGGATGGCACTTGATGATATACGAGCCCTGGAATTTTTCAAGATCAAACCGTGGTTTTGCCTTTCGGCCTCGGCTTGGTGGAGGTGGCTTGAGGCTTGACACGAACTGTTCGTGCGCTTCCATTGCTTGCGTCCACTTCTTCTCCCTCTCATGCTTCTCTGCTTCACGAGCGCGCGTGTCGATAGACGCCGCTAGCGCATTCACAGCGTTTGTATTCCACCCAATGCAAAGTGTTCGGTTATCCTTAGAGCCTCCGCTTTTTGAGTACAATCCGGGAACTTCTCCGGCCTTGAGATGCATACCCAGCCTGTCATCAAATCCTTCCAACGACAGAGGTTCTGGGGTTTTGTGATGATCGGGCTGACCATTAGTGATGAAGTAGTGTTCGAGAAAGAGATCTAGATCGTAGTTTGCTTTATCGCCTGGCGTCTTGCATTTGTTCAGTTCTTCCAGTCTTTTGCGTCTATCGTTGGCGTCCCATTCTTGCACATCCTTTTGCCACTTCTCACACAAAGGGTATAGAACTTGTTCCATCGACTGTCTCAACGACAATACGGACTGTGGAACATGATCGTACTGGCAAGCGTTAGATCACCAGAGCCGGTAAAAGCTCAACCGACTGACCTGTCCTTGAGCGACTGCATTCATCAAAAGCTCTTTTTGTTCTCCGACCTTCGTCTTCCTCGGATGAAAAGTGATACCATAATGCCTCAGTTGTCCTGCAAAAAAGCCTTTTTTCTTAAACAGCTCCCGAGCTTCTTCGCTGGCCTTTTTCTGGTCTCTTTTCAATCGTAAAGTCTCTGACCAAAATAACTCGCGCAATTGGCTCCCGCTCACCCGCTCGACATTCCCGAGGCTGGCGCAGAAGCGCTCTTTCGTCAGTGAGAAGCCATCTCTTTCGACTACTGGTGGTTCAGGCCGAGGGCTAATTTGCGACATGTTGATGCTGAACTTTCTACCAAAGCCCTGGGTAATTGTGAAGATGGGAGGGGTTTAGTAAATTGACGCGAGATTACAACGGGTAATAATTGGCCCGAGCCATGGTTTTGCTTTTTTGAAGCTAACGACATCTCATTGCGATAACGAAATCATGGATGGCTCTATCACTATTCATCTCTGTAGGTATTCTTATTAGATTACAAAATCGAATTAATGGAGGCGAAATAGGATTCTAAGTTGAGTACTAAAATTCCAAAGCCCATTGTTGTAAGCAGTTGTTGCTTTGACCTAAGCAGGCCCTACGCATATCACAAGCCCCAGGTAGGTCAAAGACTCATCCTCTCAGGGTCTCCAAGCTACACCAAATTAGACCATTGAGCTGAGACATTCTATAGCTCAGAGACGAGTTAGAGCTGCTCATTACTGAAGAAAATTGTGGTCCAATGGTCTCTACGTAAGGGAGCCAAAGAGTTGCTTTGAGTAACACAATCTGTCTATTATCCCCTCCAGATATTTGGCTCCGAACGTATACATGGACGGCTTATCACTTTCATGGCTTTGGAATATGTTCTTTTAGTCAGCTTACATCAGGGAAAACAACCCAAACTGAGGAGAAGGGCCAAGTTACTCTTGTATGCCATTCTTGAGCATGGAGCCACCATCGATCCCTCTTAGACTAAACGTCCGCCTGGGCTCTAGGACAGCTTACGTGATATAAGCTGCCAAGTGTTAGAGAGGTTGAGAGTAAGCTGCTTCCATTCCCAACACGCGGAAAAGCGTATCCTATACCCTCCAATATTTATCAGCGCCAAATCTTCTCAGCTTATGCAGGCTCTGCCTGCAATAGATGCCCCGCCTCGAATCACATCACTTCATAATTCGTCATACACATAGGCGGTTGAGCGTACTACCTCCACACACACGCAACAACCGCCCCTTCCAGCAATCGGCATGTCTCAGGTCTGATCTGGCGTAAACAAGGTAAGGATACCACTCGCCAAGGTTATGTTGTTGTTGATGTACCATTCACATGGCATTGGGAAATTTGCTGTGAAAATTCCAACGAAAGATGCTGGGCAATTCATATCTGGGCTTACACCCAAGTTCAAGTAATTACAGATACGTGTAACTCCCTCGCCCAATGCGGCACGCGGTCAGGCAGTCTTTGAGGTTGGATATTCCGTTAATAACGTCCATACAAGCAAGACAATTTACAGTCTTGCCGTTAAATATGACTTGAGACCTAGATGCAATGTGACCTAATTATACTCAGTTGAATGTGACATTGCGTTAGCCAGAGTCTTCCGATAGCACGCTATTGCTCGTGTTATGCATGCTGTTGGTTGAATACGAGTTCTCGAGATCAGTGGACTGATCAGCGCGGTGCCGATCCACTCCAAACAATGATTTGGGGGCCTAAAGGCAACCGCCTGATGAGCGAGATAGAGGTGCAAGAGCGAACTGTGTAATGGCGTGAGGCTGCCGATCCAGATGCAAGCGATGTTTCATTTTATTTCAGCTGCGGGCGGACGGTTACTCTTCACCGAGATCGTCTATTTTACACCTTGATAGAAAGCGTCTTGCTAAACTCAGCTCCTGCCGCTCCGGCTACTTCTCCTTTGAGAATATTTTACGCTGATCGCCTGCAGCGACTTGTTTTCATCACAAGATCCTGGCCAGTAGTTACCTAATGCACCTCTCATACCTGGGTGGGAACCAGTATAAGGTGAACATACTTAGGAAAGTGTTGAAATAAGCAATTAATTCCCCGACGGGACGTACTCACTTACCATGTACTGTTCATCTTACTTGATGACTGATCTCCATAACCTGAGGCATGGATACGGTGCTGACCCCGCATTTGCTAATGATGCAACAACCAACTTCAACTCGATCATCTCGATCTACGTTCAGCAACCAACAACCAACACGACAACTCAACTTCCTTGATTCAACCCACCAATCGTGTCTACATTTGGGGCTTCGACTTGGATAACCAACACAATAACATCTTTGATCTACACTTGGCTCTGCGCTTTGACAGTCAGCTCGGAGATTACCTGATTCAACGTGTCAGCTGCATTTCACTTCTGGTACTACGCTTCGACAACCAACTTCGAACAACGTCTTTTCACAAAGGGAAAATAAGAAGGACAGTCTTAATAAGATTGAACAGTGAAAAAGGCATAAATATCCAGCTTATCCCGCTCTTCAACAGTTCCCTCTACTCCAGCATGACATCCAGAAACCTCAACAAGACCTGGCGCGACATTGTCTTTGAACAGTACGAAGCCGACCACGCAGCTGACGTCCCCTTTCCAATCCACTACTTAATCTACGGCGACCAGTGGAAAACAGATATCATCATTGATATCCCCAACAAGATTGACGTGCCCGTCTTCCGTCAAGCTCTCCTCCACGCCGCCAGTTCTAGACGTCTTGAAAAGGACCCGGCGTACAAAGACGACCTGATCAGTATTCGAGCACGCATTCCCCCAAGCAAGAATGATGCTCACTCACAAGATGACGCTGCTGCTCCTGGCAACAGCGACTAATGCTTGGAAGTTCACTATCTACGGTGACGGCGACTGCGAGTCGACTCCGTCTGGTGACCTTCGGGGAGACGGTAATCAAGGTACTTGCTCCATCTATACTTCTACTATCATTATGGCTAATGCCCTCTCGCCCGCATAGGCTGCGAAAGTATTCCCAACCCTCATAGAGGGTTCTGGCTCGAAGAAATGGGTAACTGCCAAATTGATCTGTATGCCAACGAGGACGATTGCAACAATGGTGTACCGCAGCAGTTTTATGATGCGACCAATCAGGACGTCTGCATTGGCCCTCAGTTCCAATGGGACTACTATACTGTAGTTGGGTGTTAGGAAGTTCTACCGTACTGGCACCGTGTAACGAAAGCCATAAACTATATATTATGTTGTCTTGAATTGGAACCAGTCCCATATATAGTACCTCTTTGTCCATGTGAATGCACCCCGTGTCTAGACTGTAAGTATGTACAATAGCCCAGAGCACCATTTCACAAAGCTTCATCATCATTTCCTTATCCTCAACGCTTCATTCGAATCGAAGCGCGGAGTATTTGTTTAGCAAAGTGTGCATGCGCAGGGAACCATATAAATGCCCGAAGTGCAATTTAGGCCGCGACAGCACCCATCGCGCTCTATATCATCCCTAGGCCGTCTGCGATTTTCTGTCGGATCTGCCCGCCCTTGCGGCCTTTGGAATTCTACACCAATATGTAAATAAGCTTGTGAGCACTAGATAATTGACATGCGACCCATACTCATAGGTTGTTGCGATCTTGGTTGAGACATTTGCACGGGCAGAGAAGCTTTCGCACCAGCAGGCTGGGCGGCTGGTTGGGGTTGAGAAATTGGTGACATGTTGATGATATAACGCGGAAACAACAATGCGAGTAGTATTTTAGATATGCAGACACTAGAATAAATACCAAGGCTCTTCGTGTTGGTCCCGATGATGATTGACAGCTAAGCCCCGATGGTGGGGCTTAGTCGCCCGAAGGATCGCAGCATGCCCACTAAACGTGCTCCAACAAGAGGCAGAGCACTCGGCTTACGGGAGTCTAACCGAGATTTCACTCTAGTCTGCCTTGCAGGGTGCTAAAAGTGCCTGAAGGATTATGACCTTGACCTTCTGCATGACCCAATGACGTCGTATACGCGGAAAAACGTATCGTCCCATTGTTTGACTAGCAGGGTTCATGTCATCCAGCTCATTACCAAGATAAGCTTATTAGACCCCTAGGGCTATGCAGTACTTCTAGAACCTAAGCTGTTGCTATTTTCATCAATAAATAAGGAACCTTGCAGCATATCTGCGGAGTGCTTGTCACGTAATTTGTTCTAAGGGGATCGTGGTCTGGTTAATAATTTCAAAATACTTAAAGATGTATTTGAAACAAAAAAGATTCAGTAAGCATTGTTATCAGAAAATAGCTAAAGTCTTGTGTCACTTTTACCTACTTCAAAGCCTCCACGCAGAAAGGGTTCGCGGTAAAAGTCCCCTTTGGATCATACGTCTGTCTGATCTTCTGCATCTTCTTATACGTCTCTGGATCGTAATAAAACTGCCAAACATCCTTCATGTTCCAATCACCATACGATCCCCAGAGAACACGTCGATCCGCCTTACTAAAGTACTTCGCCCTACCCTCGTCATTCACCGCCTGCCACTTCTCAGCCGCCTCCTTCGTACCCTGATAGAAGACATCCCAAGTCCCACCAAAGGTAGCATCTCGGAAGCAGTACGCTGTACCATTGCCTGCATTTCTGCGAAACATGGATTGTTCGCCGCCGTAGACTTGGAGCTGGGATGAGACCCAGAGACCGTTGTGCTTGTCTTTGATGACCTCGTTGATACGGCCGGCGAACCAAGAGGACCAGCCTGTTTTGGAGAGATCGGTTGAAGTGGTGCTGTTGGTGCGCTTGTCGTAGGGGTAGGGAAACTCGCGGGGGCTGCCAAACAGCCACATGGAGGCGATGACGGACATCGGGGTACCTTCAGGAGCCTCTTTGACGATCTTGAACTCGTTTGGTACGTTCTTGATCTGGGTGAAGAGCTCGGGCGAATATGGCTCTTCGTCGAGATTGACCCATTGTGCGTAAACGACAATCATTGCGTACTTGAACTTGAGAAGATCAGCAATGTTGTCCTTTCCATCATGAACATTATCTGGCAGTTTCTGCTTAAGCTCGTCCTCAGAACCAGGAAAAAGATCAAGCAGATTAGCCTGTCTGCTGACAATATTGACTGTAAAGTCGTAACCACGAGGCAACTTGGGATCCTCTCCCTTCTGGACAAGAATATCGAGTAAAGCCTTGAGTGTCTCCTCCTTGTAAGCAAAACCAACCCAAAGACCCTTAGAGCCCTGATGATTCTTGTCATCCTGAACTTCGATCTTAAAGTGTGTTAGGACACCAAGATTGCCCGGACTGCCGCCAAGAAAACCGTAGAATAGATCTGGGTGGGAGTCTTTAGTGACCTTGACTACATCGCCTTTATAGTCGACAATCTCAAGCTCACGAACCCAATCTCCAAGAAGACCGAATGATCGCGCAAGCATGCCGTAACCGCCGGTCTGAACGTGTCCACCAAGACACACAGTAGAGCACTGACCAGTCGGCATGAAAACGCCATTATTTTTGAGAAAGTCAAAGATCTCGGTGAGTTGCCAGCTGACACTAGATCGTAGGTACACCTTGCCATTTTCCCTGAGGATATTGAGATCAAGGTTGGGACGACGGAAGGTAGGCTTCAAGTCCAGTTGGATGCCCTGGGAGCCAGTTGACGATGCACCGCTATATTGATGACCACCAGATCTGATGGCGAGGGGCTTGCCCATTCTGGCAGCGGCTTTGACAACTTGTTGGATGTCCTCGACACTGGCGGGTTGGAGGATCTCGGAAGGGTTCATGTCGCGACTGACGCCATAGGTGGAGGTGGCGTAGATGTCATTGGCACGCTTGTAGGCAGCTGTGCCAGGAAAGAATTGGTTGCCTTGGAAAAATGGTTCCATTTTGGTAATAATCGCAGAAGAGAGAAGAAAAAGATTGAACTGGTGGGTTGATGGGGGATGCGGAACAAAGGTAGCTGATTTGAGGTCTGTTCTTTATACCCGCTGTCCGGGCTTTGATGAGAGGCCATTTTCAACATGTGAAGTCGCAAAGGCCGCCAAATCACTTAGCTGAATATCCCAAAATGCAAACCTGCATTCCAATATTTTCAGCTCTCATCTCAATGCAACACCAAGATGCGCAAGCAAAAACAAGCTGAGTGCCCGTTTCATTGCAGGTATGTGATACACCAACTCGCCAGGCCTAGACTCACCGGGACGGGCCGCGGCCAGTGGCAGGCGCAAGAATTTAATCCCGCCCTCATTCTTGGCTGCGGGGAAGTTGACGTGCCAGTAAGCCACAGGTGTTCAGCTTGCAAATTCAAGAGTTCTTACTGGATGGGAGGAGAAGTTGAGACCGTTTTCAGTCAGCCACTGAATGTAAATATTGGACGATCATCCGAGTTGAGATATGTGAACTTATTAGCGTGCTTCTGCCGCGTCACGTTGGTAGTGAAGGTGCTTTTGTGATGTGAACGTTGCCACTGGGTGGTATGGCAACGGACAAAGAGCCTTACTGCGTTCAGTAAGCTATTGAGATAGGCTTGCACCGTTGTAGCATAGATTGTCTGCGACAAGGCATGTGAAATCTCATTGCAGATCGAATGGTTGGCATTGATCTAAACCGGCAGAGTGCTGACAAGGAACTACTTCTTCGCCAGTATAAGATCAGTCAGTGTCTCCTACACAAAATCCATATTCCTCGCCAAGAAGTCCAAACACGCCCAACACATTCGAACAATCTTCAAATTACACGAAGCGCATAATGGCTCCTACCAAAGAATCGTCACGTGCTGGTATTCATCTCGGCGTAGACTTCCAATACGACGAAGTCAACTTTGATCCTACCCCTCCTCCCCCAAGAGATGACCCTGATCCTCCTCTGGGCATCTTGAGCAGCTTCACCGGAGCATGGACAGGAACTGGCTTCAACAATATCTTCCGACCAAACTCTGTCGCCCCCACTACTACCACTTTCACCAATCCCGTCCTCCCTGCTCCTCCCTCTCCTCCAAATGTCTCAGTTCTCGAACTCAATCTGACGCAAGAGGATCTTGTGTTTTCTCAACCGTTGGGAAAAGTCCCCAATCGTGGTCTTGAGCAGCAGAATGACATTATCATCAATGGCGTCACGTATCTCCAGACTGTGAATGATGTTACCAACACTGCTACAGGAAGAGGTGATGGTACTAAGACAGGTATTCACACTGAGACTGGCTTCTGGTTGAATGTTCCTCAGACTAAGAATAATCCCGTGGAGGGAAACACGCTTGTCCGTCTTGGCTCTATTCCTCATGGGACTACCATCAACGCACAAGGTAACCCTCCAGACGTAACTCAGGGACCACCGCAAATTAGCAAGCGACCAATCAATCCTTTTGTGATTGGAAAACCGGGCGATATCCAGGTCAAGCCCAGCCAGACGGCGTCACTTAACAACACGGCTCGTCTGCCTCAGGATCTCACTCTCTTCATTGAGCAAGGAACCATCACCCAGGCTATTCTTGACAACCCAATCCAGATCCTTCTCGACATCAACAGTCAGCTGAACATCACCGAGACCAACACTTTCACGGTCTCTACCCAGTTTGCTCCAACACCTGGTGGTGGAACAGCTAACATCGCTTTCCTTGTCGGGGCTAGTAGCCAGGGCCCCAATGCGGATGCTGTGCAGATGGAATCTACCTTCTGGGTTGAGACGATCAAATCTGAGATCACAGTCCAGGACTACACGCCTGGCAAGCCTCTTCTTCTGCAGCCAGCCTACAAGCCGGCTCAGGGCAAGACAACGCCTCCGCTTCCGACATTCTCTGTCACGCCTCCTGGTCCTGTCACTGGTCCCAAGACGATTCCCGTGACTTACACACAGATTCAGTACTCGCAGACTGTCAACCTTAATTTTAATGGGTTGACTTGGCCGCATTTGTCGCTGGCTACGTTGGTGCCTTCTCAGCATATCGAGGTTGACTATCCATCCTCTTGATGGAGGAGCTATCGATGGTAGCAGAATACACAAGGAATCGAGATTGTGAGAGAGATTATCAATGGATGAAAAACAAAATCAGATCAAACCAAAGTAGCTAGCCCTTTCCTAGTGTCATCTATATACGAAGTAGTTTGTCCCTTCAACTTTGTAATACAAACGGACTATTTATCTGAGCCACCGGTCTTTCTGCTAGCCTTTCCGTGCAAGAGCTTCATACCAACCTGTACTCATGACTTGCGCCGCCTCAGTCATCCTTCCGCAACTCAACCCTATAACCAACAAGTTCAAGTTTCTCAACCGTCCTATCACTACCCTTCCCAGAATCGGTAAACACAAAATGATCATGTGATAGAAGTTGGTACACAATGCGGTCCAAAGACGCCCAGGTATTACAGTTCCCATCAGGCCACGCCAATAACGCATTTGCTTCCTCATTATCCTCTTCTGACCCAGCAGTGAACATCATTCGCCAGGATGACTCTGTATCGCTCTGCAGGCCAGTAGGGTACAAGCGGAAGCGGACCTGTCCAGGAGGGGTTGGAAAGGTTGGTGGTAGCCCAATACTGAGATATGTGCCTGCAATATCGATGCCTCTGACTGTCCAGTTCGTGATGGAAAAACCAGGTTCATCATCGACGGAGAGAGTAAGAGTAGAGTTTGTCCTGTCATCGCTGTATGTACCGCCATAAATCTTGGCGGCTTCGTCCTTACCAGCTTCTTCCACAGCGGGGAGTAATTCCTTTGCGATTTCTGTGAAGAGGGTCTGAAGAAGACCACCGCTGACTTCAGGACCAGCGTTGAAAAGGGTGACGGTCAGGTTGTAGTCTGGGATCAACACCATGAGTGAGTGATACGTGGTGATATCACCGGCCTTGGTGTAGAACTCAATGAGGCGGCCGTCTTTGGTGACATTATCGGCACGGAATATTTCCCAGGGTTCTCCAAGCAAAATCCCTCTTGATGAGGTGCTGGTAGCAGGCTTTAGCCACTTTCTTGTCTCAGCCGGACTGAGAAGCTTGCTCGTGAGGATGCTATCCCCAAAAGCCATTATATCATTAAGAGAAGAGTAATATTCTCCGGCACTAAGTGAACTGATCAGTGTTCGCTACGCGGCGTCTAGTATCTAGGACAACTTACGGATCACCATAGCCAAGGGTTGCGTTCCACCACTCATCATCAACGGGGATGAAGCCCAAGGAGTCATCGGGTTTCGAGTCAAACGTGTGTTTCATTCCGGTAGGATCCCATATTTCTTTCTTGATGAAGTCTCCAGAAAGCATACCACTAACCTTCTCAATTACCCAACCCACTATAGCAAACCCCACGTTTGAGTAAACGGGGTTTACGGCATAGGGTGCGTACACAGGAGGCCTCTCGCCGAAACGGCGAAAGAAGTCTGTCTAATTAGCACTTCTCAACCACGAGATCTGAGATCTTACCTTCTTTGCTGCATTCTGGCAGACCTAGAAGACCAGAGCAGTTGAGACTTTTGGATGGGTCAGGTGGCGGGTAGCCAAGTTTCGTCCAGTCTCCATAAGGCTCGACATCAGTTACCACTAGATAAATCAGCACAATATTCGTTCTTGGTCAGTCACATACCTACAGTCAGCTGGTATACCGCCAATATGAGACGCCAATGCACCAATAGTGACTTGATCCCAGTCAACCGCCCAAATAGCATCTTGCTTTCGAGCTTGTTTGTTCAGAGGGCGAAGCTCAGGAACGTATTTCGTAACAGCATCGTCAAGATCAACCTTGTGGAGTTTCAACAAGGCCAGCACGGGGAAGACCTTTGACAGACTGGCCAAGCGGAAGACGGTATCGGAGTCTACTTTGTCGACCCCACGAGGGTCAACCTTTGGAGGCGTACTGGCGAATTCGAGTAGGTAGTCATCTTCGTAGGTTGATTTTATGGCAACTGCTATGGAAGACAGATTAAAGGGAGCCGTCTCTTCTTCAAGTCTTGCTTGAATAGCAGCTACTGCTGACTTGACTGAAGAATGGGTGGAGGGGTGGACAGGAGCAGGGAGGACCGGGCCCAGGGGAGGACAGTGACCTCCCCGAGCTGCGAGGGAGCTCCCCGCGAAGAGAGACGTATAGATACAATATTGGAGCGTCTTCATCCTAGCTCATAGTTTCATTCAGACTTGAAATGTATCTAGAAAACGGGAATAGCAGGCAATGTGCTACTCACTACTTTTATACTCAGTCAAGCACTCTAAAGACCGACGGCTAAATAGCCTTCGTCCGCGGACGAAGGAACCACAATGATTAACAATATTGCTTACTCCCCCGCAAGTCCAAGTCATGGGATATCCTATGTAAGCTTATGGCGTTCTAAGATGACGAAGGATCTATCACATCAAGGTTAGAAACTACCAGACGAAGCACTCTATTACCTTTCTTGGATTCTACCTCCCACGTCCAATAGGGTTGATTACATTTGAAAATTACAAATGAGACTAACGTAGGCCTTGAAGAGCTGGAAGAAAACAAAGATCGAGATCTTGCAGCGGGAGATCATGGTGTCTTGGCAGTAAGACGGTGTCAGCTGTGCGGCTTAATTAGGCTGCTCACAGCGGCTCGATGACGTAAATTCGGAGAGGACAAGTCTCTGTCGGTCCGTATTACGGAGAGATTTATATAATCTTTTGCTAATTTCTAGGATCTTATTTGGGACCTGATGGTCTGAACCGGTGGTTAGATGGATTCATGTCATTCATTAATATGGTATTTATAAGTAGTAACTCATCTAGACAGCGTCACTCCGTCTAAGAACGAAAGGAACATATAATGCGCAGAGTTAGATCCTCGCGCGAGTAATTAATATGCGACATAATGTTCATCATATGTAGCAGGGCGAGGAGTATTTCGCCTGTATGTGTTTTTTTGGTGTTCTTTACCTTTGTGGCCTTGAGGCTGAAGCCTCTTTTTGACCCCTCAACCCTATCACAGTTCATCATATGTAGCATCCTTGCCTAGAGCTTGGCACAGCTCTCAGCTGGCCTGAGGACCGCAGAGCTTAGTGAATGTGATGTCATCAATATTGATCGTAAGCTGATCATACTCCCCAGAGCACTGCAAGACAAGCGATAGGTCAGCCTGAGCAACAGCGTTGCTTCCACTTGACCAAGTCTTGCTCTCCGAAGTCCAACCAGTGTAGCCGTCGGGATAAACAGGCATGAGGGTATCGTCTCCGATCTGGGGAGCGACGCTGCACGAGAAGCCTGCGCCGACGTTGACGCCGGAGAAGACGCCCCAATTGTATGATAGTCGGTAGGTGCCGTCGAGGTTGGTCAGAGTCTGGGAAATCTGGGCGCTGCCGCCGCCGTTTGAGAAGACGAAAGAGCTGGAGTGCTGTTAGCGCAGGTGATATGGAGAGAGGTAGTGGAGGGGCTTACATGGCATTGGGGGCAGAATTGGCGCCGTCGGTGATGATCGAGCCGTCGCCGAACCAAGGTGATTTACTGCTGGCGCTGTCATCGAAGCCGGGGTTGACGACGACCTGGGTCTCGATGCAGGCGGGCGCTTCGGTAGTCGTCGTGGTCTCAGCGATGGCAGTAGAAGTGGTTTCTTCCAAGGCCGTAGAAGTAGTCTCCACAAGGGCAGTCGTTGCAGTGGCAGCCAAGGTAGTAACAGTCGTGTCGGAAGCGATTGTCGAAGTAGTCTCAGCAACGGTCGTCACGGTCGTGGGTCGGCAAGGGCTAGCTTCGGCCCCAAGAATGGCGAAAGCCACGGCGAGGATAGAATAGCGAACCATTTTTGCGATTGATTAAACGAGTGGCAGCGACTGAGACAGCGCAAGTAAACGAATGTGAGGTTGCAGAACGCAAAACCGATTCAACGTTGGGCGTGGCGTCTCCTTTTTAAAGCCCGCTGTCAAATTGTCAAAAACGCTCCGAAGGTGGTGTTGCCTGGACGCGAATTACTCGTTGGCGCCGCGCTAATGCCAATAGTTTCAGAGGCTACTGAAGTCTAGAGTGATTAAATCCGTCAGTGTGTGGGGGCTGATGATGTGTACCTTGCATCTAACGCGCATCTAACGCAGTTGAGATGGTCTACGGGCAGGGGTATCTCAGCCCCGATGAGCTAACACGATCGTCGATGAAAAAGGACTTCGTGCCTAAAATAAGCAATGAACCATCTGGAATATGACTATACTATGGCAAAATTAATAGATCAAGGAATCTCAAGCCCGATGACATGGTTAGCCAGATTGATCCCCTTCCCTGCATCAGCTCACAGACCCCGAGAATTCGGCCTCTGTCTTTTTGCCAAGCTCGTTCTTTGGCATCGCCCAAGCAAGTTCAGATGGAGCTGCACGCTAGATGTCGACCACCAACTGTATCAATCGTGTGAGCTACGTCGGCAAGCCTAAAGCTACTCTCCAGTCGTAGAATTAGGGTATCCAGCTCCATCTATACTTAATGAACTTCCTTCGTGCCAAACAAACTTGTTGGATCTACTTGTGTGTAGAGACGGGGTCTCTGCTGGAACTTTGTAGCTCTAACCAAGACTCGCGGACAGTTAGACAAGAGACAGTAAGTACGGGCATGGGGGTGAACTAGTAAAGGATACTATCAAAGCAAGCCTAAGGCCAGTCCAAACTGCCGTCAGAATCAGGCCTCTTCATAGTAAACTCGGCTGCCTGAGTTACCTTGATCACGACCAGCTCTTTCTTCATCTTTTCATTAGTCCGCTCAGACAACGGCTTACGAAGGAGATCTTCCCTACTCCCTTCAAACCATTCCTTTATGGTAGATTCCTCATCAATACCAAGTCTGTAAGTCTTGCCATTCTCGAGATTCCCCGCCTTCCACCATTTCCAAACCTTAGGCTGCGCTTCAATTGCCTCCCTGTATTCTTCGGCTATGCTTCCCGGCGGCAGTTGGATGCGTCCTACTCCACTTTCCATGCGTGATATAGATGCTTGTATAGTATATTTCTGTCCGGGATGTAGTGTCAGGAAATTGCTTTTGTTGTCCTCTCGCAAGGACCCTTCGCGGTCGGGGCCGCACATAAAGATTGTGTTTCGACGAGCCTCGGTGCCGGTCTTGAGGTCCGTGAAAGTAAGCCCTCCTTTATTCATGGGTGAGTCGAAAAGACGAAGATTCTGAGTTGGGAACGTAATCGGACGATTGTGTTGAAGGAAAAGGTCAATGGTGATTGTATGGTCATGTTCAGACTCCAAGTCAAAAACGGGAGACGAGGTGGAAACCTGTGCTTCGATGGAAGGCATAGTGAAAGGTTTCTGCAGATAGACGTTGTATAAGCTTGGTAGGAGATGCTTTCGAGTCAAGATGAGATAATAACGAACGAAAGCTATATCCTGTTTGAGCTTTGATAAGTGACGTAATCACTTAGGCAGCAATTTGGTGAGTGTGAGAGTGAGGATGTTGCGACGCAAGTTGCGATCAAGTGTGGCGATTATAGGTTCAGATTCAACTTACCTCTTGAGTTTCGGCTTCTCAAGTTGCAAGAAGTTAATGTAGGATTTGGACCCCGCGGGAATGTTGGACGGCAGTTGAATTGGCTGATGTTTGTAGAGCCTGTTGGTTGATCCTCCTGTATTCTTATTGGTAGAGACTAAACCTTCTGACTTTCTCCCAACGTCATGAAACACCGTATATGCATGCCGAATCCTCTGTTGGTTCTGTTCACTCAAGAACACCTGATTTGTGAGAAGTATGAGAGGTGCTCAGACCGCACTGAGGGATTATCTGGTCAAAGTAAGCAGAGTGACGTTGTAATTGCGAGTTGATTTTCGTCACAAAATACGAACACGAGAATATCGCCTGGAGGGTATAATGATCCTTTAGAAATGAGGGCTCCTATTTTTAGAACGCAGGGTTAGAAGCCAATTCAGCAGATAGTACCTCAAGATATAGCACGATCGTGAATTGCTCAAACTCAAAGATTAGATTTTATAGGTACTCCTTAGCTTACCTACCATCTTAGTTTCTGAAATATGTTACTTTATATATTATCTAGGCCGATATAACCATTAGTCCGGAGCAGGCCTTGCTAGGTAAGAAAAATATAATGCAACCATGAAAACGACCACCAGGAAACCAACATGATCACCGGCCATGGCACTTAATCTATTTCTGACTTGGCCATGTCATTGCCTTCGACGCTAGGGGGCTCCGTGTCTGCCGGGGAAGCTGCTTTCAAGAATGTCCACGACCAACAAGCACGATGCATGCTGAATGAAAAGGGATGACGAATTCATGCATTGCTGTGAGTCTTCTGGCATGCAGTTGATCGAGGACCTGAAAGGCGAGCAAAATACTTGAGGCAGTTCCTTCTGATAAAAGTGGCAACTTGACAGGCTTGGAAAATGGCTCTTAAGACCATTGACGTCGAGACAGAACTCGATTATCTAGCAACCTATGACAAGAATTAGCACCCTGACCCAGATAATCTGGCCGCTGTTGCTTGATCGATGCCGATTGTATAGGGCCTTTAATTCGTCATTGATTATTTGCGCCATAATCTATTTCTTCTAAATACCATAGTGGACATACGGAACCCAGCCTAAGAGTTTAGCCGCTTCCATGTCTACCTCATCCTCCAAGGCGACTACATCCCTCGGGTCCCGTGAGGTCTCCAGGTTGCAACTTCTCATTGGTGTGGCGAGTAGAGACGCCTTATCACCTTCAACACCCCGATTCGCCCCCTGACCACAGCCGACATTCCGCGCAGGATCTTTCAGATACACCCAACGATCACGAAACTCCCTCGTTGCTCTGTGAAGTCCTCGACAGATCGAATTGTTAAACATTCCCTCCTCCGCCATTCCTTCATAGACCATTTCGGCCATACCAACACATATCTCATCTCTTACCTCCCATAGAGTGCCCAGCACGTGGCGAAAGCCGACTAACTGGAATGCATTTATAAGATGCACATTCTCGTCAATGAAATTTCCATCTGGGATCCGTCCTGTATTACAGGCCGAGAGATATGCTAGCAGTGGGGACTGCTTATAAATATTCATTGCTAACAGATCCTCTACTGTCAGGGGGTCGATTTCCCAGTCTTCTAGCAGCAATTGGCTGAGCAAAGGGTTCTGATGATGTGCCATGCCGTGGCCTGCAAAGTGAAATACCTTACAGTCACGGAGGTATGATAGGACTCTCTCCTTCTTTCGGCTAGGTTCGATAGATGTAATTTCATGTGATTTGCAAAACTTATCGAGTATGGCAACCTCCTTCGCAGCAAAGGGAAGACTGGGGTGGTTTGGTGTATCTCTCATAGCGACTAGCAGAGCTGCCTTGGCTTCTATCGCATCTGACTGTTGGCGTCCTCGAATAAGGGCTCTGATTGAAGAAGAATATGAAGATACTACCCTATCACAAACCGTCTCTTTCGCCCCTGTGAAATGAAGACCTGCTGCGTGTAAAGGGAACTTGGACAATGGGCCTGTAGGTATCCACCATACCCGCGGCCACAAACCTGGATCATTCCCCACGAACCCAAGATCATTGAGAATATCTCGAGCGAAAGCATACCAGATCCACTCAAGGAGTTTGTAGCTGATTGATCTAGCATTCAGACTTGCCGCATGACTCTTGATATCTTCCACCCGTAAGCCAGGAAGCGGTAGGACTCGGATCTGGTCGTCTTGCAAGATCAGAGCGTCGCAGCGAAAGCCACTGACATTGATGATAACGATAGGCCCGTGTAAGCTTGCCCTTCTAACTTCACTCTCTAGTGGAGCAAGAAGGAACCGACCAAATCCAGGTAGCTCACGAATGGAATCGATGAGTGACTCTAGTTCGCGGCCCGCTAAGTGACGTCGATTCGCCCGCTTCACAGTACCCAGGTGGTCCAGATGACTGGCAACAGGCTCATCCAGCTGATCCCGTAGTCTTGTATACCTTTCAGCCAATTCAGGATGTTTTTGTTCCAGGTCCGATATATCCACCTTCAGGTCGCTGAGGGTGCCTATGAGAACCCCACGTCCGAGTTCTAGCAGTGCAATAGCCTCGTATGGGTTGACCTCTGCTAGAAGGGCTACTGCAGCGCCGTCACATGCTAACCCTGCGATCTCGGCCAGCGCAACCAGGATAAACTGTTTGTCAGAGTTGTCGAGTGAGGCAGACACGAGGAGGGGAACCAGTGAAACCACTGCCGAGGCAACCTCGTATGCCTTGGACCAATTCTGAGCCTCTGTGTAGATATCCAATAGCATCTTGCCTGGCGGAAATCGATCCATTGGAGTGCTATCTGGATAGTTGAGGGCGTTATGAAGATACTCCAATGCCTTTTTCAGATTTTCAGATTCATTTGTTCTCTTGTGCTTGAGGTGAAAGCAGGTTGCAACGTAATGCATCCGGCGTGCTCGGTTTGAGTCCTTGTCCGGCGTTTCATCCAGGGCCTCCTGGCTTTTCCGAGTCGCCTCTTCTAGATCTGCCACATGTTCCAGCCTCCTATATCTCATTTGATACTCAGCACCAAGACATTCTAGGATAAACGACCGATGTACCGTTTCTCTTGTTGTATCGAGAGCGATTTTGTGCCAGCGGATGGCCGTGTCTAAATCCGCCATGTCTCCCAACAATTGATAGCGCTCATAGTAGCCCCGCCCGATATTTCCCTGCCGTTGTGGCAGCCGCGGATCGTCCAACGGGGTGAGATCCAGAGCTTCCTGATACATATTGATGACTATGTTGATGTCTTCGATCTTGTGTCCGCGGTCAAAAGCAGCATGGTAGCCTACTCCGATATGTTGAAGCCGTTCAGGCCATTCGAGGCTATCCTTTGAAGTTATTTCTCGGGCTTTACAATAATAGTCAATGGCAATCTTCAAGTCTGATAAAGCACCCCTCCTCTCATATCTTGACTGGTACGAAGACCCAAGGTTCTGAAGTTGGCGAGCTCGGTCTGCTTCCTTACTTGGTGTCATTTCCAACCCCTTTTGGTAATTCTCAATGCTTGCATCTAAAAGGTTCAGATCCGATGTCTTGTCGCATGCGTCTCCGTATGCCACAGCCAGATTGTAGACTTGATGGACGTAGTCTGGATGAGACTCCGGCGTTATTTGAATGCTTGTCTCGAGAAGCCTAATCCCTACGCTGAGGTCGTCCATGTTTCCGTTGCGCTTGAACTTCTCACATCGTGCAACGCCGAGTTGAAACATCCGATAGCCGTAGTCTTGATGGTCTTTGGGCGTCAAGTCGAGAGCCTCTTGAAAATAATCCAAGGATAATTGCAGGTGTTTCATATGGCCCAGTCTCTGATGCTGTCTGAAATATGCCACTCCTAGCTTCTGGAGGCGGCTGGCACGTTCAGGCTGTTCAAGTGTCGTTGCATTAACCACGTCCTGAAAATATTGAGTTGCTGCCTGTAGATCCGCGACATCGCCGTCCAGTTCATATTTCTCGACATATATACCACCGAGGACGTCAAGCCTGCGTGCTCGTGCAGGATGGCGGCTGGGAGTTGCATCAAGTGCTTGTAAATAGTATTGAAAACACGTGGCAAGGTCTTCTTTTTCCCCTCTGATCTGGAATCTGTCGTAACATGTGGAAGCAAGGTTGTGAGCTCGCACAGGCCAGTCAACATGCTCCCGGAGAGTGGCAGCAAGACCGTGCTTGCAAAGGTTGACAGCATTGTCCAAGTCAGCAATGCATCCTGTCAGCCAAGAGCGTTCTCGAAGTCTACCCGCAAGGCGTTGTACTCGGCGCGAGTAATCTGGATGTCTGTCATTGATGCAAGCCACTGCCTGGTGGCAATTTCTAATACATTCATTTAATTCTGCCAGTTCTCCCGATTCCTCGAATTTCAAATCGTGTATGGACTGAAGATAGTGCAGCCTTATTTGAAGCTGCGGGTCTTCCTTTGCAGTGGCTTCGACACATTCAAGGTACTTTTCAAGGGCGGCTTCCAGGTCGTGACTTCCGCTTGTCTGCTGATATTTTGTATGAAATGCAATCCCGAGCTTTTCCAGCCGCGAGGCTCTGTCGACATGCTTAGCTGGTGTTGCATTTAGTAACTGTTGATACTGCCTAATGACGGTATCAATATCTTGCAGGGATAGGCCATGTAGGAAATCTGAGTCAAGGGATTCCGCGACCCATTGGCAATCAGATGGAACACGATCAGTCCCAAGATCACTAGCAAACATATTGGCTTTTTGCACACCTTTGAGGAGTGAATAGTGATGGATGTTTATTTTATGACAAAGGGAAGGATAGAGATGAGTCGATAAGTTATGTAGATAAACCATTTGGGGGCTGTTACTAGATTCGGTATTCTGTGCGGCTGACATTCAAAAGGGCTGCTGTCTGGGGGGTTGAAAATCAGGCTGGCACCCGTTCTGGTACATTTCAGAGCCACATAGAATACCGAGACTAGCCCAGACAGATAGCACATAATATTTGAGTTCTTTGTACTGATGAAGTTCTCGGCCATAAATCTGAGCTGTAGAAAACAGGTAGGTATGCACGTAATTTCTCGGTAGGTCTGTTTGACCCCCGTCGTCACAAACAGCCACGAAAAGTACAACAAGTGGCCGTGCGACCTAATGGCTTGGTTTTGGTGTTTTAGGTGCAGTCAAGTGTGTTATTTGCAGTTGAGACTTGCGGCCGAGAGCTGAAATCAGCACAGAGAGCTTACTTAAAAAGGGCTTTGTGTTGGGTGCAGGGTAAGCCAGTCTCAGCATCACATCCACAAAACCCCCAGTTCTATGTTAAAGAACCCAAACAGCAAACTAGCTGTGCCGCGTCAAATAACATCATGCCACCACCCCGCACCTATTGTCTAACATGTCAAAGCACTCACGTACAGCATTTCACACGCTGTCTCCAATGGGTCGCTAAGACTACCAAGCTCAACCTCCGTCCCCTCAATCCAATGTCACCCGATTGGTCGGATAAATACATTCAGCCCAGCCGGATATCACCAACATGCATTTGCCCATGATGTGCGAGAACATAAGTATCAACTCAGCTGCCGACACCAACTGCCATCTCGAAAAGGTCAAGCTGAGTCATAGGAAGATACTGCAGCCACAATGTCGCCCTCCAACCCCATCATCCCTGGCTTCTCGCCCGATCCGTCCATCGTCAAGGTTGGCGAGTGGTACTTTCTTGTGAGCTCCACTTTTCACATGTTCCCTGGTATTCCCGTCTACGCATCCAAGGATCTTGTGTCGTGGAAGCACATAGGTAGGTGTCCCATGTCTTATTGTGTGTATTGTTGCTGACGGATGTAGGAAATATTATCAGTAGACCGGGACAAGTTGTTCTGAAACAATCAGACACTGAAGTCAACCGTATGCCAGATGTTGGAGAAGTAATGCTCGCGACTGGTGGTCTTTTTGCACCAACAATTCGGTACAACAATGGTACTTTCTATGTTGTTTGCACGAATGTTGTGAGAGCGACGGAGGATACTCGGTATGCTCTGCAGAACTTTATTGCTACGACGAAGGATATCTGGTCAGGCCAGTGGAACGACTTGATCTGGTATGACTTTAACGGCATTGATCCCAGTATCTTGTTTGACGATGATGGAAAGACGTATATTCAGGGCTCCAAGTCGCCTGGCCCGTACACCAGGATCGCCCAGTTTGAGATTGATATCGCGACGGGCAAGAAGTTGTCTGAAGAGAAGATCCTCTGGGAGGGCACGGGCGGAGTTTACCCTGAAGGACCGCATATTTACAAGCGAAACGGCTGGTACTGCCTCATGACATCTGAGGGAGGAACCCACGAGGACCACATGATCACCATGGCCAGATCCCGCAATGTCTGGGGTCCTTACGTGCCATGTCCCGAGAATCCAATCTTAGTCCCGGCAAGCAAAGACATGTACATTCGCCACACAGGCCACTGCGATGCCTTTGAAGATGAGAACGGTCAATGGTGGGGCGTTCTTCTCGGGGTCCGTAGAGATAAAGACGGAAGATACAACATGGGACGAGAGTCACATCTCACGCCCGCAAAGTGGACCGACGATTGGCTCCGTCTTGAATCCGTCGAGGCTGAAATCAACACATCCCGGCTCGCCAGCGCAAACGCAGAACAGGGATTGACGGCTGTGGAGGGCGTGGATTTGCTGTACATCCGAGACCCAGTTTTGGAGAACTACAAGATTGACAGCGGAAGCAAGACGATCAGTGTAACATCATCGCCCATCGATCTGTCGCATCCACAGGAATCACCCAGTTTTGTGGGTAAGCGACAGCGTCTGCACGCAGGTCAAAGCAGCGCTACATTCAAGGTCAACGCATCGTCAAAGGTCAAGACTGGGCTGGCAGTTTACAAAGATGAACACCGTTACTTGCGGGTCTTTTACGACACCGCTCAAAGAGCGGTAGTTTACGAATTCGTCAACAACGCCAAGGATCTTAAAAAGACGGAACTGCGCGCGCTGGACAGGGATGTTGACACTATTCAATTCCGCTTTGAGTACACTGAGCAGGAATATCGGGTATTCTACACAGCCGGGAATGATTGTGAGCATGTTGCGACGCTTGATACGCTCGATATGACCGGCCCAGACTTTGTAGGTCCCGTTATCGGCGTGTTTGTCTTGGCGCAGGAGAGTGTCACGGTTGAAGTCGACGATCTGCAGGTAGAGTGAGTAGATAAGCACGCCAAGTCAATTAAGATTGAGCTCGGTTCGGCTACGCTGAGCTTTGTATATCCGGTTCCAGCCTATTGGTGTGAAATGCATGCCCCATTGTGACTCTCAGACACATGACTCTAATTACTGTTGGTCCTTGATTAAGCTTTCAGCCTAACATTTAACCGCTGAAGCCCAACAGGCTAATTGACCTCTACGCCCGCGCGTGTCTATCACAGTAATTAACCGGTTTACGCCAATTGGACATGTAAATTCCCCATGGGGAGGATTTTCGCTCCTCGTAGCTCGGATAAAGACATGCGGGGGAAACAAGCTTCAATTTGGGGTAAGCCGAGCCAATGGCTGAGCGTGGAGGGTCCCTGGAACAGTCTGTTGGTTTTAAGCTCTTAGATCGTCTGGCTAAGTCGAGTCAGTGATATAAAGCTATCGCGTCTCCCCAGTATTGGTCCTTTCTCAGATCTTCACTCACTGACACGGTGGAAAGCTACAGGCATCATGGGTCTTCTCACTCCTCCTCAGCGGACCCAAAAGGTCATTCCTGATAAGCCAGCCAAAGGGCATTTCTTCTTTGCTGGCAAGGAATTTGCTCGAGTGCCTTGGTGGAAGAGGTCCAACATGCGCATTTTGTACTTTTACATCGTTATTCTCATTCTTACCAACACTGCCAATGGTTTCGACGGTAAGTTTCCCTACATTACGGCTTCGCTTGTGCGGCTTGCTAACATGATCAGGTTCCATGATGAACGGTCTTCAGACACTCTCCTACTGGCAAGAGTACTTTAATCACCCACGGGGTTCCATTCTCGGCCTATTCAACGCCTCTATGAGCCTGGGCTCTCTTATTGGTCTTTTTGTTGTGCCTTATCTGGTCGATTGGGCTGGCCGCAAGGTTGGTGTGCAGATCGGTTGCATTCTCATGCTGCTCGCTGTTGGACTTCAGGCCGGAGCTCAAAATTTTGGAATGTTTGTAGCGGCACGTATCATTCTGGGTTTTGGTGATTGCATCGTTCTTGGGTCGGCGCCTCTTCTCATCGCTGAGATTGCACATCCCCAGGATCGTGCTATTCTCGTGACGCTGAGTGGTGCTTCTTACCACTCTGGTGCTTTCATTTCTAGTTGGGTCACATACGGTACCCTTCAGATCAAGGTATGTACTCTCGCACGGCGAAGAAAAGTATGCCTGATTACTGACATTGCATCAGAGCAACTGGTCCTGGAGACTTCCCAGCCTTCTGCAATCCATCTGCAGTGTCATCATTCTTGTCGGAATCTTCTGGATGCCCGAGAGTCCCCGTTGGCTCCTCAGTAAGGACAAGCACGACGAAGCCCTCAAGGTCCTCACCCACTACCACGCAGAGGATGACCCCGATGATGAATTCGTCCAGCTCGAGTTCAGCGAAATCAAGGCCGCCATCGCCCTCGACAAAGAAGTTGGACAGACAGCCTGGGTCGACTTCCTCAAGACTCCCGGTAATCGCAAGAGAATCGGTCTCATCACTGCCCTCGGTTTCTTCAGTCAGTGGAGTGGCAACGGTCTGATCTCTTACTACCTCAAAGGTATTATGGATAATGTTGGTATCACAAAGGCAGAGACTCAGCTTGGTATCAATGCGGGTATGAAGACACAGGGTTTGATCATCAACACAGCCTTTGCTTTCTTCATTGATATTTTCGGTCGTCGGCCTATCTATCTCACCTCGACTATCGGAACTTGCGTCATCTTCACCTTCTGGACCATTGTCTCGGCTCGATACGATATCGACCCCAACAAGGCTCTTGGCTACGCCTTTGTGGCGCTGACCTTTATCTATGGTCTCTTCTACGACATCAAGTGAGCTCCCCCCTATAACATGTCCCTCCTCCAAGGCTAATAGTCTGCAGGTCTGGTCTTATGGCCAACTACACCACTGAGATTCTGCCCTACGGTCTTCGTGCCAAGGGTTTCACATGGCTCAACTTCTGTGTCACCGCCGCGCTCTTCTTCAACCAGTATATCAACGGTATCGCTCTTGAGGCTATGGGCTGGAAGTACTACACCATCTACTGTGTCTTCCTCGGTTTCGAAGTGTATGTCATTTACTTCTTCCTCATCGAGACCCGCTACACGCCCATGGAAGAAATCGCGAAATATTTCGATGGCAATGCGGTTGATGTCGGTGAGGTCGCTAGGGCTGATATGAAGGAGAGGGGTGTTATGATGACTGAGGTGGACTCTAAGGGAGCTCGTGCTACGGAGATTGAGACTCGTTAGAGTAAATGACATATTTTGGTGGATACATGACTGATGACGAGATGAAGGATGGAGGAAGGCAACATATCATGAGAATACCCGAGAAGGTATGGACGTTGTTAGCTGTAGTAGCAATCCACTTCTCAATGCAAGGATCAATCAGTTCTTGATTCAGTATCCGGTGACAGTCGTCCAGGAAGCCAGTGATTAGATATGGTTCATATTATTGGGCCGAGAGATACCTCTAGCGTCCATCCCAGCAGAATATATATACAAGAAACTTTTTCATATGAACCATAAAGGCCAGCTTGACACCATCAACACACAAGAAATAAAACAGCTTCAGAGCCTCTAGCCCTTCCCCCACTGCACCACGCTACTCAACCAGCTTAAAAGTTGGACTTGGCCTTGGTGACGACACCAGACTTGAGAGCAACGTCCTTGACGATGACTTTCTTGTTGTTGACGCTGGTGACGCGGACCCAGGCAGTGTCGTTGGGCAGCGTGCCCTTGAGGATCCACATGTTGGGGTCCTTGAGAGAGGTGGCCTTCCAGGTCTTGCCGTTGTCGCTGCTGACCTCGACGGCCTTGACGCGGTGGGTGATGTTCTCGATGGTAGCGGCGAACCAGTACTTGGAGGCACCACCGTGCATGTGGACCTGGAGAGGGGACTTGAGAGGGCAGGCAATCCACTTCCACTTGATGCCGTCGACACCGCCGCCAGTCATGCCGTTAGTGAGTTTGGACCAAGTGGCGGGGGTCATGTCGAGATGGTTCTTGTCGCCGCCAGTCTTGTTGGTGACCTGTACCAGTTAATACCCACATATTTATATAACCGCGTGTACTTGAGCTTACCATGATCTTGAGGGAATTGCCCTTGTAGGAGACCTGGATGCATCCACCGCAGTTGGCGCCATCCTTCCAGATATCCTCAGAGACACAGGTGGTTCCGTCAATGCCAGCGGGCAGGTCGTAGCCGACAAAGCTGCAGGCACCCTTCTGCCAGCAGTCCTCCTCAGTGCAGCCATCGCTAAGGCCGTATCGGGTGCCGAGACCGGTGTAGACGGGGTTCTTGGAAGTAGCAGCGGCGTTGGCAGCCGTCGAGGCTGCGGCCAAGAGGGTGACGAAGTAAGTAGAAAAGCTTCCGAACATGTTTGCGTTTGCGTTGGTGTTAGAAATGAATATAATGTTAAATGGCAATTGTTGTAAATGAATGGATGAAGAAATAAAAGCTTGGAAAAAAGAATGTGCTGATGAGATTGGATGGTCGTTGGTGGTTAGAGCAGGCCTAGCCTTATATATACAAGCAACATTCCAGAACACCATCCAGTAATTTCCTTGCTGATGAGCCGACCAGGTCCTCGATGCTGACGAGGTTTTTACTAAGTGCATCGATCCCTAGCTGTTTCCAATGCCGAACCCCTGTATTTCCCAACTGCCATTTCTCCAGGATTGGTCTGGACTCACAGAAGTAAGAGGGGGAAATCGAAAGGCACAGCCGTGATGGTTTCATTCAACGATCCGTCTAATATCAAGATCGTGTTATTGATGCCGGTTTACCGTGATAGTTTGCGCTACTGTGTTTCAGACTTGACAGTTTTGGCGGAATGCCAATCAAACGACGCGAGTGCATCCCTGTCAGGCCTCGATAGCCGGCTTCTGCGGAGGGAAGGCCGGTGGACCGTTTCGTGCGGCTCCGATGGGTAGTGTTCTAGAAAATATGTTTTGATTGGAGCGCAAGGCGATTGTGGATGGTTTAATGTTATATTACGATACGGTATATAGCTTAGCGTGGATGTAAGCGAGGAGGTGAACGAGGATGAACGAGACAACAAGAAAACTAAATCCAAGCCACAGCTGCACTCTAATTGAATGCCGAGTTCCATGGCATAACTTTACCCTGAGACTTAGGACGCAAATGCACTGACGGGATCAAGAAGATGGCTGCATCGATCCGATCTGGTAGACTAGCAATACTCTAAGTGAGACAATTCGGTGGATCCACGATAGCTGAACCTCATTCTGTCTGGATAATACCTCAAAGTGACTCTGCAGACTAGTATTATATCCACGATCAGTACGATGCAAAAACCGTTGAGATTCCAATATCCGACAGCATGGCTGACGTGGGTCTGGCTGAAACCGCGGCTTGGCAAACAAATTGCCGGGCGCGATGTAAATTTGCGAGAGGTTTCGGGGTTTGATTGAACTGTTGGGGTTCTTGGAGGCCGCTGCTGGGACGCGGATATCGCTGCTGACTCTCATATCATGACGCTGCAGCTGATGACAAGACGACATATGTAGCTAAAAGGGGGATACAATAACAAACTGTTGAGTCAGTATTGTTAGACTCCAAGATAACGACAGTATCTACGCAGTACATACAGATGAAAGCTCGGGGGTCTTTAGCAGCTACACGATGCCAAAGTCAATGATAAGCTACGGATATAACTTCAGGTCGTTTCGTGACGGTGCTACCGGGATGCTCCTGGTCAAGTTTTCTGCGACAACAGCTTTCGCATCGCCAAGAACGGCTGATGTGCCGGTGTCTTGGTATAGTGAACGAGCGCAAAATCTGCCGAGCCGTCCTCGCTGTCGCATTTTCAAAACAACATTTGTGAAAGCAACCTGGATTAATAAATCCGCTAAATAATGAGAGTAGGAGTAACTGTAAGCTATCAGGCACTGTCAGGCACTGTCAGACTATGTTCAAGAAGCCTCTAACGTGAGCTGATAATAAAAGACCACGCACGACTCGTCACAATTGCCCCCTACACAGCAACATACAATATAATTTCAGCTTCTAAATGACTTCTACTTCACCTGAAACTTGAAACCCCCTGGCTAGGTTGGGTGACATCCAGTAGCGGGCGCCAAGATGCGAAACGTGGGGTTTTTCATCCCAACTGCCCTTGTAGGTTTGCAGAAACTATCGGCACCACGTCTCTCAGCCGCAAATTTTGGCTAATATCAGACCTTTTTTTAGATATTCACTCGGTAATCATGGCATATAAACGTCACATGGGAAACTCGCTATTCCTGGAACGGCTTTTATTAGTAGCTGGTTCAGGGGCTTCGGCGACCGCTTTGTCCAACAAAGAGGCCAACAGGTTCATTTGACGGCATTAATTCTCTTAGACAATGCGCTCTTCAACATAATTCTACGTAAGGTGCCGATTCGCCAATCGTTTGTTTGAGACAAAAGATGTCTTGCCGGTGATGTGAAGCCTACATAACAAGAGGGTATGGATATAAGCACTGGGGTATCACCGACTGTCACTGGCTATTCCTGTTACAGCCTATGCCACCTTTGAACAGCCCGGTCTATCAAAATCCTATTGATGGCTCTATTGGACACAAACTAGCTCCATAAACGCATTCCTACATTCTGTCCGCGTGAGGCGCAACTGCGCACTATAGTAACGCGACGCTCCGTCAGAAGTGCATTGATCAAGTCGCATTCACTCACTAAACCAATTTCTAAACTGAAACCGCCATTCCAAGACCATAATAAGCACCCCTTTCTACTGGAAATGTGGTATGTACCTTGACCAGGAAACAGTTTGGTAAGCTGAGAGGGGAAGAGCTCGGAGTCCAAGAAATGGCTCAACTAACACGTAAGCTCGACCCAGCATGTACACTCCAATAAGTGTATAGAAAAATGTGTGCTTGGCTAATGACCGAGAGTCAAATGAATAAGAAGCTAACCAGGCAATTGGCCACCATATGGTAGTCGTGATCAGCATTGCAAAAACCGAGCATTTCCATAACAGGGATTCAATTTCTGAAGGGAATGTCGATTTCCAGGAGACGAGCAGCAAGCAGTTGACAAACAATCCCAGACCAAAGATCATAGCATCTTCTTCCCATCCCCATTGGGACGGATGCATCTCTTTAACGGACGGGAGATACCAGTCTGTAATTCGAGTATGAGCAGGGCTACCTTGCACCAGGTCAACGATTGTGGGCGGTATCAGAGGGACTTTAGCTTTCCACGTAGAAAAGTCAAACCTGCTTTCGAACCAGAAGAAATCCCAACCGAGTTGATGAAGCTCACGAGGAACCGGCCTCCACCAGTAGCTGTTCGAGTTGTAGTTAGCGGGCTTAGAGAGCTCCATGGCAATTGTAGCAAGAGCGTTGTGGTCTAATTCAGGACATTCGACCAAAGTCCGGCACTGGATGTTGACAGGTTTCTGCCACCAAAAGAAATATGTCCACCAGGTTGTGAAAATGAAGGGTATAGTCTCCACTTCAAGGGTAGTGAGATGAAGACCTTGACCGAGTCTTGAGAATGCCATGGCTAAGAAGTAGATGGACTGAAGCAAAGCCAGGCCTTTCACAAATCCATCAGCATCGCTCCGGTCATCGAGATCCTCGAGACTGATCTCTGGAAGTATGATCATTCTTTCCCTGACCAATTCATAAAGTTCCGCTGACCGAAAGGCAAATTCTTGCCCCGAAGAATCACGAACACGATAACCACCCATCTCAGCATAGAAAGCATGCTTCAATGTCCACCAGCCGTAGCTATCCACCTTTCTCATATCAGCGACGTGTCTTTTAGCGTCGCGCCACTGGGAAAATGCCAGAGTTGCAACGCCATCCGGTACAATAAGCGTTATGATCCAGATTTTGACTCGATGCAACCAGAACAGGTGGGTACTCTCCCCTTTCGGCGGTATATTGACGTGGAACAGGGTCCAGACGTTGAGTACCAAGACAGCCAGACAGGGAACAAGTATTCCAATGGTTCCTCGGTTTTGCGGCTCCGGCTGAAAACCGAGTTCAAGGGTAACCGACTTGTGTTCATCCATGATGCTGTATCTCGTTTTCTGTGCCCTCTGGTGTAAGGTAAAACCGGTCTAAGCAAAATGACTGTCTTGCTCTGAAGATTATATTTTGAAAAAATAAGGATAGTAATCTAGCTCCTTTCAGCGATGTAACAGAGGGCGCCAGACTTAAATCTTATTAGATCAGGGAGTCTTTAGCAGCTGTGTCGTGGCTACAGACTATGCAGTAGTTAAGCTCTAATTAGGCGTTACTGGAATTTTCTTAGTATTTTATGTACTGAGTCTAGGCAAAATATTTTGATGGGAAAGAAAAATAAAACCACAATTACAATGCATCCCAACCTCAGCATTATCCCTAGTCTCCTACAGCCGCTAATGTTGCATTTAGCGCCTGTGGCTTGAAACAAAGCTGTCGATTGGAACCAACCGACATGTGCCTTTCAGCTGGCAACGCAAAAGCCAATGAAGTGGAAGCCAACAAGAAGTCCTAGATTCAACATTTTTGAGGTCATGTGTTCCATCGACAGCTGGAGTGGCTCTGGGACGAGCCAGTCGACTCCACAACGACGTCAGGTAATCGAACGGATGGATTCCATGAAAATACCTTTCATGGATATCTTCATATCACTGCAGACAACGCAGGCTCTGTCACAATGCGCAGCGCAGTCAAGAATTTATTGTACTCCCAAGCTTTCACTCTGATAACAGGTAAAGATTGATGCAAAGCACCAACAAGAAAAACCCCTGGTTACCTAGTCTCTAATGCATCTTGTCAACTGTTCAAGCTGAGCAACTTTGCTCTTTTCGTCTTCGGCATAAACCTGTCACTATGCACTAAAATACCTAATTGTCTATACTTACTTTTATCCTCTTTGCAAACCTTCCATCTACCAACACTCTTACCCCTAATACTGACTTTGCTGCCTTGATGGCTGCATCTAACGCCGCAGGCATGCTTCTCTAAGGCGAAGCTAAAGGCCTTCAAAAGAGTTGTGATGTTATCGTAAGATTTGAACTCCTTGTGGCATAGCTCGTGGTCACTGTATATCTGTAGCATGCGTCAGTTGCGCGGCAAAGACTGCCACTGCAGAATGAAATGCTACTATAACAGCCACTGCGTCTTCAATACTGGCGCCAACAATCTCTAGAGGGACACCGCCGCTAGCCACTATGACCATGTCGCTAGTGATGCAAAAGCGCGTGTAATAATGGCATAGTATATAGTTTGCTGTTAATGCTAGGATGAGGAGCAAAGATAAAATGACAGACCTGCGCTATGTCCTGGGTTCTCAAATGGGTTAAATAGCTAAGGGTAGAGGGGACTTCCGGGCAGAAGTCGTGAGTCTGGTTGGCCTTAAACTGCAGTGTCACTGCCATAATAAAAGATTGCAGCTAATCACTGGAAGATAATCTCATCACCTATTATATATGATCCTTTATGTAACGAGAAACAACGAAATATAAAGTAATAAGATTATTAAATACAAATTGAGAAGATAAGGCTAATTCCCAAGCTTTCCTAATGCCATAAACACTAAAGCATCTTAGACTGTGAGAATGGTAGATAAAAAGACCTTTTTTACTCTTGAAAAATTTTTTACTAAAGACATTGCTGTCTTAGTTACATGCTCAGCTGCCAAAGAGGCTTTAAGCCTTCCTAAAGTGAAGTTCAGTATCCTACCTCAGTATTCTACCTAATAATATTTATTAACATAACCCTAGTGCAACTAGTTTGTCCTTAGAAATTATAACTATTGTATTATTTGTCTTTTTTTATCTATATGTTTATATATTTGAAAAAAACGTTATTGTATTTTCTATGAAGCTATATCTTTAATTAGCAGAACGCACTATGGCAAGATAGCTAAGACAGTGTCATACGAACCCTACCCAAATGCCATCTCTTGAAGCACCTAGAACATTATAAAGACCCAATATCTACCCTAGGTAGAAGCTTTTGGACATGTCCCCAATCTTGATAGTACCGCTGTAAGTAGGTACGAATAGCAGGTATCTCATACGTGGCACGAATATCTATCCACCACCTACATTCACATGCCCTAGTATACCATAAATATAAGAGCGTAAGGGCTATCGGATCTTTCCGCTCAAGTAAAATTTTAAATTCGCCCCGTATCTTGGTTGAGAACTTCATAGCTTTGCCGAGTGTAGCCTGACCAACAGGTACTGCTAGCAGTTCGGACAAGCCTTGTGCAACCCTAAAATAAGGATTGTTATATGCCGTAGAAGTTTCTTCAAGCATACAAAGCTGCCTTAGCTCCACTAGTACACCATTAATACCTTCGATAGGCATGGACTCATGCATTGTAACAAACGTGTCAGCCATCGGCGTAAAGATGCTCGTTTCTCGTAGAGGGTCTACTAATTGCCATAGCCTCATCTTGCCAGCTGCAAGTCGTAACCACTCAAGGTCAGAAGGGTCTGGCGGTCCAAGAGGCCAAGTTTCCTCCAAAGGACACGCATTAATAGACGCGAAGCCTAGGATACCAAGCGTGCTTGCTGCGGCCCAGATAGGATCCTTGTGCTCTTCTTTGATAGGCTGGCCCAGCGACTTTTTGAACAATGAAGTGCATTGAGACCAGTGGTACGTTTCACAAAATGATCGACGATGAGTTGGTGTTATTCCAAGGTAGCGATCATGGACAGCCGTCACGGCCAACATACCATGCCATAAAAATGGATGCTATAAGGCAATTGTAAGTTATTCCTTTGTTTACTTTGGGCTTGTACTTACTTTGAAGGACAATGCCAACAAGTGCCTGTTGTGTATCTCTACTATCTCTGGCCCGCCCAGTGAGTGTAAGGTTCTGCACTGGAAACGATTGAAAAGGTCTTGGTCATGTGTATTGAGCATGTAGAAAGTTGCCCCATCTGCTACCCATATGCAATTACCTATAGACGACTGTGGTGACGGAATAGTAAATTGCTTTAGCACGTTTTTCTTGGTTCGTTCCTCGGGAAGTGACTGGAAATCTGGTACGTTGAACCCGAAGTTGCATATGACGCCGTAAATCTGGCACTTGACGCAACATGGCCTCAATTCATCACACTATGTCATCCAAGATAAGTCAAAAAAGGTTGAAGAGGTAGAGGGAACTCCTCATTGACTTACCTTCACTTTTCTCAGCTTGCAGTTCCGGCAACCGAATCGCGACTTTCGACGACGTTGTATTCCCGGCGTCTTGGTGACTGGAATCGTCCCTGAGCACATAATTGATAGAGATTTAATCAACTGCTTGAAAGGCTCTCGTTCGCTGTTGCCGGTCTCGATGTTGATAAGCCGATACAGGATGTTTCTGCGGAGATTAGCACATTGTTAAATCCGGCAGAGTAATAACTCCGTCTGTACTCAAATTCTCGCTAACCTCTGCTCGGGATTGCACCATCTTGATTGGTCAACGATAGTTCCACCTGTGATTAAGATGCTCCAGTCAAACAAGACCATCATTTTCAGTCTTTACAATTGGTATCAACTTTCGCTATGACAACAGTTGATGCTGCCGACAACCCGAGAGTCCAAAGAAGTACACGCGTAGAGATAATAGATATATAATAAGCCATCATATATCCTGGACGAGACCAATCCATCCAGTTCTTTCCATCCAAAATCGCCAAGGAACAGTCTTTCAACTTTCTCTAAAGTCTCATTTTATCTTAACCCTATTTATCCAAACGATCTATCATCATGCATGTATTTGTTACAGGCTCAACAGGCTTTGTCGGCTCAGCTGTCGTCAAAGAGCTATTAGCTGCCGGTCACTCCGTACTCGGCCTAGCCCGCAGCGACAAAGGAGTCGAGCAGCTCAAGAACCAAGGCGCCGAAGCCCTTTTTGGTACAATTGAGGACTTGGAAATTCTCAAGAAGGGTGCTTCTGCATCTGATGCCGTTATCCATCTGGCATTTGTACACAATATCCATCTGGCATTTGTACACAACTTTGCCGATTTCATCGGCTGTTGCGCCATTGATCGTGCCGCTATTACGGCTATGGGTTCTGCTTTGGTTGAAGCCGGCGGCAATCGCGCCATGGTCATTACTTCGGGTACTATGATGCTCGCTCAAGGAAAACTTGGCTATGAGGATGATGAGCCTAACATGAGCAATCCTATGGCGGCAGCTCGTGGAGCTTCTGAGCAATTGTGTCTCGATTTTGCCAAGCAAGATGTTCGAGCTTGTGTTGTTCGACTTCCTCCTACGACGCATGGGGCTGGAGGAGTTTCTGGGTTCATGGGCCCATTTGTGGAAGTCGCACTCGAAAAGGGTGTCTCTGCATATGTTGTCGACGGCCAGAATCATTGGTGCGCTGGTCATCGTGACGATGCGGCTAGATTGTATCGTCTGGCTATCGAAAAAGCAGAGCCTGGATCTGTTTTCCATGCTGTCGCCGAGGAGAGCGTCACAGTCAAGGACATTGCTGCTGAAGTTGGCAAACGGTTGGATGTTCCTGTTGTCAGCATTCCGCCAGAGAAGTTACAAGAGCATTTTGGCTGGTTTTAATTCGGACTTATGGCTGACAATACTGCCTCAAGTGCTAAGACCAGGGAGGTGTTGGGCTGGAATCCTACAGGACCCACGGCTCTAGAGGACGTCAAAGCTGTAGTTGACTTTACAAAGTCTCAGTCAGGATGTTAGTATATCTTATTAAATTGACTCAAGGTTGACCTAGTTAAATAGTTCTTTCAGCTGTTAGCAGGCTTTTTCGCTTAATAAATATTATTATCTTGTTTCTCTCTTTCTTATCTTAACCTTCACAAGACAATAATTGTGTAGGTTAACAGCAGTAGCCGCGGCACTTTTAGCTACAAGTGCACCACCTACAGCTTTGGCTGCGAATGCTGTTCGCGACTGCAGCTTGAGCCACTGTTAGAGAACCGCTTCTTCCGCAATGGTGTCAGCACCTCTATGGGGAATGCCGCCATTAGCTATCATAGCTACGTATCAGTTACGCAAGTTATATCTTTAGATGCATACTCAACTCGCCTCTCTTCTCTACTTCTGAATTTGGAGTCCCCATGGTCTGATAAGCTCGTGGCGATCGCCAAGCAGGGCCGCTGAAAAGCTGAAAAACTCGGCTGTCATATCTCATGTCTTGCAGGAAACAATGGGGGCACTGGCAATTAAGTCCAATGAAACTGTAGCAAGTTTTGAATGAGGTTGCACAACATGGATTAGTGTTCTGTACCAGCAAATTAATCTCGCCTTCAGATCAATACAAGGTACATGCTGTCGCATATCGTATGACATTGAGATGATCTTGTACTCCGACAGAAAAATCGGATATTTTATACGTTGAAGCGTTCCGTTCAGGAGGTCAAGTGCCTAAGGGTTCGTGGCTGATAGGCAGTCCGCAATCGATTGTCTCTGTAACACTGCGTTTCGATCTACATTTCGTTACAGCGCCTTTATTCTTTGCAAGCAAATGCAACATTAGCCTAATAGGGTATCTCATCGTGACCCTGTTATCCAGCTGAAAACATTTTGAGGCCTGCCAATAATGCCAGCCAAATACAGTCAATGATATCAAGTCTAGCGCGCCACTTGCCGAGATATGCAGAACTATTTCCTAATAGCTCAATGTACCCGCTCCTGTAGCACCATGAATGTGCAAGTTGGGGCACTCTGCGGGGTGATAAGCCAAGAGTGACAGCTAATCCCACAAGCAATCGGGAAGATCATAGCTTACGTCGGTTCCGTCATGGTCATGTGTGGGGTGTACTAATTTCTGTGAAGTTGGCTTGGCGCTTAAGTGGCACTCTGAAATATAAGTCCCCGTCTCATATCTCACAATTTGGACTTGAATCAGGCTACAGTTCTTTGCTTTACCATTTGACAGTGATTTATACAGATCCAAATATGACTTTGCAGATCATACCTTTTTTCCTTTTTGTTCTGGTGTTCTTGCTCAAGGGATTGGTTCACCTCGAAAACTTCTGGTACAAGGTTGTATGGTCCAAGTGGCGACCTCCGATTACGACCGTTCTAGACAAGCTTATTCTGAGAAAAGAGAATGAAATATGGCACGCAGTCATCTTCGGCAGAGATGGAGATGTCCGAAGACTTTTTGAAGATCTCACATATAAGCCGGAGGCGCATGGTTCATCAGGCAACCTGGCCACAGCTTCCTCGCCAAGCAAGGTGGAGGAGGCAGGTGTTTTTTTTTCATAGCCCTAAAACCAAACTTCAGGAAGCAGTTGAGACCGATGTTATGGAGCACATGTTCTCAGGTCGCCGTGAGACATTTGAAAACGGGGTACGAGACCCCCTTAAAGCCATTGCAGATGGTTTGGCAAACTCAAGTCGGAGTTTAACCAGAAAAGAAAGGGTGCAAACACATCAATCGAGTAGCGTACGATTTTCGCTCTTATGGATGGTCATCCATCAAGGCCACAAGTCGGATGCGGAGTACCTGCTCAGTGAGCACAATCAAAAACTGCATACCAGGAATGATTGGCTGCAAAGAACAGTTCTCCATCAGGCCGTATCAGACAAAGACTCGGATCTGATACGCGATATCTTCGAAAGGAGCTCCTCCACATCACCGCATACATACATCGATGTCGGAGATTTTGCATCCAGGACAGCATTACATATTTTGGTTGTCGATTCAGTTTTCGGCAATCCAAAGCCTGAAACCCTACAAAAGACTTTCGTTATTTTCGATTCACTATCTCTACATGGCGCCAATCTAAATGCCTTAGATGCGGACTTCAGGACACCCCTTCACTTGCTGTTATCATTAACCCTTTTGTGGAAAGACTGGGACCCCGAGTATCCTTCCCGTACTCTTCTGGATCCCTTTTTTCTGTTGGATAGATTCCTACAGGCTGGAGCAGAAGTAAACACCAAAGACATCGAAGGTATGCAATTTGAGCTGTCAAGTTTTGGGTTCCGACTACCTCAATGCCGAGTTCGCTCATCCCTTCGTGGCACCGCTCATTGTAATGCTGCTTCCAGGAAAATCACCTCTTCACATCGCTTGTGAATTAGGAGATCTAGAGGCAATCAAGAAGTTGATCCGCAAGGGTGCCGATCTAGAAAGTCTAAATCATGATTGGAAGACCCCTAGACTGGTTTTCTCAGACTATCATGGGCGAGACGAAGGCTTCTGGAAGGATATGGCTAGACTGTCTCGTGAACAGCTGAAGACCGCCTCAGATCCATCTGCCTCATCGCAGAGACCTTCATGGAGACACAACAGAATTTCCAATGTAGCAAAGACTGTATGCAAAAAGTCCGCTATCTATTGTCGCTACCAATGGAATGATCTCGCTACCGAGAGCAGGGATCCGTTACATTGGACTGCAACAGATAAGTATGTATCCCATGTATTTGATCCAAAGTATCGGTCAGAAGACACCACGTTTCTGGGTGAGTGCGACAAGGAATGCCAACGCGCCTGGAATGATTCTCTCGAACCGTTTCGAGGAAAGCGTGACGAAGATGATCATGAGCACAAACCCCCAGCTGGAAAAGCAGCAGCTGTTGATAGCAGCGTCACATGGGCTAACTACACATGGAGATGGGTCAACTTCCCTGCAAATAATGTGAGATACTGCCACATGGATATTCTATCTGAGGGCACTCGGCTAACGTCTTTCTTCTTACAGATTACATGGATTAGGGTAAGTAAATAAATATCTACTGTCTGGTCCTGTCTTCTTCTTTTACTTACATATTATCCGGTGATGGAGGATTTTATCCAGGACAATTCGAAAACGAGCACCAGTGCCTGGCACTTTTTTGACGATAAGATGAAGGTCCACGACATGAGAAACAATGGCTTTCCTATAAGGGTACCCCATGCTTCTGTGAGTCACGATTCCATGTCAGGGACTTGGAATATCGAAGCTTCCTCGTTTCGAATGATATGGTTCAGAGCACTACTAAGAAGGCAACAGATGACCCAACTAGCCCCCAACCCGTCTAAGAATGATCGTATCGAGAACAACCAAATCGTATCAGTAGTATCTCTTGCGGTCAGTATTTAAATTGCGGGTTGTGGCACTTCTCTAACTTAACTATATTCAGATTCCATTTCTAGATATTGAGGTTGAAAGCCCATATCGTTCTATAGCAACGCAGATTGAAGAAGCCTACTCACCTTTCACTGGGTTTGATGGAGTGCAGATGTCGCAAACCCTGGACCAGACCGCAATCAACGCCGAGAGTCGGTCGAAATTGCGGAAAAGGGAGAACCAAGTCATTTACAGGTGGTCGCAAAGCAAGAGCTCTGAACAAGAAAAGCAACTTCCACTAGATTTAACCGTTCGAAATCCAAATTCCAAACTCGCATCTTTCCTCCGAAATATGAGAGAAAAGATCGAGAACTATGACAAAAAAGAATCGAAAGGCTCATCTTCAGGCCGCGTGGGGCGAGGCGGTCGTGGCGAAAGGGCTGGCATTTCACCTGAGATACAGAGTATCCGCAAGGATCGCCGCCCAAAATGGCTGATGGTTCGGCAGCTTTGGCTCTGGAAACTAAACGACGGTAAAGGTCTTCTTCTTTGATTCTTTCACCTGGAGACTGACGAATCTGACCTGAAAGGCACCATTCTTTCATCAATACCTTTACGCACAAATGTATGCATGGCAAATGACTTACTTCAAACCATTCAACAGAGCCGCCTTGATAAGATTTCTGGAGTCGACGATCTTGTGAAGCACATTCTGGAGGAAACAATCAACTTCCCAGATAAGTACTTGCGGGCCGGGCTCGGTGAGCATAAACTTGACGTATTCAAAAGTGAGATCGCCTCTGAGGTAGGTAACGGGCACGATCTACTGAAGCAATCAATTGTTAACTCTGTTGGACTCCATAGGCAGACAAAGAAGCCACTTTCTTTAACAACTTCGCCCAAAATGACTGGGATTCTAAACACGCTAACAGCGCGATCGACTGCACCTGGCGTGTGAAGGATATTCTAGACGAGCTGCGCCTCATCAAGAATGTCTTTTTGAGCCAGTTGGAGGTTGTCAATCAATTTTCCACGGTTCTTAACTTACAGCAAGCAGATAGGCCCGAAGATATTGCTTACATTACTACTCTCACGTCAAAAGTGCAAAACATGATAGATCACATCACTCGTATGGAGAAAGACGCAGAGAAGACAATTGAAAGTGTAAGTTTCTATAGTTTTGGATGATACATTAAGCAGGCATGTGGTGGGGAATCTAGACCTTTGCTAACCCATTTGTGATTTGGCCAGCTTAACGGCATCAGTCAGGCAATGCTATCCCAGGCGTCGTTGAAAGAGGCAGAGGAGGCACGTCTGATGAACATTCTCCTCTTGCCATTCACTCTCGTTACTGTTATCTTTGTAAGTCCGCCTTGAGTCAAACCAGCATACTAAGTATGATCTCTGATTTTGGCGCTTATTTTAGACTCCTCTATCGTTCATGACAAGTCTTTTTGCTGTCAACTCGGATGGCTTCCCGCATAACGAGGACGGCGAGATTCGCATACCATCAGATTGGTTCTGGCAGAAGATGGGTACGTTTGTCTCTGACAGAGCTCAAAAACCGTAATGTTTCTCACCTAAAGATCCTAGTAATCGGGGAGATTGTGACTATGACACCACTTGTGATCTTGGTACTGATCCTGTATTTTTCGGGAAGGGGTTCTGGAAACAGGTCTTGAGAATCATTAGTCGAGTTGGTAGCAGTCTAACATCGCTCGCCAGGCTTATTATCGTTAGCGTCGTTGAGGGACCTTTTATGGTCGATATTGAAGGATATGCATCGGAAGTCTCGAGTGATCAAATTGAAAGGATAACTTGGTTCATAACTACCGGTAATCATATTATTTATCTATATTTAAATTGGAGTTTTAGAATTCGTAAAATGCCCTGTCTATCATGTCAATAAAAAAACGAAGAACCTAGACTGCACAGCAGTATGACTCTAGGGTATGTGTGGAATAGCCGAATGGGTAGCGTGGAGAACAGAGATAAGATAGCGAGAGAGTGGGTAGGTGTGGATAAATATTGGTGACCCACCCGTCTCCCCGTATTTATCGCAACTAACTTCCCGTGGGAAGTCTGGCTACCTCATTGGAGCAATGGGTCATTGTCCAATGAAAGTGAGGCTGACAATCATTTCATTACTTAAGCCCAGTCTCAATCAACTCAGTATAACTTCGGGTACCATATTTAAGAGATCAAGTGCACACTGAGTATCTAACGGAGATTTGCAACACTGGTGACGGCGGCTGGTTTACCAGAGCTCCGTCATCAACGGCGAACGAAGCGACAAGGACAATCCTCACAGTCACACTTCCGTTTCTACCTCTATCTTGCCCTTATAAAGTGACTGATAGCTTACTTGCAGCGTGCGTTGATACTGAAGTGATACAAGTCTGACTTTCACGGGAGAGAACGGCTCAGATAATAAGAATCAGTGAGTTATAAGTAAGTAGGGAATCGGTGGTAATGACTGTAACCCCAAAGAACGAAAATTTCCTAGACCTTGGTCTTGATGGAGAGATCAACCTTTCTACCATCAACTGTGATAGAAATGTCAATTTCAACCTTCGAGCCCATGGCCTCTGTCACACTAGCCTGAACAGATACACCTCGATCCTCCGTTACTACCAAGGGGATGTTCCGTAGAATATTCAACTCATCGACAAGCCTCTCTGTTGCTGTACTGGCTGCCGATTCAGCATGATGACCATCGCACTGATCTCAATCGCTGAATTCGTCAAAGAAAGAATCGAAGCTGTCACCACCATCTGGGATTGCATAGATAACGATACCGTCTTTGTCAGGCAAGAACGCAATGGAAGAGTCCAGGTCCAACTTCCCAAGGCCCCCAGACACATTGATTTCCGACGGGGCCCTGAACTTCGGCGCGTTATCGTTGATTTCAGCGGCATAAACCTGTAGCTGTGCTTTGTGATCTCGGAAGTAGATGTACATCATGTTCTTGTTGGTCTTGGTGTTTACGGCAGTGGTAGCAGCAATCTCGATAAACTTCTCGTCGATGGCGTTCGAAGTATTCTTGATTGTCAAGACTTGAGTTAATTAGCATCGAACATCCAAGTTTGGTCGAAAATTTCTCTTACTTGACTTGTCATCGCAGCAAACCATCTCAACTTCGGATACGTTGTCGTTGGTCCAGTTCTGGTACACGATCCAACGACGCTTTCCATCATGGAAGGCCACGATGTCAGTTCCCAACATAGCCTTCTCACTATCACCTATCTTGCGAGCCCGATCATTGGGCTTGCTTAGGTTCTTCTCCCAAATACACCCTCTCTTTTCACTATCCTTACTGCGTTGAAAAGACATGTCAGCTTACTCCATTCTGGAAAGCGCTTGTCGAACAAACAAACCTTTGGTAGTAAATCCAGCCCGTGCCTTTTCCATCAGTGCAACCCACGATCTTTCCTGTCATCTCCAGGCCGATCTTGGCTTCCTTCAAAGGTTGATATACAGGGCTCAGTAGGCAAATGGAGCTGTCGTGTGCTGTAACGCCGTAGACATGGACCTACGTGGAGGACTATTAGTCTACCGCCACTAAAAGATCCTTAATACTGGGACCGACGAATCAGGTTGACTTACAACGTCATCCACAACCAGAGAAACAAGGTTGGAGCCAAGCTTGAGAACAGGGCTCATGGTGAAGCTCTGCCATGGTTGCCCAGGACAGCTGTTCCAGCTCCCTGGGCTTTGGGCTTTATGTCTGTATCATAGAGAACAGTCTGCTCGACACCGAGTGTACCATTCTGGGTAAGAGACTGGTAAAGAAGGACTTTACTCTTCTTTCCAGCACGGCCCAAGGTCTGAGGGTTCAAAATAGCAGTCAGAGCGTGCATCTTGGAGTAGTCAACGTTCTGCTGAGTAGCACCATTGGTGTTGTTGGAGTGGCAGTTGCAGGTCGTAGACATCTTGGATATCTGTAGCACGATTGGTGGAGATCTGTGAAGTATGCTGTTGGTTTTGGACGATTATGATGTTGGTGATACTGATAAAACAAGAGGGGGAAGAGGTCTTTTATATTTGACGCACCTCGCTTGTGTTGCATAATCTTTCGGTTACTGCAATTTGTTTGCATCGACTTGCGAAATACGGGTATCTCCAAATCATACAGATTACCCCTTCGTCATGTTGATTATATCCTCCTGGATTGTTCGTGACCTGCGTCTCAAAGGCTTCACCGTTCCCAAGGTCGCCCCCCTTCTCCCCCGAAATCAGGAAAGCGCAGAGCTCTTGGCTTGATACATGCAAGCTGACATTAGTTGTGGAAAGCACACTAGAAAGTCTAGGCCGTCGGGAGATAGCTCATCCGAATGAATATCAGTTAAAAGTTCCATAAAAGGTCATGTGTAGTACCATGGCTGATCAAGCCAAAGCTGAAATGGGCTGCGTTCCTCATTAATGCAAGACGCCCTTTTGTGATAACCCCATACTTAATATATTATTGGCTAGTATAGCTTAGCAGAAGCTTCAGTCGTTATTATAGGAGAACTTACAAGTCTTAACTAAGGGCAATATATTTAAAATAGGCTAATATATAATATAAATATTAACTTATAGTATGTCCTTTCTTACTTACTATCTTAAATAGTTATTACTTTATTTTAAGCTATTTTTAAGCTTAATTTAAGTTTTAATTAAATTAATATCTTAATATTACTTTTTAGTCTTTAATAATTAATAAAATTAAAATAGCCTTATATATATTAAAATAGAGATAAATATAACCTATAAGGTTAACCTTTAGGCTATAAATATAGATAATAAATAAAAATATAGTATTTTTTTTACCTTAATATAAACTTTTACCTAAAAGCTTTTATAATAATTATTATATCTTACTATAAGCCTTAAGGTATTATAAAGTAAAGAGATTAAAAGGTATATAAAAGGATATAACTTTAAGTTTATATCTCTATATATATATTATAATAATATAACTTTATAAATAATATATTTATTATTTTAATAAATTAAACTATTATTAATAAGAATTATATAAGCTAAAAGGCTTAAATATATATTTCTATTTTTATTACCTTTTTTATAATTTTTAATTTTATTAAATAGTATATTATTAATTAAAATAGCTTTAAGGACTTTAAGGAAATTATATTTTTATTAATTAAAAGATTTTATTTTAAGTATTATAGACTGGCTTTTTAGCTGTAACTAAAAGGATATTAATATAGATATTATTAAACTTAAAGAAAAAAAAGAGATTCCTTAAGGAAATCTCCTTTTATACTATTAGGTTCTAGCCTAAATCTAGACTAAACCCTTAAGTTATATAGTCCTATAGAGGCTTAGGTAAAGCCTAAGCCTATAATATATTTTCTTACTTATTTTTCTTACTTTTAATAAAAAGATTATCTTTACTTCCTTACTTATATATTAAAAATAGTTCTAAAGTATTAAAAGCTCTAGCCTAAAGCCTTATTAATTCTAGTTTATTATATATAAAGGCTTTAATTTTAAGTCCTATTTAATTTAGTTCTTAAATATAAAAAGTTTAGTTTAAAGCTATATAAGTTTTAATTATAAAATATCTAAATTCTAGCCTAAAGCCTATTATAACTTTAATTATAGGTTTTTAAAGTTTTAAGCTAAATATATATAAAGTTATTATTTTATTTATTTAGGCCCTTTATATTTATTAACTTAGGCCCTTTATAGTTTATATATATCTTTAGGCTAATATTTATTATATTTTTTTTATTTTAATTTATTTTATATAATTTAGTCTTTTTTTTTTCTTTTTTCTCTTTAAGTTACTATATTATAAGTTTTATAAGTTAGCCTTATTTATATTTTTCTCTTTTTTTTTATTTATTAACTTTCTTTTTAATAAGCTTATTTTTTTATTACTTATATTCTTTCTTTATTATATCTATCTTTATACCTTTATTTATATATATTTAGTTTTTATTTAGTCTAAATATAATTTAGTCTTTATATTTTTATTAATAATTTCTTTAATTTTCTATTTTTATAATTTCTATTTTTTCTTATTCTCTTACCTAATATATTTACTATTACTATTATTAAAGGTAATAATAATAATAATAATTCTCTATTTCCCTTAAATTAAAAGCAGGCTATAGGTTATTACCTCTATAAGGGTAATAATAAAGATAAAGATTTTACCTTACTTACTGCTTTTCTTTTTTTTTATAAAAAGTACTTTAATTACTTAATAAATTATAGCTATCCCTTAAAGTATATTTCTAGTAGTGCCTTTTTATATAAATGCTATACTTAAGTAAAGTCCTATTATAGCTAATTATATAACCTCTTTATTACTAGCCTAGGTTTATACTATCTTTACTGTAATATTATAGCTTTTATAAAGAAATATTAATATATTATTAAAGGGTATAAAACCTTTAAGAAATATATAAATATTTAAGCTAACTTTAAGAAGAAAAAGGGGGCTATAAAGCCTTAATTTTAAGGTCTTTTTATTACTTAATAATAATAACTTTATAGCTTTTTAGATATTAATTAAAATTATTAAACCTTTAGCTATATTACCTATATATATAATAATCCCTTTTATTTTTTTACCTTTAGTTTTAATTTATATATTATAATATACTTAATATTTAATAATAGCTTTTTATTTCTTGCCCTTTTTAGTGCTATTAGGTATTAAATTAATTTTAGCCTAACTGCTATTAAGATATAAATACTAGCTTTTATTTTTATTAAAATATAAAAAGACTTTTATATTAATTATAAAACTATTACTATTTAAAATATTAATTTTATATAGGCCTTTAATACTTTTAGGCAGGCTATTAGTTATTTACTTACCCTTACTATTCTTTCTTATTATTAATATATTGCTAATTTAAAAAGCATTTTAAAGAGATATAAAGGTAAATCCTTACCCTTTTTTTTCTTATTTATTCTTTTTTTTTAACCCTTCTATTTTTAAAATATTCCTTAAAGCTTATTAAAAGCTCCTTTTCTTTAAGTAAAAGTAATAATTTTAATAAAAGTAATAAAAAAGGTAATAAAGAAAGGGATAGTAATAAAGGCAGTACCTAATAGTATTATATCCTTAATTTCTATATATTTTAAGTAAGTAAGGGCTAGGTCTAATTTAAATTTAATTAAGGTTTTTAAAATATATAATCTCTTTTATTATTATTATTATATCCCTTATAGGCTATTATAAATTATTATATTACCTTATTTCCTTTTATACTTTATTAATACTATAATATTCTTTATATTTTTTAGTAGTTTTTAAATAAAAGTTATCTATCTTTTTTACTTAATAAATATATTTTTATTTCTACCTACTTTCTTTATATTTTTAGCTATTAATATTTTTTCTACTTTATACTTTTTTATTAATTTTTTACTTTTTTTCTATAATATTAAGGTTAATTTAGGTTTTAATTCCTATAATATTTAAGATAGTAATAGGTCTATTACTACCTGCTTAATAAGGTCTATATAGAAAATATTATATATCCCCTAAGGGTATTAAGTCTAATAGTTAAAGGCAATAATATAGCCTTTACTTTATATTTAGTTACTATTTAATTAAGTTTTTTATATAGTTAATTTATTTTAAAGTTTTAAAGGTCTAGCTATATTATATCTTTAATCTAGAAATATTTTACTAATTATTAGTCTTTATTATATACTTTTTAGTATTATTACTATATAAATATATAAGCTACTTAAATTACCTTAAGCCTATCTTTTAGCTAGGCTATAAACTATACTGCTCTTCCCTTATTAAAGGTCTTATTTCTTAAAAAGTTAGTAGGTTATTTAATAGTTTTTAGCTTATAGCTATAAAGTAGGTAATTTAAATTAAACCCTATTATTAATAATACTTTATTATTTAGGGATATTTATATTATAATAAGATATAGGGTTTAATTAAATTAATAAAAGGCCACTAAAAGTTATAAAATTAACTATACCTTTTAGTTTATATATTTAATATCTTTATCTATTTAAAGGTAATATACTATAAAAGGTTATTACTTTATCCTTATTAAATTATAAAGTATCTTTTAGAACTTACTTAATTAATTTAAGCTTTAATTAAATATTATATCTTTAAGGAATCTATAAAACCTTTACTAGCAGTCCTTAAAGTATAGTATATATACTTTAGTTAAAATAGATACTATTATTTTAAGTTAAATAAATTTTAAAAGTCTATTTATAATAACTATAAAGAAAGTAAGGTTATTTTTAGCCTATATAAGTAATTTTCCCCAGTTTAACCTACTACTTCTTTACTAATATTACTTTTTCTGTTCTTAGACGTAAGGTCGATTAGTCACGTGCCCAGGTATGTATATTTAATTGGTGGATCTAGTTATCATTAACTTCAGGTCAATTTAACTTTCGCCGACTAACTTATACAAAAGTCAACCCAATTCCTTTAAACCTTCGGTCTGTAGGGCACCCTACCTCCTCTACAGTACCCTGCCATTACCTTACGTTTATCCCAGAACTCTGTTTGCAGATATATATCCCAGCTTTGCTTTTATAGTCTTAGATTATAACTGGCCTGTTAACTCTTATATAAGCGGGAGGAAGCCAAGTATATATTTGGCCTTAATAATTACATTTTATAGCCACTCTTTATGGCTGGCTAAGTTTAGGCCTAAAAAGGCAGCTAAAAAGGTAGCCTGGTCAGTTATTAGAGTCCTGCCTTGCCTTATAGCTTCTTTTAGGTCTTTTAGTTATAATAGCTCTTTAGCTAGTTAGTCTAAAGATATTATATAATTTAGGATATTTAGATCTATATAATTAATTATATTAATTAAGATATAGTTAAAAATAGCTATTTTAATTAAGCTAGATTAATTCTTTAATAAGAAGTTCTTTTTAATAGCTATAGCTATTATATAAAGCTTGTAGTATTTATAGCCTA